AATGCAATTTCGTTAACAACTTCTCCCTGTCAATAGTCTCAAACTCAAATGCTCTCTTGACATCTAAGAACAATGTAACTGTAAACTTTTTTTCATCCACATTTCGCCTCCATTCTTCTACCATTTGAATTGCTGTTTCAGTAGAAAACTTTTTTCTGAATCCTGCTTGAAATTTTGTCAATATCTTATTTTCTTCAATATATTTAATGACTTGTTCATATATGATTCCTTCTAAGAGCTTCTCGACATCTGTCAGTAAATTAATGGCCCGCATGTTTGTATATAACTGAGAATTTAGCACTTTTAGAACAGGAGTAATTGTAGAACATTTTAATTTTGAGGGAAATTCGCCATACACTAAACAGTGATTCACTAACAATAATAACTTCTATCCAATAAAGTTAAAACATTCCTTCATAACCATTTTTGACAGATGTTCACTAGGATTTCTATTCGATTTCACTCTTATAATAGCTTTTGAAAGATAGCTGATATTTATTGTTTGGAATTTTCTCCTAGAAGAATTACAAGTAACTTGCATGTGATATTGATTCCACTATCGCATGTATACTTTCTTTAAAATAAGCATTCATTCGTTCTGCATGTATGTGTTACTATACCATCTTCGAAGCACATTCTTGATAATTCATTCTTCCTACTGGGTAATACAATATTTTTTAGTATCTTCCACTTCATTTTACTGTTATTTTTATTGCTCTCGATTTTGTTTTCATGATATTTTTTCTTTTCGTTCCTAAGATTTGTTAAACACTTGTTTCTTAATTTCTTATATTGTATCCAATCTTCCTCAGCTTGAGTGATCATAAACTTTTTATAGTCATTATCACGCGTCAATTTAGAGTGAAAACCAGAGTGTTGGCTTTTTCCTTTGATATACCACTTTCCTAATTTGTGCGTCTCTCATGCAGTTCTCCATACAATCCATCATTTTTGAGAACTGTCAGCATTATCAAAAATTTCAGTGATATTGGCTTGTAAGAGTGACTCTCGTAACGTTTCATGGTCAATAATTGTGATTTCTCTTGATTCTCTTTCATTAAACATATTTTCCACCTCGAAAGATATCCACGAATGGTCGCTTATTTTTGGAGTACTTATGTATAACCTTAATACTCAAATTCTTCTCATTGGTTATTATTAAATCGATCTTAGTTCGTGAAAAGTTTGTAATCCTTGTGTAGTCATTAACTTTTTGCCATAGACCATGAAAGCTCAGTACTTGTTTAGATTTTTTTACATAAAAATCTTGATTATTAAAATTTATATTGAAGTCTCTCAAGTGCACAGTGGAGCAATTTCGATAATACTGTTTTGCACAAACACTCTCAAAGTCAAAAAATCGGCTAATATTACAGCTTGGAGATCTGTAGTAAACGTGTACATTTCAAAATTAATATACCACCATTGATAATCAACAACTACAGTATTATGTGTTTTTACTTCAATCATACTCAGTTTCTATTAGTATGACACCTGTATGTTTCGAAACTGTGTTTACTCTTATAACATCATAATCATGACTATCAATCTCCATATCTTCAATATCTTCTGTAATATGTGTTTCAGTCAAGCAAAGAACTAATGGTTTAACTAATATTAGAAATGTATAACTTCATCCCTGTGCGATAAAAATCCTTGAATATGTATATGGTATACAATCTTAGAATATTTTTTGGCCTGTATTTGCTATTTGACACCATAAGAAACTTTATTTTTTGATTTTTCATATTCGATTTGGACCATGTTGGTATAGTGGAAGGATGAGTGATTTATATCGAAATTTGTGTTGTTCTTCAAATCTGATTCCCTGCAATTTGGACATGTTACTTCATCTTTTGATATCGTACAGTTCTGAACCTGATGAAAACACTATTACCACATTTTAAACAAATACTGGTCCTGGTGCAATTCTTCGCTGTGTGGTGAAATCCGCCACAGTTAAAACACTTCAGAAGATCGTAATGCAGACAAATTGTACAAACATCCATGGATACAAACAAAACTCCTGCTTTCATTACTGCTCCAAATGTCGATCTATCTAATTCCAAAAGTGCCATGTACCGAAATTTCATTTCTTTGATTGCCACTACTTTAATCGAAGCGTCACTATTTATAACGTTGTTTCTCATTTTTAAGTCTCTAACCAATTCTTCATTGTTTAAGTCTTCACTGAAACCCACGACTTTAATCATTGGTAATTTTTTGTGGCCTACATTTACTTTATAATTCTGTCTAACACTTTTTCCTATTTCCAATTTTAACTTTTTGATATCATCGATATCCTTGCATTCAATTTTCAGTGCTCCATCTTTCAGATCATTTACATTTTTAATAGACAAATTCATTTTGGCTGGACTTATATATTTGCTCAATTCCTTCTTTGTTTGCCTACACCTTTGATTTGTATTATTAGGTTTAATAACAATTGTATTTTCCGGTTGTGTTGTTGTGTTTATATTTTTAGTATATTTTACCGTTTTTTTTTTTTTTGGAGGTGGCGAAGTAGTGTTGGTGTTTTCATGTGTAGAACTTTTGACCATGTCTGCATAAGATTTACTGTTATTTGCAGATGTATCTTGTAAATTCTCAATTTGTTTATTTCGTTTATCTATTTTTTCATGTAGTTCTTTCATCAGTTTTTCTTGTATCGAAATAGTTTAGTATTTTATCTTTAAAATGTCTGTTAAACAAAATCCTTTTTCTTCATGTGATACATTCACCTCATTTGCTTTTCCACCAGCTTCAGTCCCATCTTCATCAGTCTCCGTATGGTTCAACTCGATATTTTTTCAGGAAAGAACTTGACCAACATTTTAAATGTTTAAAGGAATGACACTGGGTGGCCGAGCGACAAATCTTTTGACGTCTCTCGGCGTTTTTTTTAATCAGGGGTTTTCGATAAATCCCTGGTATGAAGTTTTCAAATTAATATGCTCTACACGGACTACATTTCCGAGAGCCACGTACCAGTATTGGCTTTATATGAATACGTCTCTTATCTTAGACTGTTTACCATCCTGTTTCCAGTCTTCTTGGATAGTGCTGGTCGGCTTCTAGGAATCAACTGATGAATTGTGATCGTATGAATGAACAGTCCACGACCTTCTCAGTTCACGGTTTACTCGCCACTCCAGCCACGGTCTTACTTGTGCAAACCGGTTTGTACCGGGAATACGTAACGTGTGGACGGTAAAACACCAAAAAGTGCGGCTTGTGTGAACGTTGCTCTGCTGAAAGTATTACTTGCGCAAATCTGTTTATGCAGTTAAACTTGTACGTGTGGACGGTGTGCAGGTAAAATGGAGACTTACGTACTTGCTCTAAACATTTTATGACAGGATTTATTGATTTATATCGCTCATTACCATGTCTATGGAAAATAAAATCAAATGTTTGTGCAAACTTACTTGCATCGGGTGGCCACACTGTGGTGTTGCGTCTTTATCCCGCAAAACTAGACTGTACAAGTAAGTCGCTGTCGTGTGGCCGTGCCTTTAAAGCAAAATTGAAATCGTTCCACGCTGTCGTCTTCTTGCCCCGTAAGGACGTAGCATGAAGATAATAGGGCTCATTCACAGAATTGGTAATTTTTACTCAAGAACAAATTTATTGACGGATTCGGTTTCACAGTGGAATAGCGTTTGTCAGAATTAAGTATGGAAAATCACATCAGTCATGTGGTGAACGTTTTTGACGATGCATCACTGGAGGCGTTCTTGAAAGTTCGCGTAGACTCCCTCCAGCATCGGAAGTCTACGCGTTCGGAATTCGGAGCTTGTGCTCGTATACACGAGCCTTGAAGTGGACATCACCAAACCTGGAAATAAGGCGGCCGCGGAAGAGACGTCGAATAACGTTCCTCGTTGCTCTGGTGGTGTGTGCAGACGCCCCATCCTGTTGGAACTACACACGTTTGAATGGAACACGTCGTCGTCGTAATTCAGGTGATCATTTCGATATAGCGCTCCGAGTTCACGGTAACAGCATTGACATTACCGATGACTCAAGTTTGCACAGCACACCAAACCGTTACTTTTGGGGTGTGCAGCGGTCTTTCATGTAACTATCGCGAATTTTTTATTAGCCCAATAACCGCAATTCTGCATTTTAACCAGGCAATTAAGATGAAAGTGAACTTCATCACTCATGAACAAAATGAGGTTCTGCATTTTGTTCGATAAGTGCTTCCATCTCAGATGCGAAGTGCATTCGTTGTGCGTAATCTCCATGCTGTAACCGTTGCACAATGGCCAATTTTTGGGGGTGAAAGTGGAGATCCATATGCAAAATACGCCTTACCGAACGATCACTGAGGCGATGTTCAGCAGTATGTTGCCGAGCAGATCGAGCCGAACTGCGAAGGATGGCTCGTCGAACGTGTTCCACATTTTCAGGGGTTCGAGCCGTTCGTGGTCTTTTGTTGATCAGCACACTACGCGTGCGAAGTGAACGAACCCAACGAAGGATGGTGATTCGAGAAGGAACAACTCGATTGCGATGAGTATTTATGTCGGACAAAACTGTCGTACTCGAAAACGCGGTGTTCAACGGTCCACTGGTTTATAATGTCTACTGGTAAAAATGCTAGGATCGCCCGAGTCGAACAGTATTCTCCCCACCACTCTCGCCGAAATAGGCGGAGAGTACTACCCATTTCAAAAACATCCGTCCTTTATGCCGGACCCTGTATTATATAATGGGTCTTCCTGGTACACGTGTTCGAGGGAACTGAACCTTAGATTCTAGCTGCAGCTAGTAGTGAACGAACTTGTTGATTCAGATACTTCGCTTGTGATATTTCCCAATAAAAGGTGTTATTTGTGCAATGTTTGTTAGCTTCCTAAATGAAGCGGTATTTTAAAAACTATTTATCACAGACAGAATAGTTCTGGGTACAGACCAAACAATCGCCTATTGAACATTTCCCCATGCTATTTGGAAAAATGTTGCTTTGCGTGAAAAATAATCAAAAAACAACATTAGTACGTGCTTTGATTCATTTTATTTGTAATAATACACTTTACATATATAACAATAATTTCCACTGCTTAATAACTATCCTAATATACCACCTAGGTTTGTCACTTTAGGCTTATAATCTGCATTTCCAAAATTCAGTGGCCCTCTAGTTTTGCTTCCACTTGTGCTTTGAACTTGCTTTTGCACATTTCCAAGCAAATCAGCATTCCCAAGGTTGAGCGGTGATCCATTACCTTGAGTTTGCTTCTGAACCTTGCCAAGTATATCAGTGCTTCCGAGATTCAAACCAGTCTTGTTCAGAGCGCTACTCACAGCATTGCCAACAGCTTTCAGCTGAGTATTGAAAGCATCTAAGAATGAACAAGTAGATGTCTTCAACCTATCAGCGAAGTTGCACCAAAGGCCAACCTCGCAAAACTTGAAGTTTTCTGCTAAGATCGGTTTATCTTTGATTTGTATAAAGTTGTTGCTTTTCGGCGAGAACGGATTAACGTCTTTTTTGCCTACGCGTGGTTTTCCATGCCTGGCAAAGTCGGCAACAAGTTGCGTGAAATATTCTCGTACCTGCATGTCTTCTTCATCCCACGTTTGATCTTTATCTATTGGTTTTCCAGATAGGTCATGGGCGTCAAACAAGTACTCTAATTCATCTCCGTGGCCTACTGTGTCATCATTCTCGCCTGTAACAAGCAAAGGAGGAGATTATGCTGTTCGGATGTAAATCAAATCTTCAACAATCTACTACACACTATACCGTATTCGTAGTCCATTTACGCCCCGGCAGAACAAAGATGCAGCGAGGAAAAGCGGCAGCCGCCTAAGCTTTATATGGGGTTGTTCAAAACGGACGCAGGAAAGTAAACGCATATTAAAACAAGAAAGATTGATATTCAAATCAAGTCGGGTACTTTATTTTGAAGGTTCATTTATACCATTTATGTATGAAAAATAATATCGCTCAAATGTTCACCACGACTGGATTTACAGACGTCCACGCGATGGTCGAAATTTTCAATGACATTTTGCAACATGGTCGGTTCTATGGCATTTATCTCGGCAATGATGTTGTTTTTGAGTTCTTGGAGGGTGGCTGGTTTGTCGACGTAAACTTTGATTTTCAAATATCCCCATAAAAAGAAGTCCAAGGGAGTCAAATCGCACGATCTTGGTGGCCATGGCACATTTCCTTAGCGCGAAATCACGCGATCACCGAAGAAGGACTGCAATCGATGGATATTGACGTTGGTTGTGTGGCATGTTGTACCGTCTTGTTGGAAATAAACATCGTCCATATCCATTCCTTCAAGTTGCGGCAAAAAATAGTCCTCTATCATCACGTGATATCGCTCAGAATTGACGGTAACGGCGTCCCCGGCCGCATTTTCGAAAAAGTAAGGTCCGATGATGCCTTTTGACCACAATGCACACCACACAGTCACTTTTTGAGGATGCATCGGCTGCTCTTGATACTCACGGGGATTTTCGTTCGCCCTGATGCGGCAGTTTTGCGTGTTTACCGTCCCATTCAAAGTGAAATGCGCTTCGTCGCTGAACATGATTTTCGATGAAAAATTGGCATCAATTTGGCGGTGTTCAAGGAGCCAATCTGAGAGCGTTCGGCGCGAAAAATGGTCGGCCCGACGCAGCTCTTGCGTCAATTGGATCTTGTAGGCGTGTACATTCAAATCTTTGTGGAGAATGCGGAGCAAACTGGTTCTCGAAATGCCCAATTCGACGCGTTGTTGATTGTTTCGGATCGTCTCTCACACTCTCCTTCACAATAGCAATATTTTCCGGTGTGCGAACGCTCCTTGGCCGGCCAGAGCCTGGCAGATTTGCCACAGAACCTGTTGCCTCGAATTTACGCACCTGACGACCGATGGTTGTTTCGTTTGGGCGGTTGTTGCGACTGAAACGTTCACGAAGCGCGCGAAACGTGTTTTTTATTTTTGCACCATTTTTGTAGTGCTCTTGAATAACTTTAATGCGGTCTTCAATCGAATACGACTCCATAGCGATCAATGGTAAACTTTCAACTAACAAAATGACATGTCGGTGACAGAAAACAAAGATGGCGACTATGTCAAATTGACGTTTACTTTCCTGCGTCCCTATTGGACAACCCAATAGCTATTGGTCATTCGCCCATAATACGACAAACAAGTGCAGAATTCGACAGGATAGAACTCAGGATCGGAGTATCGCCGGCACGCCGACACCGGCTGTTGCTGTTCATATTCGGTACATACATAGCGTGTGTTTAAACGTTAACATGTTGTCTATTGATACAGCTGATAAAACTGAAAATATTTCTCTCGATGCTTCCTGCAGCCATTCTTCCTCTTTAGTGATGTCTCCTCCCCGAAAAGGTGACAAGAAGGGACATTTGAATATTTAGGCAAAAGACATTGACCTTAACGTTTATAAGAGCGAAATTTTGGAGTATGCTCAGATGAAAATTGAAAGACATATGGCGAACAAAACAGGCTTATGTCCTAAAACAATTTTCAACATTGTTGAAGAATACATAAAAAATGATAAATTGTCTCCACCATACAGGAAGCTGTTAAATTCAGTTGATAACTTTGATCGGAATGCCATCACATGCAAAGTCCATCAATTTTTTGACAGGCAGGAACTTCCCATCATATTACAGGAGGTTAATAGTGATGAAGACTTATCTACTTTCAAAAGGACCACATTTTGAGTATAGGAAACCGGGCAGAAATATTATTTTGATAGACAGTCAAGAGATTATTTTATGGAGAAGAAATTATTTAGGATCAATAAAGAAATATCGCGACCAGGGCAGGAAGATTTATTACTTGGATGAAACCTGCATATATGCAGGACAGGGGCCGTTCAAGTATTACGAGAGCACTATGGGGGGGGTCTTTGCTTTGCTTATTTTGGATGACATGGGGGTAGGGGAGTCTAGATGATGATTACGTCTTCGGTAGTTATTTACTTTTTTACACGAATGCCAACCCTCACATTGTCTTTGCTTGAAAACGAAACGCATTTTCGGGGATTCCCGCAAATAATGCATACGTTTAGTGAACAGCGCGCGGTAATTCCCCTACTCGCTTTAGAACCGAGTAGAGGAATTACCGCGTGGTGTTCACTTGTCTAAATTTCCTCTATCAGTGTACAGTGTATTGTTTCGTTTGGATACTATAACGATTAGACGTATTGTAAGCATAGTAAAGCAAGTTAACATTTGTGTTACCATTGACTCCATTAGCCAAAGTTTAATGTTTAAACAAGATGTCGTTTCACATAGACAAATCCAAGTTATACCAAAAATTGTTTGAAAGTTTTAAAAAATCTCACACAAGTACGAAAGTACAAAATGTACAAAAGTTAGTTAACGAAGTGTGGCGAAATTACAAATTACAAGCAAAATCCGACAAGGAACTAGATATTATTGTAGCTAGGAGAATCGACGAAGAATTGCAAGCGGCGACTAAGAATAAATTCAATCTACTAAATTTTTTTTCTAAGGTGAATGACGAAATCATTTATGTATCTATGAGTACTAGAAATATTAGAAATCGAGAAATAGTTTCTCTTTACTGATTAGAAAATATTATGGCCTATCTCAAAGTATAGAGGTAATATTCATTATATTATAGATTTATTTCTTATGATTGATTCCGTCAATTGGTCACAAAGTACAGGATGTTAGTTTTATATATATAGGTATACAGAAAACTAACACCCTGTATTTTGTGACCGGACCGAATTGCTCGTTTAAACATATATGAGATTTAAAGCCATAGGGTTTTTACCATATATATTGCCATACTTTGTATTTATGTAGCTTAATAAGAGAATCTTTAGCAGAAGCTATAGAAAGTTTTTATTTTTAGGCAACCTGTAAACCTGCAGAAAAAACACAAATTATACAGTCAGCTTCACATATTAAAAAAGAGGAAGAAGATAAAATAAAACCCGGTAATGAATCACAACAGCAATGCGAAATTATTGAAAATACAGATAAACAGCGAGCAAAACCTTCTCAGGAAGCTATGAAAAATAAGATTGCTCTACTCGAAAAAAATCTGAATGCTTTGTATTCTGCCAGAGATACTATGCCAAGCCGTGCTGAAGTTTATCAACAGATCATTAAGTTGCGCGAGTAAATAAAAACAGCAAAACAGTCTTTAAACAGGAAGGTTCAAAATGCAGTTGCCCAGAAGAAACACAGGGATGGTATGAAAAGAAAGTTAGAAGATATTTGTCATGAAAATCCAGAAATAAAAGAAAGACTATCTCTGAGGGATTCCGTGGGACGCCCTAATCTTGAAAGCAATCAACATTCACTATTGAAAACAATCGCGGATGTAGCTTTATTTGGGAGTGCAGCAGATGATAGAAGACGAACGGAATCAATTCGTAGCGTAAAAACTCTTGATGAACTCAGACAAGAATTACGTAAAATAGGATTTGACATTAGTCGCAGTGGAACATATCTTCGTTTGATTCCCAGAAAATCTAATTCTGCAGAGGGACGAAGACATGTATCAACACTCCCTGTTAAGCTCAGTCGGGCTCAAACTGATCACCACAAGAGCCATTTAGATAGCAAGATCGTTGAAACATCAATCCATTATTTAGAGAACATAGCATTCATACTTGAACCAGATCAAGTATTTTTCATATCTCAAGAAGATAAAGCTTGAGTCCCTATTGGCGTAACTGCGGCAAATAAGCAAGCACCTCTTCTAATGCGCATGGAATATAGAATCAAATTGCCTGATCACCTTTGGGTAATCGCTGAGCGTCATATATTAATACCATCTGTTTATACTGGTATCAAAATCACTTCCAATATGTTAGGACACCCGCAAGCCGTTGGATATTCTGGACCAACATACATCGCTATTCGAAGTGGAAAGCATCGTTCATTTACGGCTAATACTGATGCTCAGGAGTTCGAGACGCTTCTCGAACTTGAAGAGTTTCGACCATTAGCTAAAACTGACCATGGACTAGTAAAACTAGTGGTAATCGTGACGGTTGATGGAGGGCCAGATAAAAATCCACGTTATCAAAAAGTCATAGGGTTTGCTATACAACACTTTAACCGACATGAACTCGTTGCATTGTTTTTAGCTACCAATGCTCCTGGAAGAAGTGCGTATAACAGAGTAGAGCGCAGAATGGCTCGTCTTAGTCGGGAACTGGCTGGTTTAATATTGCCTCATGACCATTTTGGGTCTCATTTGGATGAACGTGGCGTTACAATTGATGAACATTTAGAAAGATCTAATTTCGAATTTGCAGGAAATGTATTAAATGGTATTCAGAACATGTACGTGAGAGCCAATACCTGCTTCAAATTGTAAAATGTAGAAATACACCACCTGTCAAAGAAAAACAAACAGTTGATGACTTGGTTTTGGATGAAGGAGGGCAATTTCTTAATCTTCCAGTCAATTTAGCTCTACGCTTAAGTGATTCACTCAAAGATTTCCTGCAAATGCCCTACGATTATTTTTGTCCGACGGTAAAATTGAGGCTATCAAGTCGAACATGCAAAACATGTGGTCTTTATCATGCTTCCGTCAAGTCACTAAATCGTCACATCGAAAATATCCATAAAAAAGTAAACACGCACACTGATAGGAAAGTTAGACCTGTAAGAGTCGCTGCTCGTCGTGCTAATAAACTGATGTGCATTATTCAAAATTTAGAGCACCATGATGTTAAATGACTCGATGAAAACGACGTAGACATTCCAAAATCCGATGAAAGGGAGCAAACTCACAACACTGAGCAGCAATCGAAGCAATCCAATGTCATCGATGTCATGGATTCGGGTTTCATGGACTGAAGACTGTTAATTTGAATTTAATATATGTACAAAAAATTTAAAATAAGTTTGTTATGTTAGTAAGATATAATATTTTTGTCCTTTACTCTATGTTGAATTCCGTATCAGTAAAATATAATCTCTATCCTAAATCTATTTTCTTATTTTTCAAATTATAATTATAACGTTATAATTATAATATTAAAAAAAACAATAAATTAATTGACAAATGTTTACGTAAGCATGGGGGGAGGGGGTAAGAGCTTTGCTTATTTTTGCTGACAATGGGGATGGGGGGTAAATAATTGTAATAAATCTGCTTACGTAATACTTGAACGGCCCCACATACAAAACCTAAAGTATCGGTTGACTATACAATTAAATCAGCAAGACAAGCCTTCTTAGATGGACTAAGCACTGGCCTAAAGAATCCGTCAGGTACGTGTATCTAACCAATTCGTCATTTGTGTTGTTAAAATGGTGTCAAGTAGACTGAATCCATGAGTTGACGCTGAAAACTTAGCTACACTAAGCTTAGCTATATCTGGTAGATTTAGAACCAACGCCTGTCAGATTTGTTATCTGCCACATTGGCAGAGAAGATGGCTTTGTGCACAGTGCCCTATGGGCATTTGAGTCAAAGAAAACGAACGACTACCATGAAGAAATGGACGGGAGTTCAATTGAACGATGGTTTGAAGGAACGCTCCCACAGCTTAACGACATTATCGTCATTGTATTTTATAATGCTGCATACCACACTAGAAAACTAGAAAAAATTCCAACAATGTCCTCAAGTAAGGCAGAAATTCAACAATGGCTCCTACCAAAATACATTAGTTTCAATGAAAATATGGTCAAAGCAGAACTTATCCATCTAGTCAGGCAGCGCAAATATGAATATAATCTTAATGTTATTGATGAAATGGCTAAAAACCAAAATAGTACCGTTTCTAGACTACCCCCTTATCACTGCAAATTAAATCCCATTCAAATGATTTGGGCAAACATAAAAAACTATGTGGCTTCAAACAATAGAACATTCAAATTTTCTGACGTGAAAAATTTGCTTTATGAATCTGTCAGCAGAGTGATGGCAAACCATTGGAATGATTGCATCCGCCACGTTCAAGAGACAATCGAAACAAAGATGTGGGATCTGGACAGTATGATCGATATTCAAAATGAACCTGTAATAATTGATATTAACCATTCGGACGATGATTCAAGTACTTCCAGCGAATAAAGAGTTGTGAATAGTATTTGCACTTATTTCAATAAAAATAATCATTTATTTTGTTAGCTAATTCTAAGACCAATGAGGAAAATTACGGACCTGTATATGGGCTTACATAGACTACGAATGGGGTATAGATAAGTAAAAATAACTGTTCTAACTGTTTCCCCAGCTAATCAAGCAATGCTTGTAAAACGTTCTAAAAAGCAATTCAAAGCGAACGTATATTTACCTGAATCTGAAGTATCATTTCCAATGAAAAATGATCCTCTAAGGAAGACTTTCCCCTTTTTGCGTTTCCCTATATGTTCGAAGCTGTACAAGAAAGTCGCTGCGCCATTTCTGGACCATTTGTCAACTGTCAAAAATGCAGGAACACTGAAGAGTGCATCAGCTAAAATATAATTAAGATATGATACAGTTATGGAAATTGAACTGTAATCGTAAGGAGAATGAAATTTGCAGTGGAGGTAGATAAAAATAATTATGTAGACGATAAAAAACATCGTATCATGAAAAAGACTGACAGAATATTTTTCAAATTTACATATACATAGACAAATTGCTTTCTCTTTCTAATTTCCCTCAAACAATGTCAAGAGTTATAAACAATGGCTTTTAAAAAAATGCTAGCTAATTTATCTAAGCTGGTGTATGTATGTAGGTAATATTCTTTCTTTCTACCACCCTGAAAAATTATTGTTTCTAACTGTCTGCCATGGTCAGAGCCTCCAAGTATCACTGGATTATAAAATTGTTCTATTTAAATTTACCAGTGATATCTGCAACTTTATCCAGAGACGCTTGAAGATCTTGCTTCTTCGTTTCCAAATATTTTCCGAAATTTAGGGGCAGCAAATCAAGTGTCTTGTTCAGCCTTCCTTGTCTATGGAACTCAGTTATCTTGTTTATTGGCAGTTCATCTCTCAGATGGCCGACAAGCTCGGTATCCAAGAAGTTGGGAATTTTGTTGAGTTTATCCACTATGTCATTCTTCAAATGACCTGAAACCAGTTTACCATTAGAACGTTGACTTTTATAAAGAAAATGATACATTTAATAAAGATGGTTCCTGTACCTCGTACAGCTCTTTTTGTTTCATCCTTGCAAATGCCCGTCAAAAGTGGTATTTTAGGGTTTTTCTCCATTTCAAGATCCAGAGCGGGGTCAGCTTCAACTAATCCAGGCAAACATCTGCCATCATTGTAGCCTTCTATAACCGGAGCGCTTCCTAAGCCACCGGACATACCGGACATGAAGCCTCTTGTTTGTATTCTTTGGAATTCTATGTTAGAGTCTCCCTGCAAAATACGAGTTCGAAATTCAAACCAAAGAGCTGAGAAAACAATAGATTCAAGTTTGGTTGGAAGAGGGTTCCCAAGTTTCGGGAAACTCGAATTTCTCAGAAATTGAAAAAAATTCAAAACCGTGGTCGATGTTTCTACATGTATACAAAGTGGACGTAGTCGAACGATTGTTTGGTTATTATAAAAGGAATTTGATAAGTTTTTTACAATAAAAATGCATGCAACTATAATCTCATATACGAGCCCATTCCCACTTCAGTTGGCCCAACTATTGAAATCTTAGTTTTTTTCTTATCAAACACAAATAATAAGTGTAGCAGGGTGTTATAGGTTTAAAATATTAAAATGAATATTTTGATAATATATAGTAGAAAACACCAACTTTATCACTCCCTAATCGAATTTGCAGCATAAAAATAACACATGTTGCAATTACAGCATATCATCCTATTTTCATTTCAATGCAAAATAAGTATATAACGCATAGGTGGCTGTGAAAAATAAAAGCCATGATAATTGTTTTTATTAATCACAGCTGTCAGAATACGTTTAAAATAGCTTTGGGTAGTTAAGGTTTTCAAAATGGGTAGAGGAAAGGTTATTAATGAGAAAATTCGGTTACTGATAATTAAATTTTTTAATTCTGGGAAATCAAATTCAGAAATTGCAACTTCGTTAGACTTATCGTGGTACAGTGTGAGAAATATTGTTAGAAGATATAACGTAACTGGTTCACTTAATATTAAGCCACGATATGTGAAAAAAAGTAATATCACAAATGCCGACCGAAGAGCATTACGAAGAATAATCGTGAAAGACAGGCGTGTCAATTATTTACAATTAAGTGCTCTGTTGAGTGACGCTGTTGGAAGGAGAATTTCGAGGTCCACAACTCATAGAGAGGCCCACAAACTGGGATTTAGCACTTGCAAGGTAAGTTTTGTTAAAAAAAATATGAAGTAAAAACCCTAAAGTTGCACAACTTGATTATAGGCCAAAAAAAAGCCACTATTAGCTCCACTGCAAAAGAAAAATCAGCTTAGATGGGCTAAAGAACATGGACAATGGACACCTCAACAATGGTGTGCAATACAATGGAGTGATGAGGCCCGATTCGAAGTTTGTGGTGGTGACAATCGCAGTAGAGTTATTCACAAAAAAAATGAAGCATTCCATGTTGAGTCTCTGAAGAGAAAAGTGAAATTTCCAGCATCCATTATGGTCTGGGGCAGTATGTCATCAAAAGGAGTAGGAACACTTCATTTTATTGATGGAAATGTGGATACAAACAAATATTTGGCAATTTTAGAAGAATCGCTTTCACCAGTGATGGAAGAATGTTTGACCTCCGGCCAAGATTTTGTGTTTCAGCGTGCCATACCTCAAAAAAGGTTATAAAATGGATGGAAGAAAATAATGTACCACTTTTGAAATGGTTTTCTAGCAGTCCAGATCTGTCACCTATTGAAACTTTGTGGCACGAGATGAAAAAGGTTCTACGACAACATCCTGCTCGTACAATCACCGAACTGAGACAAAAGCTTCAAGAAATATTGGATTGTTTTGCACCAAATTTGTGCCAAAACTTGGTTAAAACTATATCCCAAAGAATTTCAGCCGTAATAAAAAATAAAGGTGATGTTACCCAATGGTAATCTTTCAATTGTTGCTTTGTTGACCTCGCGCATTTATTCGCACATTGTTTATTTGTTCAGATGTTCTATTAGTTATAGGTCTAAGTGATTTCAAATATGTATTTTTTACGACTAGAGTGTATCTAAAATGTTTTTGATAAAATATTTGTTTTAAGAAGTAAATAGTTTCGTCATGTTTAGTTTATAAAAGCAAATTTTGGTACAAATCTTGAAGTGGGCCAACTGAAGTGGGAAGGGGCTCGTATAGAAAATACGCCTTTTCACAGAGTGATTCATAACTACGTGGCAACTTAGTTATGAATAATTCTCAGAAAGAAAAATTCATATATCATAAACAAAATGTCTGAAGCTGTAGAATATTTTGTCAGGAAAAACTCTCAACCTTTTAGATACCTTGGCAGCTTGTAGATCGGTTACTTTTGCAGTTAGAACAACGAACTTTTCGTCAAAATGAGCTTCACATATCTCTGTTCTTTGTCATTCAAACGTTTTATTTTGTTTACCATCTATTCCGGGTATTTAAAAAATTGCCTCAAGTAGGTTGACTCCATTTCACTTTCCAAGCAAAGCCATCATCAGTTCATAAAGGATTATGTTGATCACAATTTAGACCGTCTGAGAAAAACTTAGTGACAACAGAGAAATTAGTCAAGTAGCAGTAAGCGGTAGTCAATCTGGCAACGTCGCATCTCCCCGATATTTGACGCCACAGTGCATCAGACGGGGCAACGCGGCAGTAAGGAGCACTTTCCAAGACCCATGCACGCCGGAGAACCCGGAAGAATTTCTCTATAATTTTAAGTGTTAAGGGCAAATGTTCAGTAAAATCTATGATGTGTACAATATGTCTAATAGAACTACGGATGCTGGGAGCGTATAAACATACTAATACAAAAAAATTGAGGTAACCCTCCCCAACCCCCCTAAATTCCTCCACCGCTCATTTTATGCCCCTAATGTTTATTCAAAGCTGATCAGTATCCTCAGAAACGTCAAAAAAACGAATTTTGAACCATTTCAATTTGTTCGTTTTTGACCTTTTATCCGCCGCCGCTGGACTGATTCTCTAAAACTACAAAGCTCTTTTGCCTTTGGAATAGACTTGAGTTAAAAATTCAACAAAATCCTACCGGCACTTTTCTAGTTATACTCGTAGATGGTTTTTCATTGATGTATAATATGTCATATAACACCCAAAAAAACGTAATACCCAATTTTTTACGATAGCAATACTTCCTCGCCAGTAGGCGTGGGAAGTAAAAAGCTAAAGGTTCTAAACATATCTTCTGATTCCATTATTATTTAAAGAGCTTAGGGTTAGTACATCTAGCAAAAACCCAAGAATAAAGGAGCGATCATACTAGCTAGCTCTCGAGGCCTAAGAAGTTCGACAATTAGAATGAGATGTAGGAGATCCATTAGGTAAACGTAAAACTGAAAGCTTTGTTTGTAATTACCCTTATTACTTCCTCGGGCGGTAGGTTCTGCAAGCATTTGACCATTGTGACTGGATCAGATGTTGGACAACCATTTTGTTCAGCGACATCCTGTGCGGTATTTTTAGGCGCATTGTCCATGGCCCAGTTAGAAACTGCAGTCCCTGACATGGCCACAACGCCAGTAGACATACCTGAAAGAAATGGGCATTGAAAAAAAAATGTAAAAATGAATCCGTCGTACTTTTATTCATGTTTTCCTCCGTCGAAATCGGATTACATAGGGTATAGTAATGTTCTAAAATTGAGGTACCAATGTAAATATATAGTCGAAATCACGAAAGATGACGATTACGTGATCATTTTAGTCTGTAGTAAAGACAAACGACAGCGATTTGTGAATATGTTTAATGAAGTTTCAGATATGTTAGACAGAGACAAACAAAATTTTATTGTCTAAACAGACTGTATTGCTAATTTGCATGTATCCGACAACCATATACAATGTTTTCATGTTGCATGATCGATCATATTTGAAAGATTAATAGTTAGGTTATGTTAAAGCAGGTTAGGTTGTTTTCGAATAATACTTTGGTTTTTGGTGTTCCCGTCTTAAGGTATTCTACTCATAACTGTTTTGTTTCAAACAAAAGCTCCCCACTAAAGTTATTATTAAGGTATCACTCAAAACCATGAAATAAATGAAAATAAAAATAATCAGTGAAATAACCTGACTTCACAAAATCATAATATAAATTTTTGTCATTATGTTCCTGACATCGTGATTTTATCATCGACGTACGTCCATTGATTAATTCAGTACAATTTATGGTATGAGGTAATAGTCAGCTTTCGTGATTTTGACTATAATATAATAGTAAATTGCTAGTTGATAATGTGTAGCTTCAAAAGCTTGTAACTTGGAGAGCACCTCAATAAATTTCTTTTTGAAGTTATGACTGTAAGTAATTTCGAAAATATTTGTCCAATATACAAAGTGCAGTGTAAGTGAAAGTTTCTTAAAATCTAGATGTTTCATGGCTTGGAATGGAATAAACTTGGCGAACTAGTTGTGAGGCAAAAGTTTATTTTGCTCTAAGTGCTCACGAAACTCATCACTTAGTAATTCCTCTAACAACTTCGACATGATATGTACAGCACTGATTGGTATCAAGGCCTTCAATCCTTCAATTATCGTATTTAGGAATAGTTGTTACAGTTGACTCTGTCCACATTTATGGTATTTCTCCTGTATCCAGTGACTGGTTGATAATTCTACTTAGTTGCTGCTTACGTTTCCAACACATTTGTAGTAATATCATCAATACCCACAGCATTCGATCTCACTTCTTTCAATTTCTGCGCAATTTTATCTGAGGTAACGTGACAAAATGAAGGTTTAGATATAGTAGAATTTTTTTGTCCCGAAAATGTGTCAACAAATAAGCCATCAGGTGGAACTGTTGGTAAAGAATCGATAAAGTAATTGTTGATGGCTCCAGGGTCTTCAATTTCCTGTGCTATCTGTTTGTTTGATTTTTGATAAATATTCCACTTGGAGAAATGATTCCAGAATTGCTTATGATTATTTCTATTTTTATTTAATGATGTCTTATACAGGGTCCGTCAGAAAGAACGCATGTTTTTCGAATGGGTACTACATCGAATGGGCTGTTCCCGTGTCAGTGGGGAAGGGCGTGTTGGATAGTGGAAGAAGTGCCATTTCAGTTGGCAAGATGGTTTGGAACGTTGAGCATCGTATGTTCACTGTACGTCGGTACATTCAAAATGGTAAGTCTGTCGTTCGAACGCAACGTGAGTCTCGCGTTCACTTTCGTGTTCCACGTCGTGGGACAGTACCAGACCGTAAAACCATTTTGAGATGGGTGGAAGCATTCAACACAACAGGCAATGTGATGAAGAAAAACACGCCAGTGCGAAACTGTACCGTTAGAACCCCCGAAAACGTAGACAGAGTGAGAGTTGACACGCTGCAAAGCCCGAATCCTTCCGTCCGTTTGTGCGACGCATCTTGAAGAAGGATTCAGTGTTCCATCCTCACAAAATCCAAGTTTGTCAACAACTGTTGCCAGGCGGTTATGCAACACGTGCTAATTTTGCACAGCTCATGATTGAACAGTTGGATAACAATGACATGACGTTGTTTATGAGTGATGAAGCACATTTTCATTTACATGGATAAGTCAATTAAAAAAATTGTCGATATTGGTCTAAAGTGAACCCCCAATAGTTGCATGAGCACCCCCTACATACTCCGAAAGTTACAGTTTGGTGTGCAGTAGGCCCAACGATAATTATTGGCCCTAATTTTTTTTGAGGCAAAAATTCCCAGGACGTCTCATTTCACGTTATGGCGATATTCCATGGCCCCCTCGCTCCCCGCACCTGTCAATGTGTGATTTTTTTTATGGGGTTACCTGAAATCAAAAGTTTACCAAAGCAAGCCTCGGACCCTCGTCAATTTGGAGGAGGAAATAAGAAGAGAAGTAATCCAAATTCCTGCAGGGATGCTTCCCGCATTTCGGCTCAAGGGCGTCATATGGCCGACATAGTTTTTTTAACGTAAATTTTGTTTTACTCAAAAAATTGCATGTATTTCTGGGTATTTTGATATAATAAAATACTTTTCCCATACTAATTTTGACTGTACTACTCATTTAAAAAACATGCGTTCTTTCTGACGGACCCTGTATAAGATATTTTTCGTTCTTCGAACCACCGCCTTAATAATGTTTAAGTTCGTTATATTATGTGCTATGTTTTTCGTATAGAGTGCTTTTAAATTTATGGTATGGTCTATAGTTGTGACGCTTTGTATATTGAACTAGCTCTCATTATTATTTAGACTTGTATCATATAATGACCATACTATATATACTCGTGTCGGTATCAGAAAGAAACAGAAGAATTGTAAACAGATACTATAAGTTTCTCGTGAACTATGTATATACTAGTATATTAGATATCTAGTTGAATGTAACACAACTTTCGGTCGGACCATAGCAGTTATATGTCCTGGATTATCTCGTAAACCGTGGCCGTGATGGTGAAATAATTTTTTACCGCGATGACCAAAATCGACGGTCTCATTGGACCGACCTATAATGTAGGTTATATGTTTTCATAAATACGTGGTTTTGGAATATTCGAACTGTAGATACAGCCGCCTTGCGCATCTCATATAAACGGCCACGGTTCGCCTCTACTAGGCGTGTTACGTGCGGTTCTGTGGCCGGCGGATGGGAAGAAATTTTACCTCCGATGCAGCGCCAATAATACCTTAAGCTACAGTATTTACTATACCTCAGAAGCATCTGATATAACCTACCCTTTGCAACATTAGACAGGGCGACCATGAGGGCACTGCTAGCCCCAGTACCATGTCCCATCACGTTGATCTTATATGGGTTTCCACCGAAGAACCCGATGTAGTTCCTCACCCATTGCACCGCGAGTACCATGTCCCAAAGGGCAACGTTTCCAGGCAAATGTTTGGTACCCGTACTCAGGAATCCTAATGAACCAAGGCGGTACTGGATGGTGACTACAACTAGTTGTTTACCAACTAGGTGACGTGCCTATATTTCAAAATGAACATTTAAATGTGTATAATGCGACATTACACGCCTCTCTGATATACAGGGTATTCTTAAAGTTGGAACAAAGCTCATGTGCGATAAAGCATTTTAAAAAGTGAGGAAAAGTAGTTCAGTGTTCATTTGATTAAAAATTTCAAGTGCCGGCCTGTATCATGCGGCTTATAAATACTGCTCAAAGTTGTGACAGTTCGATAAAAAAACAAGTTTGTTATATAGTTTTTCAATTTGAAACATTCGGGCTTTTCAGGTTTTCTATTGTGCCCCCTCGACCTTCTTACAAATGGTAAAAGATGGAAAACGATCTCCAATATACTAGCGAAGTATCAGAATTATCTTGAGGGCACTTCAATCTAATATTAAACCGACAAATTTATTATTACTTTAGGTGTGGGAACTTTCACATTTTCGTTAATTTTTTCAAATCCGATTAGAAAATTTATAACCAAAATACAATATTTATAAACAACTTCGGTCATCTGCACGGCAAGCAATGCTTGGTTTGGATACTGACGCGCGTCATATCATTTCGCCTAATCCTTCCCAAATCCAGACTTAATTTGTCAGATTTATTCAGATTCTAATAAGTCGGTAATCTTAAGACATACATATTTTTACGAAAACTGTATGTAAAGGAAAGTTTATCTTCAGAAATATTCTGTGGAATAACCCTTTTACTTCCTTCGCCCACCGGTGAGAAAAATATTTTAAAATGAGATATTATGTTTTTTAGATGTTATATGACATGTGCATCACGAAAAGCCGTCACTCATTTCCGTCGGTCTGTCTGTCTGTCCGCTAATCTTTGGCCCGTCTGTAACTTGGAAACTACTGCTCGGACTTGTATGAAATTTTTTCACAAGGTTATCACTATGGCAAGGACGACAAAGCTTTGTATTTTTTGAGAATCGGTCGGATGGCGGAGAAGAAGGTCAAAAACTATATAAATAAAAACTTTTTTTTTATGTTTCCGAACATCCTGATCATTTTTGGAAAAAAATAGGATAAAACATTAGAGTCTGGGGGGTTTTGGGGGGATTATATCTCAATTTTTTGATATTAGTATATCAATGACAGAGACATGTTCTGATACGAGTCTGCTTCTGCTCTCGGCGGCGTACCGGTCCTGGTAAGGGACCGTTCACGTATTACGTGAGCACTATGGGGGGGCGGGGCGGTCTTTGCTTTGATTATTTTGGATGACATGGGGGTAGGGGAGTCTAGATGATGATTACGTCATCGGTAGTTATTTACTTTTTTACACGAATGGCAACCCTCACATTGTCTTTGCTTGAAAACGAAACTCATTTTCGGGGACTCCCGCAAATAATGCATACGTCTAAATTTCCTCTATCAGTGTATTGTTTCGTTTGGATACTATAGCGAGTAGACGTATTGTAAGCAAGTTAACATTTGCGTTACCATTGATTCCATTAGCCAAAGCTTAATGTTTAAATAAGATGTCGTTTCACATAGACAAATCCAAGTTATACCAAAAATTGTTTGAAAGTTTTAAAAAATCTCATACATACAAGTACGAAAGTACAAAATGTACAAAATTTAGTTAACGAAGTATGGCGAAATTACAAATTACAAGCAAAATCCGACAAGGAACTAGATATTATTGTATCTAAGAGAATCGAAGAAGAATTGCAAGCGGCGACTAAGAATAAATCCAATCTACTAATTTTTTTTTCTAAGGTGAGTGACGAAATCATTTTAGGTACCTATGAGTACTAGAAATATTAGAAATCGCCAAAAAGTTTATCTTTACTGATTAGAAAATATTATGGCCTATCTCAAAGTATAGAGGTAATAATCATTATATTATAGATTTATTTCTTATGATTGATTCCGTCAATTGGTCACAAAGTACAGGGTGTTAGTTTTATACATATACAGGGTTATCCAAATTAAGTGTCCACCATTAGTAACTTTGTTATTAGTGAAAATACAAAGTTGTTTGAATTAGCAAACTAGTAGCATTTTTAACGCTGGTAAAAATGAGAAATAAAAAAAAACAATTGAGAGTCGTTATTTTGATTTTTTTCAGTAAAATAACATTTTTTTAAATGGAAACCCCTGTATATTATATTTTTTTCTGTTAAAGCATCAAATTTTAAACAAAAAAGTTCATAATGACTTTTCCGCTAAAGTCAAAATAACGATAAATATTTTTAATTATTTGCAGTATTATAATATTAAGACGGCTATGAAAACAACATGGCGTTCGCGATTTGACAGCATTAAGATAAGCGACAAATTGTTAAACTGGTCATACTGGCAACTAGAAGGCTTTGGAAAACAATGATAAAATCAAATAATGTCAAACATTAGTGTAAATACTTGTTTATAAGCGTTATTGTGTCATTAAGTTAAAGAAAAATGTTCTCCCATGAAGAAAAGTGTGATATGTTAGAATGCTATTTAGTGTGCAGAAAATCCTCCTTGAGAGCAAGAGAATACTACAGTGAATTATATCCCGCTCGCATTCAACCGTATGAACGATATTTTCTGAGACTTTATCGAAAATTTAGGGGCAACGAAAATGTTTTTGCTAAAACAAGGGCAAAAAAAGAATTCATAATAAGCGAGGCCACGGAAATTGCAGTTATTGGATATTTTGAAGCTTATCGTGAGAATTCAATAGCAGATATTCTCAAGGACTCTAATTTCAGTTATGGTACTGTTCAAAGGATTTTAAAAAAATACAAATTTATTCCGTATAAGTACCGACCAGTTCAAACGCTTTTGGCAGGGGATCCAGAGAGAAGACTTGTTTTTTGCCATTGGTATCTTAGCTTCTGTCGCCAAAATGTAAATAACTTTCGTTACCTTTTATGGACAGATGAATCAAATTTTTCAAATTCTGGAATGTTTAATAGAAAAAACCACCATTATTGGTCAAGAGAAAATCTTTTGTTAGTACATCCAAGAGGCCCACAAGTCCGTTTCAGTTTCAACGTTTGGTAAGGTATAATTGGTTCAAAAATTGTTGGCCCGTTCTTTTATGAGGGAACCCTAACTGGTGAAAGATATGTGGAATTTATGTCAGAAATTCTGACTAATTTCTTAGACGAATTGGATCTTATAAGTAGACATCATCTGCATTTTCAGCAAGATGGCGCACCTGCCCACAACTCCAGAGGTACTTATCATTTTCTAAGTACTACTTTTAATGATCAGTGGATAGGAACAAATGGCCCAATACAGTGGCCTCCCAGATCACCAGATCTAAACCCACTTGATTACTTCTTGTGGGGTTACTTAAAGAACCAAATTTACAAGCGAAGGTACGATAACCTTGACGCGTTAAAGACTGCAGTTAGGGAAAAGATAACCCAGATACTCGTAGATGGTATTACCATACTTAAGACAGTTCGAGCAGTTGAAAAACGTGCCCAAAAATGTATTGAAGAACAAGGTGGTGTTTTCGAGCATCTTCTTTAAAAAAAATTGTTATTGTATTTTGTAAGATTATAAGTTGATGTTGAAAATAAAGTTTGTCGATACAATTTAATTGTTTCAGATTGGAGGCCATAACTTCAACAATTTGTAACCTAGGAGAAAAGTTATTGTAAGCTTTTTGTTTAAAATTTGATGCTTTAACAGAAAAAAATATAATATACAGGGGTTTCCATTTAAAAAAATGTTATTTTACTGAAAAAAATCAAAATAACGACTCTCAATTGTTTTTTTTTTATTTCTCATTTTTACCAGCGTTAAAAATGCTACTAGTTTGCTATGTCAAACAACTTTGTATTTTCACTAATAACAAAGTTACTAATGGTGGACACTTAATTTGGATAACCCTGTATACAGAAGACTAACACCCTGTATTTTGTGACCGGAACGAATTGCTCGTTTAAACATATTAGATTTAAAGCCATAGGGTTTTGTATTTACCATATATATTGCCATACTTTGTATTTATGTAGCTTAATAAGAGAATCTTTAGCAGAAGCCATAGAAAATTTTTATTTTTAGGCAACCTGTATACCTCCAGAAAAAACACAAATTATACAGTCAGCTTCAAATATTAAAAAAGAGGAAGAAGATAAAATAAAACCCGGTAATGAATCACAACATCAATGCGAAATTAATGAAAATACAGATAAACAGAGAACAAAACCTTCTCAGGAAGCTATGAAAAATAAGATTGCTCTACTCGAAAAAAATCTGACTGCTTTGTATTCTGCCAGAGATACTATGCCAGCCGTGCTGAAGTTGATAAACAGATCATTAAGTTGCGCGAGGAAGTAAAAACAACAAAACAGTCTTTAAACAGGAAGGTTCAAAACGCAGTTGCCCAGAAGAAACACAGGGATGGTATGAAAAGAAAGTTAGAAGATATTTGTCATGAAAATCCAGAAATAAAAAAAGACTATCTCTGAGGGATTCAGTGGGATGTCCTAATCTTGAAAGCAATCAACATTCACTATTGAAAACAATCGCAGATATAGCTCTATTTGGGAGTGCAGCAGATGATAGAAGACGAACGGAATCAATTCGCAGCGTAAAAACTCTTGATGAACTCACACAAGAATTACGTAAAATAGGATTTGACATTAGTCGCAGTGGGACATATCTTCGTTTGATTCCCAGAAAATCTAATTTTGCAGAAGGACGAAGATATGTATCGACAGTCCCTGTTAAGCTCATTCGAGCTCAAACTGATCGCCATAAGAGCCACTTAGATAGCAAGTTCGCTGAAACATCAATCCATTATTTAGAGAACGTAGCATCCATACTTGGACCAGATCAAGTATTTTTCATATCTCAAGATGATAAAGCTCGAGTCCCTATTGGCGTAACTGCGGCAAATAAGCAAGCACCTCTTCTTATGCACATGGAATATAGAATCAAATTGCCTGATCACGATTGGGTAATCGCTGAGCGTCATAAATTAATACCATCTGTTTATGCTGGTATCAAAATCACTTCCAATATGCTAGGACAACCGCAAGCCGTTGGATATTCTGGACCAACACACATCGCTATTCGAAGTGGAAAGCATAGTTCATCTACTGCTAATACTCATGCTCAGGATTTTGAGACGCTTCTCGAACTTGAAGAGTTTCGAGCATTAGCTAAAACTGACCATGGACTAGTAAAACCAGTGGTAATCATGACGGTTGATGGAGGGCCAGATGAAAATCCACGTTATCAAAAAGTCATAGGGTTTGCTATACAACACTTTAAGCGACATGATCTCGATGCATTGTTTTTAGCTACCAATGCTCCTGGAAGAAGTGCGTATAACAGAGTAGAGCGCAGAATGGCTCCTCTTAGTCGGGAACTGGCTGGTTTAATATTGCCTTTGGATGAACGTGGCGTTACAATTGATGAACAGTTAGAAAGATCTAATTTCGAATTTGCAGGAAATGTATTAGCTGAAGTATGGAGTTCAATGGAAATTGATGGCTATAATGTTAATGCAAAATATGTTGGGGCAAGTGAACAAGATCTTCCTGATTTTCCAAACATTAAATGCTATTCAGAACATATGCGTGAAAGCCAATACTTGCTTCAAACTGTAAAAGGCAGAAATACAGAATGCTGTCGTCCAAGAAGTGGCCTATTTATATTACTAGACAATAGATTTCTTCCAGCACCTGTAAAAGTAAAACAAACAGTTGATGACTTGGTTTTGGATGAAGGAGGGTAATTTCTTAATCTTCCAGTCAATTTAGCTCTGCGCTTAAGTGCTTCACTCAAAGATTTCCTGCAAATGCCCAACGATTATTTTTGTCCGACGGTACAATTGGGGCTATCAAGTCGAACATGCAAAACGAGTGGTCTTTATCATGCTTCCGTCAAATCACTAAATCGTCACATCGGAAATATCCATAAAAAAGTAAACACGCACACTGATAGGAAAGTTAGACCTATAAGAGCACCATGATGTTGAATGGCTCGATGAGAACGACGTATACATTCCAAAATCCGATGAAAGCGAGCAAACTCACAACACTGAGCAGCAATCGAAGCAATCCAATGTCATCGAAAACTTAGAATCATGGATTCGGGTTTCATGGACTGAAGACTGTTAATTTGATTTTAATATATGTACAAAAAAATTAAAATAAGTTTGTTATGTTAGTAAGATATAATATTTTTGTCCTTTACTCTATGTTGAATACCGTATCAGAAAAATATAATCTCTATCCTAAATCTATTTTCTTATTTTTCAAATTATAATTAAAACATTATAATTATAATATTAAAAAAAATGTTTACGCAAGCATGGGGGGGGGGGATGGGGGGGTAAATAATTGTAATAAATCTGCTTACGTAATACTTGAACGACCCCTAAGTGTATTATTGTCGCAACTGACCGGATTAGGTATCGGGGAAAGACAGCATTGCCAGATGGATTACCAGTAAGGCCGGGAAAGGATGTCTATACTCTAATTGTATGAACCTATCTAACTGAACTTTTTTCTCACTAACGAACTGATGACGGCGTTGCGAGGGAAGTGTGGGGTCAATCTACTTGACCCCATTTTTTTCTTTGTAATACTTCGTCATAGCATCGGATAAATTGTAGCACTTACCCCATATTGAGATGCAGAACCATATCTGAAACCTCCACCATGGATCCAAACTACCACAGGAAGACCTAGAATATACAAACAGTTTTTATTGGTCTCATCCACAGGGCAACACAGCCCTTCAGAATTGTGGGTGCGTGGGCGCAGTGTTGTGCCAAGTAAGGTATAATGTGACAGAGGCAGAAAAACCTGCCCGAAGGGTGAGGTTCTAAGAGAAATGCTAAAACTAAAACGCCCCAGTAGTTCCCTACGGCTCCCACCATGGTGATGATTGCAGCATTTTGTGATGGTGGGCAACGTTGCGTCGAGCTTTCATATGAAAGAAGCCAAGGGTTATTGCAATTAGCCCCAAATAGCTAAGACTTAGCATACACCATGTTAATACGCCCCTGGCCTACGGAAAAAAATGATAATTTCGCTTTCTAAGCAATTATATGGCGTATTTGAGATATTCGAAAAAGTTATCATTATAATGGAAGTTGTGGATTTCAAGACAACGCACCCTGAGACAGACATCTCCGTCAGGCACTGGAGCTTACTTTAGGGCTTAGTTTCAAGGATTTACGTTTTTGTTTTCATTTAGATAGAGACAACCTAAAGGCGGCGACTGACTGAAGCCGAGCGCTGTAATGTAAAGCCGCATACAGACCGAGATTCCAACGCAAGCCAAAGCACATGTGGTTACGGATTTGGAGGTTTTCGAATCGGTGTGAACGACGCGAGCCAACATAAGCCAACGGTTTCCCAGGCCGGCAATGGCGTTCGATTGCGTTCGCTCCTTGTTCGGTACATCAAAAGAAGGTTTGATTAGGTCTGGACAGGGTATGCGCTTCTAGTATTTAGTCGTTTGTCTGCATGCGATAAGAGGAGACTCAACGCTCGACATTAGCACCGAACTTAAGCCAACGCGGTCCAACTCGAAACTAAATTTAGGTGTAGACGATCGCATTCCAATACCTCCCTACAACAAACGCCAAGGTCACATGTGCTTGCAGTCGTTTGATCGGCGTTGGATTTTCGGTCTGTACGCGGCTTAATGCTTACATCGAGCGTTGCATTGCAAGGTTCGTGATATGAGTTCAGCGAATGTTCACTTGGAATGCTCTGCTAAAAAGTGCTCCAAATTCTGTAGAGACTGTGCTCACAGACGAACTAGTCGCCACCTGTACTGACTTGTAATGTAACCATCAAAGGGATTCGTCAAAAAACCGACAGTCAAGTGGAGCACGATTTGCTTAACGTGAGAGGCTCTGTTCGGTGCTCGCTTTAGCGATTCACTGGGGAATTTCGGTATTACATTACATTAAGTCGCCGCCTTAAGTTGAGACGTCACCTGCATGTGATGGGGGGTAGCTATATTCTATTTCACGAGTATCCATCACGCTAGAATGACAGCTGATTATCTAGTAATATCGCAAAATTCCCCATATCGGCACAGGACACATAGTTCTGACGGGTCTGTCAACGTCAGGGCTGTATTTTGTTTTGCTTTTTTGTACGCTACAGATTCATTTTTGCTAACAGCTCTTTTATTTGGAAAAGTTCATTTGGGGCCGTTCAAGTATTACGTAAACAGATTTATTACAATTATTTACCCCCCCCCATCCCGCTTGTCAGCAAAAGTAAGCAAAGCTCTTACCCCCTCCCCCCATGCTTACGTAAACATTTGTCAATTAATGTATTGTTTTTTTTTAATATTATAATTATAACGTTATAATTATAATTTAAAAAATAAGAAAATAGATTTAAGATAGAGATTATATTTTACTGATATGGTATTCAACTTAGAGTAAAGGACAAAAATATTATATCTTACTAACATAACAAAGTTATTTTAAATTTTTGGTACATATATCAAATTCAAATTAACAGTCTTCAGTCCATGAAACCCGAATCCATGATTCTAAGTTTTCGATGACATTGGATTGCTTCGATTGCTGCTCAGTGTTGTGAGTTTGCTCGCTTTCATCGGATTTTGGAATGTCTACGTCGTTCTCATCGAGCCATTCAACATCATGGTGCTCTAAATTTTGAATAATGCACATCAGTTCATTAGCACGACGAGCAGCGACTCTTACAGGTCTAACTTTCCTATCAGTGTGCGTGTTTATTTTTTTATGGATATTTTCGATGTGGCGATTAAGTGACTTGACGGAAGCATGATAAAGACCACACGTTTTGCATGTTCGACTTGATAGCCTCAATTTTACCGTCGGACAAAAATAATCGTAGGCCATTTGCAGGAAATCTTTGAGTGAAACACTTAAGCGTAGAGCTAAATTGACTGGAAGATTAAGAAATTGCCCTCCTTCATCCAAAACCAAGTCATCAACTGTTTGTTTTACTTTTACAGGTGGTGGAAGAAACCTATTGTCTAGTAATCTCAATAGGCCACTTCTTGGACGACAGCATTCTGTATTTCTACATTTTACAATTTGAAGCAATGTCTGGAAAATCAGGAAGATCTTGTTCACCTGTCCCAACATATTTTGCATTAACATTATAGCCATCGATTTCCATTGAACTCCATACTTCAGCTAATACATTTCCTGCAAATTCGAAATTAGATCTTTCTAAATGTTCGGCAATTCGTCATCCTGTCGCTTAAAGTGTTGTATAGCAAACCCTATGACATTTTGATAACGTGGATTTTCATCTGGCCCTCAATCAACCGTCATGATTACCACTGGTTTTACTAGTCCATGGTCAGTTTTAGCTAATGGTCAAAACTCTTCAAGTTCGAGAAGCGTCTCGAAATCCTGAGCATGAGTATTAGCAGTAGATGAACTATGCTTTCCACTTCGAACAGCGATGTATGTTGGTCCAGAATATCCAACGGCTTGCGGTTCTCCTAGCATATTGGAAGTGATTTTGATACCAGCATAAACAGATGGTATTAATTTATGACGCTCAGCGATTACCCAATCCTGATCAGGCAATTTGATTCTATATTCCATGTGCATTGGAAGAGGTGCTTGCTTATTTGCCGCAGTTACGCCAATAGGGACTCGAGCTTTATCATCTTGAGATATGAAAAATACTTGCTCTGGTGCAAGTATGGATGCTATGTTCTCTAAATAATGGATTGATGTTTCAGCGAACTTGCTATCTAAGTGGCTCTTGTGGTGATCAGTTTGAGCCCGAATGAGCTTAACAGGGACTGTCGATACATGTCTTCGACACTCTGCAGAATTAGATCTTCTGGGAATCAAACGAAGATATGTCCCACTGCGACTAATGTCAAATCCTGTTTTACGTAATTCTAGTGTGAGTTCATCAAGAGTTTTTACGCTACGAATTGATTCCGTTCGTCTTCTATCATCTGCTGCACTCCCAAATAAAGCTATATACGCGATTGTTTTCAATAGTGAATGTTGATTGCTTTCAAGATTAGGACGTCTCACTGAATCCCTCAGAGATCTTTTTTTTATTTCTGGATTTTCATGACAAATGTCTTCTAACTTTCTTTTTATACCATCCCTGTGTTTCTTCTGGACAACAGCGTTTGGATGTTTGGAACCTTCCTGTTTAAAGACTGTTTTGCTGTTTTTATTTCCTCGCGCAACTTAATGATCTGTTTATTAACTTCAGCACGGCTTGGCATAGTATCTCTGGCAGAATACAAAGCATTCAGTTTTTTTCGAGTAGAGCAATCTTATTTTTCATAGCTTCCTGAGAAGGTCTTGCTCTCTGTTTTTCTGTATTTTCATTAATTTCGCATTGCTGTTGTGATTCATTACCGGGTTTTATTTTATCTTCTTCCTCTTTTTTAATATTTGAAGCTGACTGTATGATTTGTGTTATACAGGTAAGATTCTATTATTAAGCTACATGAATACAAAGTATGGCAATATATATGGTAATAATATAATAGAAAACCCTATGGCTTTGAATCTAATATATTTAAACGAGCAATTCGTTCCGGTCACAAAATACAGGGTGTCTAGTACTCATAGGTACCTAAAATGATTTCGTCACTCACCTTAGAAAAAAAAATTAGTAGATTGGATTTATTCTTAGTCGCCGCTTGCAATTCTTCTTAGACTCTCTTAGATACAATAATATCATTCATGTAGTTTCTTGTCGGATTTTGCTTGTAATTTGTAATTTCGCCATACTTCGTTAACTAACTTTTGTACATTTTGTACTTTCGTACTTGTATGAGATTTTTTAAAACTTTCAAATAATTTTTGGTATAACTTGGATTTGTCTATGTCAAACGACATCTTATTTAAACATCAAACTTTGGCTAATGGAATCAATGGTAACACAAATGTTAACTTGCTTTACTATGCTTACAATACGTCTAATCGTTATAGTATCCAAACGAAACAATACACTGTACACTGATAGAGGAAATTTAGACAAGTGAACACCGCGCGGTTATTCACCTACTCGGTTCTAAAGCGAGTAGGGGAATTACCGCACGCGTTTCGTTTTCAAGCAAAGACAATGTGAGGATTGCCATTCGTGTAAAAAAAAAGTAAATAACTACCGATGACGTAATCATCATCTAGACTCCCCTACCCCCCATATCATCCAAAATAAGCCCCCCACATAGTGCTCACGTAATACTTGAACGGCCCCTTTGCATACAAAAAACAAAACGCTACAAACAAGTTTTACTAGATTTACACCAGATTCATTATTGCCAACGTCGCAGACTAACACAAAAATGTCACAGGCTGACCAGCTGTTCACCTCAGTAGACATCAACGCGTGATGGATACTCGTTAAATAGGGTATACGGGATCTGGCTACTACAGGAAAACTATACTGAGATCCAACATCTTAGATACGAACCAGAGCATCAATGAGTTTGAACTTAAGGCCTTACGCTGCTTCACTATAGGTATGGGGTATAGGGAATATGAAACTGCAAAAGGACCCGAATTGAGGAGTATGCATGCAATTATTACTACTACTCAAAACATAAAACTACCTTCAGAACCCGTAGGTAATTCTGGTGTGAACACGTTCAATGCCAGGCAGTCCTCGCTTCCAATTATTTGATTTGTTCCAGGACGTGGTTGTATACAGGGTGGTGCAAATGCCGTGGCGTTTACGTCATCTGCTAGTAGTTTCTGACGGGGTCTCTAGCAACATAAGTCAATACAAATTAAATAATAGCTTTACCTACTATTAAGCCGTCGATATTTCAAACATGATTGACTAAAAAGCAAATAAAAATGTGTATAATAAGGAAGGAATGAAGTGTGAAGTCTTGCAGAACAGTAAGGCTGGTAGCGAATGACTACCTGTGTACCAAATAAGCCATACTCAAAGTGAATTCGCAGCAAGGTATGGCAGGGGGAGCATCGAAAGTATTTCAGAAATTGTTAGGTATCTTCATTTATTTGGATGAGAACTTCCTTGGATAAAAAAGATACGTTTATCACGAACCTGTCTGCTTTTCGCTGAGTTCGACTGCAGGCTCCAAAAGCCCAACTTTCCAACTTCAAAATAAAGTTACACGAGCATTCCAGTGTATAGTCTAATCATATTAGACGAAAATACCCCTGGTTTGCGAAATAATTGTAAAGTCTGATTTTATTACTGCAAGTTGTTTAAGGGGTACTCAAAACATGAACGCATAAAATGGGTACACCCATTTTTGTGGGAAAACTTTAATCCGACAACAAAGAATGAGAATACGTGTTTTTCGGGCTTCAATCGAAAGTGTTGGCAGGAAAGAAAAAACTCTTCATATAAGATTTTTAGGTATTTATGATACCTACAAAATGACACCACACTCAAAAAGATCCGACTAATAGTAAAAAAGTTATGGCCGAAAATCGAGGCAAACTGCAGGTTTTGGCAATGCGGCGATGGTTTCTCGCGGATACTTGAAATTCTTCATATTCGTAGGATACGTACTTCTAAATAACCACAACAAAATTGGAGCAGATTGGTTAAGTAGTTTTTGAGAATTTCTATTTGTCTTTCCCAAAACACCTGTTTTTCGGCCATCACTACTAGTTTATTGAGCAATATACAGGGTTAGTTCAAAGGGCATTTTATAGCAAAATATACTAGTTTACATTGCCGATATGAATCGCAAACCAATCCGGAAGATAAATTTTACTTTTATGCAAAAAAGGATGAATTACGTTTTTTCTTCTGAACAAATTCAAACATTTCGTATTTGTGGGTAATTCACAACAAAAGATGCTAGAGACATCGATTTTGTTTTAAAATGTGTATAGTAACGTATGTTTTCCGAATATCGTAGCGCTTTTGTTCAATTACTCACAAATACGAAATATTTGAATTTGATTAGAAGAAAAAAAGGAACCTTCGTTTTATGCATAAAATAACATTTATCTTTCGGAATGGTTTGTGATTCTTATCGGCAAGGTAAACGCGTGTATTTTGCTTTTAAATGCTCTTTTAACGAACCCTGTATATTGCTCAATAAACTAGTAGTGATGGCCGGAAGACCGGTGTTTTGAGATAAACAATTAGAAATTCTCAAAAAACTACTTGACCAATCGACTCTAATTTTGTTGTGGTCATTTAGAAGTGTGAAGCCTACGGATATGACGAATTTCAAGTAGTTGCGTGGAATTATCGTCGCATTACCAACAAGTGCCAAAACCGGCATTTTGACACGTTTTTCGGCCATAATGTTTTTCCTATTAATCGGATCTTTTTACGTGTGGTCTCATTTTGTAGGTCTCATAAATATCTAAGAATCTTATATGAAAAGTTTTTACGTTCCAACACTTTCGATTGAATCCCAAAAAAACACGTTTTCTCATTCTTTGTTGTCTATGTTTTAAATACCCTTGAACAACTTGCAGCAATAAAACCATACTTTACAATTATTTCGGGAAAGTTTGCTAATATGATTAGACTAGAATCAAGTTTCGTTCACTTGTAGAGACGGGGGACGAAAAAAAATTGTAATTTCACGCTGTGGCATACAATTATCAGAAAAAACTGATGTGTAAGTTGGATGCCTAGAGGTACATTACTCTACTCTAAGTAGGACGTTGCGACACTTTAGAACTTTTTGATGGACATACTCGCAATCAACTTCTCAAATTACCCCTGCGAATCGGAGTCTTTCTCACATATAGCCACGGAGGTGGAACATGAAAATGTTGCATTAAAAAACTTCGAGGTTCAAAAGGAAGAAATTATCTGCCTATCTACAATATCGTTCAAGACCCGCTTCTTAAGTGAACCGAGTGCGAAGGTTACAAATATGTCTTTCAGGAAGATCATCGAGAGGGTTACCAATGTTGCCGAACCGAAAAATATGAAATTGGTAGACAGTGTCGCAAAAAATTCGGTAGATTCAATGACAACATAGGTAGGAGGACAAAATCTGGGTCATCACAAGATCAGCAATGGATTAAGAGAATTTGCGTCACACAACGCCCTCTATGAAAAAGGTATATTTTTGTACTGCGCGTATTATTATTACATGTAGTGCAATAAACGTACTGGTCGCTCTTCAAACTCCTTTGCAACCATCATTGGAACCTTTTTTGCCGTTCTTTTTTGTAAAATTCTGTTCAATTAAACACAGACGAGCTTTGGTTTTCTTATAGCTGACTAGTGATATGATAATACCGGAGATCTACCAGTCGGTACTTGTTCTATAAAAAACCAATATAGAAAGCGGAATAAAGCATTTGCATATATAATAATCTACGTCCCCCATGGCCCGACTACCCAGGTGTGCCGCTTATCGGAGACTGGTATGGGGCACGAAACTTTACAGGGTGTTCCTTAATGATATGCTAATATTTAAGGGCGTAAATCTACATGAAAAATTAATGTTAGTTTGCTTTATAAACTATGGTCCAAAAACGTTTCCTTACGAAAACTCGGAGTGTTGAAGTTTTAGGAAAAAATGGAAATTAATTAATATTTCCAGAACCCCTTCAGATATTTCGTGACGTGCGTACGGGTATTGACTTCGATATTTTTTCAGAAAAAAATGGTACGCCAATGGTTTTTTGTCAAGTAAAAACTATTTTTTAATTCCATTCAATTTAAGACAAATGATCTCTCTTGAATTGCTTTTTTTCGATGCGCCATTTTTGAGTAAAAAAATAAAAACCGTTCTATTGTCTAACTTGCAAAATTATTATTAATTTTATTGGAAAAATTAAACACATTAGGGGTAATGAACAACAACAACTCACAACATAAACATAACACGAAAACCATTGAAATGATTACAAAAATTGTTGAAAATGGCTCCCTTCACTTAGTGTGCATGCTTCCGCACTCCGTCTCATGGAATTGCGCACTCGTTGAAATATCCCTGGAGTGTTTTTTATTCTATCACAAGCTGCAACTATTATTTCTCTTAATTCCTCTACAGTGTTAATAGGACTTGTGTACACTAGTTTCTTAAGATAGCCCCACAAAAAGAATTCTAAACTGTTGAGGTCTCGGGACCTTGGTGGCCATTCTTGGGGCCCACTGCAGCCAATCCAACGATTTGGATAAGCAGTTAGTAAATAATTACGAACGGCTACACTGAAATGCGCTAGTGCACCATCATGCATGTACCATATATTGTTTCTTATTACTAACGGAACATCATCAAGCAGCAAAGGCAACTGTTGTTGAAGACAATTGAGATAAGTCTGTCTGTCAAGTCATCCCGGCAAGAAGAATGGGCCAATAAAGTGGTTGCCAATAATTCCTGCCCATACGTTAACCGAAAATTGGTGTTGGAAATGGGTTTCGGGTACGGCATAAATTCTGAATGACATTTCGGGAAAAATTAGATTCGTCCGTGAACAGAATCATTGATTCAAATTGCAGATTTTGTGTAATTTTTTGAAGATACCACAAAGGGTCACACGCCTTGGAAAATCAATGGGAAGTAATGTCTGTACTCTTAAAATATGTAAGAATATAACAAAAAATCGACTAAAATTCTCCAAACAATTTGATGGCAAATATTTAAGTGTCTTCCACACCCCGGGTTTTTGTAAGAAAACATTTTAGGGCCATAGTTTATAAAGCAAACTAACATTAATTTTTCTTGTAGATTCACACCCTTAAATATTCGCATATCGCAAGGAACACACTGTATAGACTACTCAGAATTCATTTTTCAGCTTTATTTTTGCTTCCAGCTCTTTTTCGGTAAAAAATCTGGAAATATCTAGATTGTTTTAAAAACATCGTGGAAAATGAGGACGTTTTCGGCATTTCGGTAAAAAAGGTCTCATTTCGGTAGAAATATTGAAAAATCGGTAGGTTCAGCAACACAAGCGGTCCATTTTCTTACTTCGACTTCGTGACACCTCAGAATTTTTTTACCGTCATAATTTCTGTTTCCTTAGCATCATATACAGGGTATCCTGAAAGTTGGAACTTTCCTTTCCAGAAGCAACTATCTTTGAAATAACAATGTTAATGTGTGGTAAAAACGTAAAAAAGAAATTGAAAAAAATACTCAATATTTATTTGCTAGGGCATTTAAAGGGCTGTCTTGTCACATGCTTTGTTAGTAATTACTGCTTGAAGTTATCGCTATTCGATTCAAAAACAGTAGTTTTTTTACTTCTTCCTAAATTTGCAACATTTGGGTCTTCTAATATGTCCACCCACACCTCATTTTTGCACGATATAAGCAAACCCATGCAGCTCTGATGAAAACATCGAGGACAACGACGACTTTTTGAATACTCGAATATGCTACCGGAGTATTAATAGAATCTTGAAGGCTCTCGCACCGAATTAACTTCAAATTCACTACGCTATTGTTGTATGAATGTATCAATTTCGGTCTTCAAATGCGTTGTGCTTATAAACTAGGTTAATCTACACACCGCGCGGCGCCAGATTTGGATACTGACTCATATAGACATAGTAGGCTTATCCAGTTTTTCGGAACTGAATATCTCGTTTCTCATAAGGCATAAGGGTATATGTGCTGCTTGGAAAGCTTGATTGTTATTGCCTGAACCAGAGGCTTTGCAAAAGAAATTCCCAACTTTGAGTATATGCTATGATCATTCTGACACTGCCATGACAATTTCGATACAGAAATCAATAAGTCAGGTAGTTTAGCTAATCTGTGGGGCTGACAGGGTTATTACGTGAAAAACCTTTATAATGTCAAGACCGATAAAACGCCAACTTGTTGACTAAGTAGGCTAGTGTGCAAATAGTTCATTCGGCGCTTGCTACAAGTAAGCATGAAGTGAACGATAGCTAGTTTCAAGTTGATGTCTTATTGAGAAACCTACATAATGTCGTAAAAGCCCTACATAATATCAGAAAAGCGACATAATGCCGCTTTTCAAGTTACATACTACCCCTGCCGTTGTAAAAACTATCTTGACGCATCATGAACGGTGACACAGTGACATCATAGCTGGCGACCTTGAAATTGTCGTTATGAGTGTTTACTTAGAGAAAATCATTCTCATTGCTGTCCTCTACCGTTCTCCAAAGGGAGATAGCTTCTAATATATGGACAGTAACATAGTAAATATACCAAAAACCTATCCTTCCCAGTAGGCGGTTCTGCATATCTGATTCCTCTGAAGACGTAGTGCGGGAAATCTTGAACTCCCAGAACCCGAGCCACTCTTCCTCCGAAATTTGTGTATACAGTAGGGTCATCTTGTGGTGGCGCTTCGGCAGGGTCACCACCAACTATTCTTTTAACTCGGGCACATTCCACAAAAAGTAGCGGTGAGGAGAGCATCAGGAGCAAATGTACACCCCTCATATTCCTGAAAGCGAGAATTGTTTGTAAAATGCGAGAGCTAGACGAAAATTCGTAAATGTTCGTAAATGGGTATAATTTGCAACGACTTTGCAACATGGATCCGACTGAATTTATTATTTATGAAATAATTCATCTGATCAACAGATAAAGCTCCTAAAAATAAATACAAAATAGAAATGACAGTTCACAGAATTTAACATATGCACATTATTCACCGTACGTACAGGCCTTAAGGAATACCTCAGTACCACCGCTCAGAACCGATTGCCGGGTGGCGGTACAAGTCCGCCAACGGGCCACTTTAGGTCTATTTAACATCATTAACACGCAAAAAGAAGGTGGTAGCCAAGGACTAATTGACCGAGGCGGTACCACCCGCTAGCTTTTTTCAGGGTGTCGAAAGAATGTCCGCATGTTTCCACATCTAAGCTACCCAACAAAGAGATTAATGATGATGGATCCCTCGATTACTAATGATTTGACACGGGTACTATGTAAAAAAACTTAAAAAATGTAAAAAACCGACGAAATGACATCTTGCAGACTGGGTAGTTTTTGGTGCGCGAATAGTTCATATCGCTCCGTTGATAGAAAAGTGACATAACTCAAAAATTAGCATTTTTGAGTTACGTTAATAAAAAGGCACCCTAAAGCATGTATATTTATGTGGAAAAGTGACACACCTATAGTTCTTCATACTTACCGCTAGAGAGCAGAAGTGTCAGATGTCCTCTAAACAAGGAGGTCATGCATGTTTATTGAAAAACGACAGTTGTGATTCAGATACGGTAGTGGAGTGCTGCTAGTCGTGAAGTGTTTTATAGAAAAACGTGCTATCTCCAGTTGTGTTATCTTTCGTCGTGAAATAACTTTATACTCGTTCATTTCTTTTATAGAAAAACGTCATATTTCGAGTTGTGCCATATTTCTTTCATAGATGAGCTGATACTAATTGGTTTTATTTATGGAAGAAAGTCTTATTTCGTGATATGTCATTTTTCCTTAGAAGGTAGGTGTATTTCAGATTCATTTTATCTACAGAAAAGTGTCTTTCTTCAAGTTGTGACATTGTTCTTTATATTTTACAATAAAATATTTGAATTGTGACTGTTTTCTAACCTCAAACTTGGAGATGTGACAGTTTTCTACAAATATCAGAAAATTATTTTTGGAATTATGACATTGACAGACTAATCAGTTTCTGTTTTGTTTTAGGCTACACAACATTCCTAAATCTTTTAACAATCAGGATGTTTTGCCAAAGAGAGAAACTTATTACAAAACTAGCCTTAGAACAGCCTACAAAAGAATGGAAGGTACTTGAGACTGTGAAAGGTTAGCAAGTTTATCCAGTTTTTCATACTATATTCAGTATAATTTATGCTTACTCACCTAATAAATTAATTCCAGATTCAACTGTTGTAGAGTGTGCAACCAAGAGTGTCGATAATGCTTCACAATGTATAATTGACGGTGAAGCTACTTTCATTGATAAAAATAATATTGCTTGTGAAATTGGCCTTAATATGGTTGATGATATTCCTGGAAGTGGTAAATATCTACACAAACGTTCTATTCACTTCAATGTGTTGTATTTCATGAAGTCTTTTAAGCAATAAGCATAAGTTTTTATACCTAATCAATAGATCACAAAAGATGACCTCTGCCCAAGCCATTGCCCCTAGCAACCTGACCAACAAATCCTAGATTCCATGTAAATTCCAATTGGGCTGTCATTAAATAATCATGGTTTTTGAAGTACTGCAGTGATTTTAGTGCGCCTTTTTTATTATTTTTCCACTCTGTGAAGTTCTACAAGAATGACTAGGAAAGGAGGCATGCTTGTGTCTGTTCTATAGAGGAAAAAATATACTGCTGGCTGGCGAGAATCCTTCCTTGTCAACACTAACAGACAGAAGTTCTGCTACATAATGCAGGACAATTTAATAACTCTGGAAGTTTTTCTTAGACTTCATATTGCTTCATTATTTGCTTGGTAAAGTCATAGAAAAAAATCCTTGGTTCTCCCTTGTTTACTGGATAAAGTAACCTAACACGAGGTCAACTTTTGTTGGTCCTAATCTACCTTTGGCTAACATGGAAACGCCGGGGCGTGGCATCACCACCTTTCTGGTCCATATTATCGAATTCGTTAGATCAATCTGAGTCCCCTGTATTTTCCAGATCATGCTTCTCCCAGTTTCTATGAATTACAGCCCATGGGCAAAACCACCAATGTAATTGGTAACGCTACCGATGAAGTTGATAGTAGTATGGATAACGACATAACACCTGAAATTGGTAGGTAATCAGATCTTTCTTTGGTTTTGTGATTATGTTCTTTGCACATCCTCATGCTTTATTATTATTTCAGAGAGTATGGTCAACGATGCTGATGAAAATGACAGTTCAGCTGTGCAAGACATTTTTGATTCTGACGATACTGATGAAGACCCAAACTACTTATCTGAGACAGAAAGCGAGAGTTCATCACAGAGCGAGTCTGTGAGCGCCATTTCATTAGCTATAGGATCCTTGGGTTCCCAGCAGGGCGCAGAAAATGCTTCAGGAAATCTTCCAGAAATTGAAAAAATAACCACAGCAGATGTTAAGAGAACTAAGAAACGTAAGCCTAATGAGTCCCAGTGGAAAAAAAAATGCTGCCAAATTAGCCAGAAACGCTGGAGTTGAGTATGTGTCATCATCGAAATCCAAAAAAGTGATCCGAGCAAGAGAAATGAAGCCTCCCTGCAAAGATAGCTGCAGACTCAAATGCAAAACAAGGATTACTGAGGAGTGTCGCAAAACTATTTTTGATAACTTTTGGGCATTTGGTGATTCACAACGACAACGAGACTATTTATCATCTTGCATGAAGCCTGTTAAACCCAAATACCAATACCATCGGAGTAACTCCAATCGGCGTGACAATAATTCATTCCATTTTGCAGTTAATGGAAATATTGTTAGAGTTTGTAAATCATTTTTTAAATCTACTCTGGATATAACAGATAGACCAATAAGAACTGTAGTAAGCAAACAGGCTGCATGTGGAGGAATGGTGGCACAGGATCTCCGAGGAAAACATGGCAAACATCCTAAACTGGAAGCACTATTTGAGAGCTCATTCTTCTCGTGAATATATCGAAGGTGGTAGGTCCCTACGTGATCTACACAGGGATTACACTAAGGCGTGTGCAGAAAATAACTCACCTGCTAGAAAGTACTTGATTTACCATCAAATTTTTACTCGTGAATATAATATTTCTTTTTTCACGCCAAAAAAAGATCAATGTGGAGTTTGTTCTACCTACACGAACGCTTCAGTCGAAGAGAGAGAAAATTTAAGAAATGAATATGAAACCCATTTACCAGAAAAAGATCTGTCCCGGGTTGAAAAATCTGACGACAAACACAAGATTGATCAAAATTATGTAATAGCTTGTTTTGACCTCCAGGCAGTGCTACCATGCCCCACGGGAGACACGTCAACATTCTATTATACTTCAAAGCTTAATGTTTTTAATTTCACAATATACGAAATGTCGCGAAATAAGCAGGATGATCAATGTTACTGTTATGTTTGGGATGAAACTCAAGGACAAAGAGGGGCAAATGAAATTGGTTCTTGTCTCCTCAAATTCTTAGACGAAAAATCGAAAGCAAATCCTGATGGTGAAATAGAAATTGTACTGTATTCCGACAACTGTGTGGGACAACAAAAAAATCGTTTTATTCTAACCATGTATGTGTATGCTTTGACTAAATATACCAATATAAAGTCCATTACCCACAAGTTCTTAATCCAAAGACACACACAAAATGAGGGCGATTCAGCACATTCTGTGATTGAGCGTCAGGTAAAACGCTGTTTGAAATCAGGTCCAATTTATTTGCCAGCAGAATACGTTGGAATCATCAAAACTGCCAAGAAAAATGGGAGACCTTACTTAGTGAGGGAATTGTCTTTTAAAGATTTTTTTGATCTAAAAAAACTAAATGAGAAAATTGGATCTTCAGATAAAAGAAGTTCTAACGATGATAAGATGGGTGACATGAAAATAATAAAAATTTCAAAAGAAAATCCATACAAAATTCTGTACAAGATGTCTTATTCAGACGAACATTTCAGTACATTGGATATAAAAAACCCAGAACGACGGTAAATAAAGGAAATGATGGTATAACCCTACAAAAATTGTACACACATAAACTGAAGCTTGCCGACAAGAAAAAAAACGGACTACTGCAACTAGTGAAAAAAGAGCATATTCCCGTCAAACATGCAGAATTTTATAAAACATTATAATACTTTATGTCTTGTGCTTAAACATTTCAACATTCAACAATGTTTGTACATCTGCAATACTGTTTACATGTTTCATTAAAATATTTTCGAAATTTCTCGATTTTTTCTGGCGATTTTATATGACATCTTATAACAAGTAATCGTTTTCTGATATGGAAAAGTGACACAACTAGGATAAGGGTTGAAATCTACGTCGTAATTAGGGTCCACCAGGTCAAACCATACAAATTCGTCTATTTTTCCAAAGGATACATTATAATTGAAAGAATAAAAGAAAAAAAATTATTTCATTCATATTCACTGTCCTGATCAATACGCTGTTCCATTGCAAAACTTTTGAATTGCCCATACCGAAAAAATGCAATTTTTGAATTATGTCACTTTTCTATCAACGGAGCGATATACATACATCCCTGATACAGTGAAAGTGCCTAAACCAATGACCAACGGCTGGTTCAACAAATCGTGCGATACTGCTCGTCAGCAGAACATCAAGGCACACTGAACCTTCTTACAGACAAGTCGGCGTCGAGTCCAGAAACAAATATAAGGAAGCGGTCCGCAATGCCGTCGATTCAAAAGGTTCCCTACACTAAGTGGGAAGTAACATTCAGGCATACGCTCGTAAGATGGGTGCTCTTGTCGCTCGACATCAACAAATCTTCTGGTTCAAACTTGATTACTGCCGTTGTATTGAATAGGAGTGCACCAGTACATTTCCAGAAAACTGGAAATTTGCTCATGTCCAACCCATCCCAAGAAAGGGATATAAGACCGAACCTTATAACTACAGGCCTATTGCTCTGATTTCTGTTATAAGTATAAATCGCGAGCGTCTGGACTATCTCGAACGTCACGGCTTGATTAGCGACAGGCAGTATGCTTTCCGGTACCAGTGATCCATTTCACGCAACTATGGAGTAAACTCAGCTCTTGATATCACGAAAGCGTTAAATCAGCTGTGACACGCTGCCCTTTTATGCCAACTTCCATCCTATGGCCTCCCCGAGAAGCTTTGTAGATGGGTGGCTGACTTTCTCTCTCGCCGCAAGAAATCCGTCGTAATTGACGGATTCTCTTATTCATCCCACAACGTCAACGCGGGTGTTCTCCAGGGATCGGTCTTGGCTCCGACACTATTCCTTTTACATATCAATGACCCCCTTTCCCGTATGATCAATCCAATCCAGAGCTTTGCTGATGACAGCACTCTACATGCAGGAATTCAGAGCGACAAACCGATCTCTGTTGGTGAGCTGGAAAAAAGAAGACTAGCAGTGACTTCCTCTCTGACGAGAGACCTGGAGATTATCACTACTTGGGGATGCAAAAATCTTGTACAGTTTAATGCTTCCAAAACACAGTACTGTACCTTGACGAACAAAAAGCGTCCTAGCGATCCTCCGGTCTCGATGGATTGCCGAGTTCTGCCAAAGAGCCTTTCACTTCGGCTATATGGAGTCCAGATTACCGATGACTTGATCTGGCACGAAGACATCTTATCAATAGCGGCAGCTGCTGGGAAGAAGCCAGGCTATTTGGTAAGGACTAAGAAGTACTTTTCTTCGCATGACCACTCTATACAAGGCCAAGATAAGACCTAGCCTGGAGTGTTGCTCTCACGTTTGGGGTGCTGGCGCCCCGACTACATTATTTATGCTCGATGCTGTCCAGAGGAAGGCTATCCAACTGATCGATGACTCTTATCTAACAGTCTCGGGACCCTTTCATACCGGAGGGCCGTCGGCGATCTAGCTCTCTTCTACCTCTGTACCAACGGGCTTTGCTCCTCAGAGCTATCCTCCATGATGTCGCCGCCCGATGTGCCTGCCAGACACACCCACCTGACTTCGGCCTCCCATCCTAACCGTGTCGAACATCGTGCATCCAGAACTGGTCGATACAACCGCTCATTTGTCCCGAGAGTGTCGAGTCTGTGGAACAAACGTTACATCGCTTACAAAAATACTACAACGCATGACCCCCAGAAAAGGCACAATAATCGGGGACTTTGGTCGGACGGCTTCCGGAAAGGATAAAAAAGGACCCTAGAACATATCCTTAGAACACTTTCGATGTAACGTACACTTTGTATATACTTATGGCATCCTTGATTGTCATAGTTTTCTACTTCTCCGTGTCAGCGCTCTATTTTGAGGTTATGTCACAAACACCTATTTGCATCAAATTGTGCTTGCTTTTGAGTTATATCATTCATGTCTTATCAGCCTGAAATTTCCTACAATTTAAAAAGATAACATATCTTCACAATAGGAGAGCGCTGACGCTGACACGGGACAACTGTAATCTAGAAATTTTTGAAGGAGAGAAAGGAGTATGACAATCAAGGAGGCCATAAACGCGCCCTGCAATTGTAGGGCGCTCCTTCAAAAATTTCTAGATTACCCTTGTCTCGTGTCAGCGTCAGCGCTCTCCTATTGTGAAGATTTGTTTTCCTTTTAAATTGTAGGAAATTTCAGGCTGATAAAACATGGTATAACTCAAAAGCAAGCGCAATTTGATGCAAATAGATGTTTGTGACATAACCTCAAAATAGAGCACTGACATGGAAAAATAGAAAACTATGACAATCAAGGAGACCATAAAGGCGCCCTACAATTGTAGGGACGACTGACGATACGGGCCTTAGACTTGAAAAAAGCTTTGAATCCTAGACAAAGACCGCAATAATTGAGTTTAGCAACTGGAACACCATGAGCCAAACTATCAAACGCTTTTGGAAAAGTCAGCATACACTACGCCAACTTGACCACCATTATTTTCCTAAATAAGGAGTATTAAATTAGTCATGATAGATCTTCCCGAAAAACCCCTATTGGCTCGAAACCAAAGTTCTTTAACAAGACTGAATAATATTCCAGATATCGTACAATTTGGGCCAAAAAGGATGATTACTGATCTGTAGCGCTCCGCATTGCCAGCGATAGTGTTTCACCAATCTTGTTTCTTAAAGAAAAGGTTACCGACATCTCACATTTAACGCGTGCAAATGACAAACGTCGCCGCGGTTCCCTTCGCGTCGCTTCGCCTCAAGGGGGAGGGGCGTGCAACTTTAGGGTACAAATGGTCAATTTTGAACTCTCCATATCTTGTGAACGACTCGTGTGAGAATTTGAGGCCCATGGATTCTTTTATATACGTGTTTAGATTATCAACCTACCACATTTAAAAGATATTGCGAAAGTCATAGAGCTTCTTTTAAATACTCCTTTTGATGAAACTCTGCATCAGACAATATTTAAGCAGCATATGTGGTCTTGATTTGAGCACATTGAAAGTACGTCTAGATTTCCTATGGACGAATTCCTGTATTTAATTTTCTATCACCATTAATCAGTATATGGAATGTTTGATAGATCAACAAAAGGACTTCACTAATGAATATAATAGGTGATATAGATATTAAATTTGTAAAGCATGAGTACAACTTACCTTATTCATTCGAAAAAAACACTATGAGTGAGACGAATGATACTGATGCAGGAAGAATCCACGATTTTATCAACTACCCACACAATCGGATAACGGATATTTTCGGTATATTTATTTTTTATCATTCAGAAATAATAGAGAATAAAAATAGGCTACTAAAGCTAACAGAGATAGGCGCAACAATGTAAATTTATAATACATTTGTCTAATCATATTAGACGAAAATACCCCTGGTTTGCGAAAGAATTGTAAACTCTTGTTTTATTGATGCAAGTTGTTCAAGGAGGTATTTAAAACTTTTACGCATGAAATGGGTACGCCAACTTTTGTGGGAAAACTTTTTATTCAACAAAAAATGATAATACACGTTTTTTTGGGATTCAATCGAAAGTGTTGGCAGGAACAAAAAAACTTCAAATAAAATTTTTAGGTATTTATGAGACTTACAAAATGAGACCAAACGTAAAAAGATTCCACTAATAGTAAAAAAAGTTATGGCCGAAAACCGATGCAAAATGCAGATTTTGGCACTTGTTGCTAATGCGACGATAATTTCACGCAGATACTTGAAATTCTTCGAGTCCTAAGGCTTCTTTCTTCTAAATAACCACAACAAAATTGGAGTCGATTGGTCATGTAGTTTTTGAGAATTTCTAATTGTTTATCCCAAAACACCTGTCATCTCCTAAACAAATTCAAACATTTTGTATTTGTAAGTAACTGAACAGATTCGCAACGATATTCGAAAAACATACGGTATTATACCTACATATTTTAAAACAAAGCGGTTGTGTCTATCACCTTTTGTTGCGAAGAAAAAAATTACAAATACGATATGTTTGTATTTGTTTAGGATAAAAAAACCTAACCCTTCGTTTTTCGCATAAAAATAACAATTATCTTTCAGAATGGTTTGTGATTCATGTCGGCAAGGTAAACTCGTGTATTTTGCTATAAAAATAAACTAGTAGTGATGGCCGGAAGATAGGTGATTTGTTATAAGCAATTAGAAATTATCAAAAACTACTTCACCAATCGACTCCAATTTTGTTGTGTTTATTTAGAAGTGAGAAGCCTTCGGATTTGAAGAATTTGAATTGTCGTCGCATTAGCAACAAGTGCCGAAACCTGCATTTTGCCTTGGTTTTCGCCCATAACTTTTTTACTATTAATTGGATCTTTTTACGTGTGGCTTCATTCTGTAGGTCTTATAAATACCTTAAAATCTTATTTGAAGAGTTTTTTCGTTGTTGCCAACAGTTCCGATTGAACCCCAAAAAACACGTTTTCTCATTTTTTGTTGTCGAATAAAAAGTTTGCCCATAAAAATTGGTATACCCATTTTATGCGTCCATGTTTTAAATACCCCCTTGAACAACTTGCATCAATAAAACCAGACTTTAAAATTATTTCCGAATTTGCTAATATATGATTAGACTAATTGTTGTTTTGTTGAATAATCATGTGTGCTTCTGATTTCCAACGTTCTATTAGTTTTGATTATACTTAAAAACATGAAATAATGAAACTAGAATGGAAAATTGAACCTTTATAGTTGGAAGAATTTCGATTTATTAACTCCAGGAGGCCTTTAATAATAGTGACATACCCTCAATAAGGGGCAGAGAAACTCCATAACTTCAACGCCTTTCATTTACTTTTCAATATCTTGGGTAGGATTCCTAAGTTTCTAATACTTGTCATCGTCTCCCATCTCCCTTCAGTTAAAAAATCAGATTTTGAACCATCCAGTGGCGGATTTAGGGGGGTGCGCGGGGGACGTGTGCCCCCCCTAGACGTCTGACACTTGCTTTTGTAATCTAACAACATTGTGTCACTTTCTGGCAAGTATAATATAACCATGGCGACAGAGGCATACTAACTATAAGTTATAGCTATAGGAACTGAGCTTTGCAATTTTTTGGTATCCTTTGGTATTCCAAACGCTGTCCCTCTTTGGCATCACAAGTCTGAGTAATATATTAGGTATACAGATTGCACTTATAAAGTGATTTATGTTCTGTTTGTAGCTCAATAGCAATTTGAAAAGTGTGTAAAGCTTGACTAATTTTGTTCGGGGTTGCTGTTGCAGCGAAGCACTATGTTAGATGAACGCCTAAATTGGAAATAGACATTTATGAGATTTGTTTAGCGGTGTGCCTGTGGCCTGTCCAGAAACTGCGTCGATCGATGCTCAAAGTCAATACCACAGGTCCCGCATATCTTCTCGCGTATGTGTCTATTTATGTTACTATATTGAATTCCTTTAAAGCACAGAGCTTATGCACTACACCTGATTATTTATAGCCCTGTATTCCTGTACTTGTTTCGTACAAATATACATTATCAAAATAATTACGAACTACCAGATAGTATAGTGTTTCCAAAGGTTTCCCCAACATTTTTACATGCGATCAACACCGATTCGAAAACTGAGAAAACAACAACTATGCCGTAAATCTAAGTCTGAAGAATAACTGTAACATCTATATTGAATTTCAAAACCTATACCTATTGATATCATTATCACCTCCTGATAAAGGGTGTTTTTTTTAGAGGCGGAGAACTTTCATTTGGCAACACTGTTTTGGGTGACAGCCGATCTGACAGTTCTGGGTTGTTTTTAGGTTAGTTTGGTTTGGCAATTCATCATGAATAGACTGACGCCGGAGCAACGTTTGGAAATTGTTCAAATTTATTTTGAAAGACATGGTTCAATTCGAGAAACACATCGGGCATTACGTGAATTTTATGGTGCCCATAATCGTCCTTCAGAGCGATTAATTCGAGAAACTGTTGATCGTTTTCGCAATACTTTTACTGTAATCGACAATACGCATCCCGTAAGACGCCGTACAGTGCGCACGCAACAAGCGATAGCTGCTGTGCAGCGTAGTGTTGATAATGATGCCAATGTGTCAATTCGTCGTCGTTCTCAACAAGTGAATTTGTGTCCATCCACTGTATGGAAAATTTTGCGCAAAGATCTTGGGTTGCGAGCATATAAAATTCAACTAGTCCAGGAGTTGAAACCCCGGGATCATCTATTGCGCCGTACATTAGCTGAATGGGCGGAAGGAAAGATTGCTGTTGATCCAAGATTTCATATGAAAATTTTGTTTAGTGATGAAGCACACTTTTGGTTAAATGGCTATGTAAACAAACAAAATTGCCGAATTTGGGGTGATGAGAATCCACGAGCTATTGTCGAAACACCTTTACATCCAGCAAAACTAACCGTTTGGTGCGCTTTATGGGCCGGTGGAATCATTGGTCCTTATGTCTTCAGAAATGCTGATGGTCAGAACGTTACAGTAAATGGTGAGCGATACAGAAACATGATTACTAACTTTTTTGTGCCTCACTTGGAAGGTGTTGCAGGCGTTGCAGAAATGTGGTTTCAGCAGGACGGTGCCACATGCCATACAGCGCACCAAACAATTAATTTACTGCAAGAGACATTCGAGCAACGAATCATTTCCAGAAATGGACCTGTAAACTGGCCACCTCGTTCGTGCGACTTGACGCCATTAGATTATTTTCTTTGGGGCTATGTTAAGTCGCATGTCTACGCTGATAAACCCGAAACACTTGAGCACTTGGAAGCCAACATTCGGCGCGTGATTGCCGAAATACAGCCTGCAGTACTGGAAAGAGCGTGTGAAAATTGGACCTCTAGATTACGCCATGTACGCGCAAGTCGTGGGGGTCACATGCCCGAAATCATATTTAAATGTTAATGCCAAAAAATTATCTTCAATATAAAAGCAAATTCGTTAATATCAATAAAATATTTTGTGTTTTATTTCAATTCAAAGTTCTCCGCCTCTAAAAAAAACATCCTTTATAATAGAAGTGCGTAATTGTGTCAGTATATGCTCCAATTACTTGATTTATTTAATGGGCAGTTCAAGAGTATCAATCCTTAAGCTCAGTACACACTTGTAGGCAGTGTGGAGACGGTCTCAAGGCATGATCTAAAGATGGTCTGTAGACATTCTCCTTTGTCTCGTCTAGCGACCATACGTTAATGTGAATTTTTCGGTCTAATGCTAGTTTTCGCCATCAAAGATTTACTGGGATATGTCTCGGAGTCCCTCATAATGTTTTGTTTTTTTTTTTCAGTTCACAGAGCAATGAAGTTTTTTATATTCCAATCTTTAATATTACATTGCTTAAGTATAAATGCCACGTACTTTTTTTGTTCTCGTATAATATAATATTGTCTTTCCAAGGATCTCTGAGCATTTTCCATGTTTTTTTTTAAGCTGGTATTCACCAGATAGAACACAATGGATTTAAGGAGCAATAGTAAGATAAATGCTAAATTACCACTGAAGTTGAAAAATTACCAGCTTCAAATATCGTTTGCGCCCCCTCCTAGACGAAATCCAAAATCCGCCCTTGGAACCATCTCTACAAAAACTACCTGCCGAGTGTAAAAAATGCGACCTCAGGAAAGACAATTCTTACCATTCCCCAAAAAAATGTGTTCTGGATCTAAGATTCGAGGGACGCTAAATCTCCCTTTGGATGGCTTATCACCGGAAACGTTAGGTTGCTAAATTGAAACATTCAACACTATATGTGCATATCTTTAATTTTATCACAATTGTACAAAGAAATATAAACTGACATCAAAAACATACATATATCACAAAATATATGTACAGCGTAGCTCTCAACCGTACAAACTGCTACACCGTATTTTTTTGAGTCAAAGTGTCGTTTTCGTAAGTCTCAAGGACATCCGCCAGATGCTCGTTATCCCTAGGCTTTTTGAACACCTTCTTCCGGGACGAAGCCTTTTTACGTTTTGGGGCCATGGGCTTCTTTGGACCATGGTCTTGCATAGATCGAATTCCTACGAAAAATATAGACCCCATAAATTCTTAATAACGGAAAAAACAATTCGTATCTTCTAATTTTGTGACGCTAAATGTGTGCTAAATGGACAAGTTTTTGGACGCTGTAGCTCAACAGCATTGTCGCCGCATTGAGCTATCAATTTGCAATCCTTTATTATTCCAGAAACCATAACCCAGAACTATTCACGAATACAGGCAATTTCATTGGGAAAAAGATATATGTCAACCGGAAATAAAGAGCCTCTAAGGTGGTTATAAATAATACATTTTATAGATTTTGGCCACTTACTCGCTTACTCTCACGACTAACAACTTTTCAACTGCCCTGTATATTTTTTTGGTACATAGTATACATACTCAGCTGGTAATACATAACTGATTGTGATATCAACAGTAAAAGAAATATAGGCCTGAACTAGTTAAATTTTAACATAACCGCTACCCTATATATTGGAGTTTCTAAAATTCGTTTAAACGTTTGGAAAGAGCACATAAACTTGTTTGTTCCATCACAGGCCATTTAGATACAAATCTAACGCTAGTATAGCGCTTAAATAGTAAATAGTAAGTTATAAAGCCAAACAAAATCAGTATCTCCAGCTCACACAACATTTTTAGCTCAAATAACGAAAGTGGATCTTTACAATGAAGTGTCTGTGTGTAAAAACAAAATAATAAAAAAATAGTTAAACTAAATATTTAAAATTTCAATATATTAAAAATTCCCAATAAAAAGTCAAGTCAATTTTCTCCATACAATTATTATGTTACATGACACCTTCATCCACTTGTGTCTTCAATTCATTCATTCATACATGTACCAAGTTTTCCAAAATATAATGGATAGTTGAAACGTTGAGGCCATAAAAAATCCAAAAACGATATCTCTGTATCTCGGTTTTAATAAAGGCTGAAAACTGATTAACCACAAGTTCTTTATAATCATCTCAAAGACCCCTATCCACGGTTAAAATATGTCACATATGCTCAGAGATGCGTTCATTGAAAATAATTAGTATCATTTTAAGGGCAGATGTATGAGGAAATCTATGATGTGTGAAATATGTTGAAAACATATGTAGAATTACCAGGATTACTATCGCCAAATCTACTATCGCCCTGCTACCATTTTTTGATAATTGAATTTTAGATTATAAAAAATGTGGTGAATGAAAATAGGTAGGAACTGCCTGTAGACCCAGTTCAACCATATGGAAGTGAGCATCAACTAAGAGAATTCAAAACTAAATTAGTTTATTGCCAAAAATATATGATATTCATGATGAAATTAGTTCTGTATATGAATTTGGTAGGCATATCTACCCTGAATATTAACAATATTGCCTAACTATTCATATACAGAAATCCCAAAGTAGCCTGCTATTTTAGGAAAATGAAATTATTTATTGTCATGGTACCTTGTTTATCTAAATACTCCTCAATTTTCTGATCATCCATAGCATCTACGGCAACAGATCTCCATAATTTTTGAAATTCCTCATCTATAGGTAAACTAGCAGTCCGATCATTGTAGAACAAAACTTTTTTCTTATCAATTGGTCTTGTTATGAAAACAATTTCATTTTGATTATCTAGTATCTGCAAAAGAAATAAGTTGAGAATTTTTGCCAACATTTTGTATAATCTAGAACTGTATTCTAAATAAGTCACAGATGCATACTCTACTTAATTCTCACACATTTTGTAAGAAAACAAACATATATTTTCTAGAACAACCACCAAGTATGGTGCTTACCCTTAGAGCTTTTTCACAATGTGGCAAGGATTCTTGCACATCCTCTAACAATACTCCTCCTAATCCTTTCAAATCTTGTTGCTTCAGTAATTTTAGCAGACTTTTTCTATCTTTCAGTCTAAATAAGGCTTTAAAAATAAATTTTCCTTCAGCAGAAACTTCTATCTTTGGATTGTTTATCAAAGCTTCAGTTTGCAGCCACTATGAAAAAATAAGTAAAAGTATGTCAAGTATACTTTATACAACAATAACAAGTCTACTTTATATTACAGTCAGTGTGAAAGCCTTGTAAGTCCCATAAAATGAATTTTGTAGGAGACAATAAAAAATGAATCACTGACAAATAAAGCAGTTTCAAGGTACTTTTTGGGTTTAATGTATCATTTGAATTCTAAAAACTAAAAATAATTATAATCGAAAAATCCTGAAAATATGTTATGTTATATTTTTTAGGGGGAAACAGGGTTAGTGGTATATAATTTAAGCAAAAGAATCATATGCATCATATTTTTCATTGCTAACTATTGAAAATTACACTTAAATATCAACTTATTAACATCCCCCATGTTTTAATTTTACATGTTTTAATATTTTTAAAGCACATAGGGTTCACTTGGCAAAGCAAACACTTGTGAAAGTCGAATCTCTTGTTTTACTTTAAACCATAAATTGACCAACATAAAAAAGTACATAGACTTATTCTTACAAATTCCTTTAACACGTTGAGCACGGTGTGGCATCAAACTAATGCCTCACCGACTAGTTAGTCTAAGAACGGTGAGACATGACAATAACGTCTCATATCGAATATTAAATAAGACGGTGTGGTTCAGTGTAGTGTCTCGCTATAATGCTAAATAAACGGGAAACGATAGTTAGCCGTCTATACGCACGTTTTTTGTTACCCGGGTGTGAATATTTGACTAAAATCCTATGTTATAGACAGCATACAATTTTATTCCAATCTAGAAATATTGTTCCAGTAAATATAACAAAATGAAATGCAAACATGTAAAAGAAACTTATATTCTAAAGCTAAGAAGTGCAAATCAACTTATATAATGATGTTTAAAAAATACGGGATACAATAACTCTTGTTACAAGAAGTGCACTGAAATTTAGTCCTCAGTGTTTTGCTTTGTGCTTCTTTTCAACCAAATTTCTACTTAACTTTGACATAACATGTTACACATCGATTTTTCGCATGGTCTTGAAGCTCGTGTTTTATATTTCTTTGATTTGGTTTATCAGGTTTGTTATTTGCACCCAGAAGTGATAATGCTAAAAGCTCCCTGAATTACGTAATTTGAATTTTATTTTGTGTTACTTCTTTATAACATATAAATGCATTGACTAATGTGGAATCAAAAATTAATTCAATTGCTAGTTTTCGGTATCATTTGTTGCCCCTTCTAAGGCAATGTGAATAAGTTTTTCAGCTGATCTGACAGGTCAATATAAGCTCTCGATTTATTGTAATCAACTATAGCTTGTGGTTTTTCAATTTCTTTTCCACGTTGATGAACTTTGATTATTTCATGCGTGTGTACTGTGGTCAATAGTAACACATCACGAATATCTTTCCATTTGAGCATTACAATGCCGGTACCGCTCTCCTGACCAACTACTTCATGTTTTTCCAATTTTTTATTCAATACTTCTTTTGGGTTTCCTTTTCTATTTGACTGCACTGTTCCTACGAGATGCGTTTTTCTTTGCAGCAATTGAACAGCCAATGGAACACTGTAAAGTATGCGTCCAGTGTCTCAAAACCCACTCATCAGTAACGTAATCATACAAGGTTAGACCTGCAAAACGTGGCATCACGTATATGTCTCACCATCCATATGAACTGATTTGAAGGTAAAGACGGCAAGATATAATTGTGATGTCACGTATAATATTTTTTTGAAAATATCAAAGAAAGCCATATTTGCAAATAAAACAATGTATACTGTACATTAGAGACTTTATTTGACTGAAAGAAACACAAAAAACTACCCGTCTCTGAGACACAATTTTATGCACTCTATATCCGTACTCAACGTGTTAATAATCAGCAGTCTGTTGTAGAAGAACACAGGTGCCTTTTTGACTACCAGGCATAAAAATGTATTTTTGCTTTTGAAATGACCCATTGAAGTACTGCCTGTAGAGTAATAGTGTGCAAAAAACAGTCATATAATGTTTTTGTTCTGATCATGTATTTGAAGGAAAAGAAATGTAGCGATTCATGAGGTGTATGTACCCAGAATATGCATCAACCTTTAACGAAGCATTTTCAGTAAAAAAATGAACAAACCATTATATCATGAGTCAGTGATTCTGCAATACCACATAATCAACAGTGGCTCAAACCATATAACTTGTAAATTGTAATTTAGCATTATTAGGTTCTTGACAATGATTGGGTTCTTCCCATGAGGTTAGGTGAGTGCTAATGCAATAAAAATGGTTCATATAACACAGGATAAAACAACAATTATTATATATCCTGTTTATTTGCTCTTCTTCAAAACTGATTACGATGAATTACACTGTTTTAACCACTGTTTGTAATGGAGAATTGCAGTATCACCAATGATATGTCCGATTACTTAAAAAAGTATATGTATGAAAATTATACCTGTTTAACTTTATTTCCAACATCCAACTGGTTTGTTTCATCTAAAATTTCTTCTAATGAGAGAGGATAAGTCTCACCTTCCTGATGTCGTGTTTTCATATGTTTGACTATTTTTGCTAGTACACCAAAACGGTACTGCGAGCTTCCAGAAGATGTTTTGTAACTAAAAGATGTTTTTTATAAAAATATATTACTGTATGTAAGATTCTTATGATATGGACCAGAGACAATCTAAATATCTTGTATTTTTCTAAAAAACATCTACCTGTTGATATCAAGTTTAGGTACATTATTGCTGCTATTCGTCTTGACTTTTTTCTTCTCTTCCTTATGTTCAGATTTTGACTCCACCTTTTTCTTTTCGACACTAAAAAATACTTAAAATTAGACTATAGTCAAACATTACTAATATCAATGTTACCTTGGGGTGCTAAGAGCTTTTTTCTTAAATGCCTCACGTTCTTTCAGTAGCGCTGGATCCATTTTTAAGAACTTTTTTACTGACAGGAAAGTATGATAAACTCGTAGATCTTCTAATTTTAGCTCAATTTGATTTGATTTACTAACAATACTGTATGCAGAATTAACAAATCCAGTGGAGGAATGTTTAATGTTTCGCTACAGGTCAGGTGCTTCTCTTACTGGAAACGATTGGAAAACCTCAAATCGCTACCTGAAATCCAACATTTTTGAAAAATTTTCATAACAACTTCACAATTGCTTTTCCCCAATGTTATTTAAAAAAACCTAACCTCAACTTTACTCATAGAGTCATAGAACACATAACACTGTCATCCCTGTCATACACGATTTGTTAACAATCACAGAGTCATAAGTGAAATGGAGTTTCGTTACCAAAAGTTATCACGTATTTGTCACTTACAGGGGACAATCCATAAGTTCTAGAAAAATAAACAAGTACAGGGCAATAGTAATATGATATGTATGTTGATGACCTAACTTTTGAGGCGGGATTTTGTGAATATTATTCTATTACATAGCGCTCCACAAAATAGTGCCTCAGTTTTTTTACAAAACCATGAAATAACTGTGTGAGTTACTCATAAAGCTTTTTTTAGTATGGACATCTTAGAAACTGGCGCCCATAGCTCATACCAAAACATATTTAATAGCAAAGCAATTCGCCACGTTAAAGGAGGAGGTAGCGCATATCACAATGGGATATCGTTTCATGTGATAACATCGCGCAGCGTGTGGAGCTTTCAAGATCATAATATGAATTCAACGAAAAATTCAGTGTCAATTTTTTTGTATCGCATTGCTATGTACTTGAGTAGTACCAACGAGTGGTACATGATCAAAATGATGAAATATTTATAAGTACAGACCACAGACCTACTCAGACGTTTGCTTTTCACAAAAATAGTGTATGCGTGGCCATGACAAGGAAGTTGCATGCATTTCTTTCCATTCAGCGTCAGCGGATGACAGCGACGTAAGTTTGACGTTGATCGACAACTAATCGGTTAACCTTACTTTTTTCAAATGATTTATTTATTTTAAAAAGGAAATGACTAATGTTTCCACTATCATTGATGTTTCTTAAAAAAAACGTTTTAATTTTATGTGCAACTATTTTAATTTTATTTTTCATCACTACAAACTATTTAAGGTCAATTTTGCCATCAAACAGTGCACTGAATCCTATCCCATTGACAATAGAAGAAAAAATCCAGATAGAGTTGAAAAATTTGCCTGGAGACTACAAAGTACCATCTTTGATCGAACATAAGACGTTTCACAGATTTGCAAGTAACATTAAAAGGGTTCCATTTGAATTGAGCAGTGAGAATTTAACAAAATTATGGAGCAAAGTAAATACTTGGGTTACAAAAACCCAAATATTCGATATGAGCAACCCAAATATAGGCAGAGCTTTATATGCTTTGAAAAATGCAAAAATTCTAAAAGCTGATCTAGACACCAGAGGTACTCAGCTAAAATTCACATTTATTTTAGAAGTAAGTAATATCAAACTTTGTTTCTCTGCTAAGACATATACTTTGAATGATATTTTAGGGTGATCAACAAGTTATATTTAAACCTCAATTTTATGAAAAGAACAAAATTATAGAAGGACCTGTATATGCTGGCAAAGACAGATATAGCTCAGAAATTCTAGGCTTCTATCTTTCAGCCATATTAAATAAACCTTTATCTCCAATAAGCGTTAAAAGGACAATATCTCTGAAGCAAGAGGTTTTACCTGTGGCAACTAAACAACTGTTGGATACTACTTTCATGATTCAAAATAGGACATGCATTTATGGCAGGTGCTTTTTTTGTAAGAAAGAAGACCCAGTCTGCAGTGATGAAAACTCTTACTTAAGTGGAGCTGTGATATTTAATATTAAGGGGCATTTAGTAAGTAATAGGTCTCCATGGCAAAGGACCTATAAGAAGGGCAAGAATGCTATTTGGCAGGAATTACCAGAAAAGTATTGCATGTATGTTATTTATAACTAATAAGGCAATATATATCTGCTTATACTTAAGGAAAACAGTGATATTGCTAGTATTCAATATATTGTTGAAACTCTAGTTTCATACTCAAAAGACTTACTTGTAATCAATATATTTTAATTATAGAAACCAATATCTGTTTTGATATTATACTTACTTTTATAAACAATAGGGGAATCAAAATCCCCATTTGCATTCTATCAGGAAAAAAATACACTGAATGTGTCCTTTTTTGTGTTTATTTACTATACTTGGTGTCCTACATAAAACTGCAAAAAGCTTCATAAGATATGAAAATTTGGGTTTGTAGTATAAAGGATAGGAGCCACACTGCCAAAATATCTTCAAAATGCTGTGGGTTATACTGGAAGTAAATACCATCTTGCTTATTTTAAATAGGACAGTCTGTGTGTTTTTCATTTTTTATGCAAGATTCTAAATTGCATATCACTTTATACCTAGGTCTATCCATTTTTTATATATCTTGCTAGTAAGGATATCATGCTATCCACATATAATGGTTAACTGAGATTATCTTATGTTAAAAGCCATATGGAGCATTTAGGCAAGAGAAAATACATGATTTCCATATATAAGAAGTAGACAACCTTTTTATACAAAAACCACCATGAAGGCCTCAGGCCCAAACACCCATAGGTTCCAAGGAGCTATAATGCCGTAGAGATCCGAAAGCCTTTCTCATTGCAGTATAGAAGATGTTGTATTTTGAATATGCAAGTTGGTGTTGCGGTACAACAGCCGCCATTTCGAAAATATTTTAGCCATATTGCTCAGTTATACTATGATTCCATACATTAATAATTGAACTAAATTTCATCAAGTTTTCGAGTAACTGGTTGCATCAGTTCTATGTGGGACACTCTGTATACGATATGTGAAGGATATGTTTTGTATTTAGTCATTTGTACCATATAATTTTTATATGAGTAAGCACCATTTAACTGCAAGGTCAATGTCACATTATCAGCATATACTGTGATCGGTCAGTATTTATCATAGAATGAGATATTTATTGATCCTGTAGCCAGGACATCAATAATTATTCAGCTGGTCCAGACCACAGTATATACTGAACATGTGACATCTGCCTGAAAAACAAGCTTAAGTAGTGGTATTTGAGCAAAAAATAATGTAAACTCATATGTTTACAAATCTATTCAAATCGAATTTATATTTTTAGGAGCTTAAAGGAAAAAATGTCCAAGAGAAGGCTGTATGATCTTATTGATATATCTATATTTGATTTTCTCATACAGAATGGTGATAGACACCATTATGAAACATTGAATGACACAGTAGTTTGGTTAGATAATGGAAAAGGCTTTGGAAATCCTCACATACACCATATTGATATTTTAGCACCTTTATATCAGTGCTGCATGTAAGAATATCTTTTTGGGTTTTATGTTTTTTTTTGTCATTCCTACCTTAAAATTGTCATCACGATCAAGGTTTAGTAAAGAAAAGATTTTTGATACTTCACTTATATTCATACAGTAATGGACAAAAGTATATAGACACATCTGAATATTTACCTGAATACCTTTAGAAAACGAATTCATACTTCATTGCTCCATAAACAAATGCGTTATTAGTAGAAAAACTAAAATCCTTGTTTTAACATTATCTGCAATGAACACAATACAAGTCTGAATATAAGCACTTTTTTAAGAGGCACAAAAATATGTAGACAAATTCTCTTCAACATTAGTTTAGTACAGTTTCGTGTCAGAAGAGGATTAGTTTGTGTTCATCAAGTATTGTGGATTAATTTGAGTGATTTTAAGACCTTGCCGCGTGGTCCAGAAATTTCTTTCGGTGTGAAAACTAAGATCATTGAGTTATACAAAGATGGTCAACATCAAGTCGAGAAAACAAAAAATTTGAAGCTGAAGCGTAAAGCAGTTTGGGTAATATTGAACAAATATAAACAAAAAGGTATCTTGGAAGCCTCTGAGAGAAGTGGTCGGCCTAGGAAACTAAATGCTGGATCAGTTAGATTAATAAAAGTAATTTCGTCCAAGGATCCGTTTAAAACTCCAAAACAAATAAAAGCCGAAATCGAGACAAAAGGAATTGTCAGTGTTTCTACGAAAACTATAAGTAGAAGATTAAATGATTTGAATTTATTTGCACGTCGCCCGTGTAAAAAGCCGCTAATCTCGAGGAAAAACCGTAAGGACCGAATACAATTTGCATGGCTGCATCTTGATTGGAGCATTTATGACTGGAAGAGGGTACGTTTCAGTGACGTATCCAAGTTCAGTTTGTTTGAATCAGAAGGTGTTCATTACGTTAGACGTACTAGTACACAAAGATTGAACCCCAAGTACACTTTGGCCACTGTCAAACATGGAGGCGGGTCTGTTATGGTTTTGTGGTGCTTTTCGGGGTTTGGGATGAGAACTTTACATAGAATAGATGGCATTATGGATAAGTTTGTATACACATGTTACCCTATATGGAAGACAATATGCCCTTAAGATCAATCTTCCGGCAAGATAATGACCCGAATCACACTTCGTATCTCGCAAAGAAATTCTTTCTGGATGAAAAAATACCAGTAGCCTTCACAGTCTCCCGATATAAATCCCATTGAAAATCTATGTGAATACTTAGATAAGCAAATACGAGATAAGCATTATTCAAACAAGGTTGAACTTTTTGTCACTTTAGAGCAAAAGTGGAGACAGGTTGATGAATCTTATATCAAGAAACTTCTACTATCTATGTCGAGACGATGCCAGGCGGTGATTGATAATAATGGTTATGCTACAAAATATTAACACAAACATGGTTGGTTTTCTATAATTCAATGAACTTTGCTTCTTTTTTCTATAATTGTTTTGCTTTGTCTATATATTTTTGTCCTTCATAGTTCCAGTTTTTTTTTTCAATTGATTTCTTATTGAAGGGAGTCTAATGAATTTATTTATGTATAAGTGAGTATTATGTATACAGGTTGGTGTATTAATAAAACAAGTTAAAAAGGAAATATTAATTTGTCTATATACTTTTGTCCGTTACTGCATGTCTACACCAGCATCGAGGTAGTACCTTGATTATTTCCTTATATATGGATTGGTTAAACCTAGATTGTTATAGTCATGTTATTTTGAACCTTATTATTTATCTCTACGATCCACTGGTGTGCTCTTATAGTTATAAGTTCAGTTCAGTTTTAGGATAGCAGTAAAAGGCATTATCAAAATTCAGACAACCCCATATAAATTTTTAGATGATCTGTTCAATCAAATAGATGTTATTTTTATAAACAATTTTTCCAGATTAAGAAGAGACACTTGGAAGACTTTACTTAGTCTAACTGGTGGCAAATTGAAAGAGATGTTAAGAATGATGCCAGATATAGAGAGTATAATTACGCCTGATCATTTGGAGGCTTTGGACCAACGACTTTTGCTGATATTTGCAGCAGTTGAGTATTGTAGACATCATAAGCAAGGAGAACATACTTTTATATGAAAGTATATATTTTAACATTTGTGTTGATTTTACATTGAATCAAGCCTAGATACCCTATTTTCCAAATTGAAATATTTTGCCACATCCCATGAAGGCAGCCATGGATTAACATATTCTACCTAAATGAGATATAGTAGGGTGATCTATGAGAATTTGACACAGCTCTTGATCTATTTATTGCATATGCTTTGAAAAGGTTAATGTCTCGTGGATGGGTCTGTGGACTAACTGTAAATATATGAGCATGTAGGTGGCTCCATCTATGAGACATTCACTTTTTAAAACTACAGATAGTAATAGAGATAAACTCTCATAGATGATGCTACGATCTGTCATTTTATCTCAGATAATTTTTTGGACGCCGGAATATACTATCAGAACTATACTAGTAGAATATGTTACTCAATGATTTAACTGAAGAATAAAATGAGTAATCGAAAGTCGAAGTTCTATAGACTGGTTTGACAAGAACCAGTTGAGTGTATAATTTTACCTGATCGATATATTTTGCGCATGAGTGAAATTTGATTAAAACTGTATTTAAAAAAGATTATTTATTCTCAGTACTTATTTACAAAATCTAGATAACTCAATTAATATTACTTAATAATCCTCTTATAAATAAAATTTGAAAACCACAGGCTTCCAACTAAGAAGTGCAGAACTGCCATGATCCGGAACATCACCCGAAATGTTGGATCTGGAGCAAAAAAAAAATAGATTTGATAGTGAAAATAGAATAGAAAAAATAATTTTAACTTCATTGTCTAAATTAGTCTGCTCAGGAAACATGATTTTCATATATAATTGTTATATCACTTGATTTCATTTATTTTTCTAAAAAATGACCAGTGTTAAAATAAATAACATGCAGGTGTTTCACTAGTACTGTTGGCTCTTGGAAAAGTCAATAATAACTCTATTTGCTTTGGAACTTTGTCTAGATGTCTCAAGTCACAAAATAATCTGTACATTTAAGAAACTTACTCATGAATAGAAACAGTAAAAATGCACAGCCAGTTAACGTGCAAATCAAGGAGTACTCTTGACTTGCCTCTCCTCTTATCGTAAGTCCTAATAACGGCATTCCAACGTATTGCAAAGTTGCAATGCTCAATATAACTTGTACTGCGCCAAAAGTGAGGACTTGTTTATTGGTCGAGTCGGATACCACTGAAAAAATACCATGTTGTTAATCTTATTAAATTTTTCGAATGTTGTTTGACTTGAACTTGGTAGCGTGTGGGAGTTCAGATCATCAAAGACGTGACTTGGTGACGGCACGTGATTTGAACTTCAAACTGAAACGAATGGCTTCTTGACATCTATCAAAACCAGCAAGAGAATGCACGACAACGAATTACGATGTTTTCAGACATTGTGCATATAATATACAAGGTGTAAACGTTATGGTAGTTATTATTGAAATTGCTAATAGTGGGTATCGAAACAAGTCAAAAAGTTCATATGCCCTATGGTTCAAATGTCAATAGATTTTTGTCTAAATGGCTTTATAATTTACAACTTTAAGTGCTTTATATCGACCACAATCTTACTAATTTTTATAATCTAATCTAAAACGTTTTTAAATTTCGTAATTAACAAATAAATGGCATTATGTTTTTCTAAATTAAGCCAAAATTTGTAGTCAGTAAGTAAGTTTCACTAAATTGAATATTTGAAACACACATGACACAGCGCGTCGGTCATCATCACTCTTATCGAGCCGGCAATCGATCGCAAACGGTAACAGTGGTTAGTATGTTGTTTTGTTTTTGTTCGCGTACGTCGTCGTGTTGATTGATTTACAATGTTCTCGAATCAAGAGTTCGCCGACATGTTGTTAGTTTACAGTAAAGCTCGTCAGAATTCAAATCTGGCAGCTCAAATTTATCGCGACAGATTGCGCCAACGGGTAGACCCAGACAGAAGAACATTTGTGCAAGTGTACCAAAGACTTCGAGATACAGGAAGTGTTCAGCCCACTAATATTCGCACTCGTGAAAGACCGGTAACTGTAGAGCAGAAGGAACACATTTTAAATATCGTGGGAATCAATGCAGATATCAGCACTCGGGAATTAGGCCGCCGCGTAGGACTATCGCATACCATAGTCTATAGAATCCAACGGGAAAATTTGCTTTATCCCTACCATGTACAATGAGTGCAGGCCTTGTTACCAGAAGACTATCCTCACAGACTAACATTCTGTGAGTGGTTTTTGCACAAATTTTTTTAAAAACATTCTAGCGACGCACGAATGTACTTTAACGCGAGATGGGATATTAAATTTCCATAATACTCACACGTGAAAGAAGAAAATCGTCATACCATTCTTGAAGGTCATTTCCAACAAAGTTTTAAAATAAATATTTGGGCGGGTATTCTTGACTATCAGGTAATTGGCCCTTTCGAGTTACCCCCAAAGCTGTCAGGAGAAGGATACCTTAGCTTTCTAGCTAATAACCTACCAGAACTTTTGGAACAGACCTTAGACAACATGCCATTACAACGGAGACAGAATTTGTGGTTTTTTTATGACGGGGCACCACCACACATTTTTAGAGGCGTCATTCAGTATTTGATTTAACATTATCCAAATCGCTGGATCGGTCGAAATGCTCCTGATCCTCGAAAATGGACAGCAAGGTCTCCTGACCTCAATCCGATGGATTTCTGGTATTGGGGAGAACCTAAAGGGATAGTTTATGGGGCTGGTCCAATAACAACTGAAGCACAACTTCACGAAAAAAAATTTAATGCGGCTGAAATAATAAATGAACAATTTCGAGGACCTAGAGTAAGAAGAAACTGGGTTCGTCGTAATGAAGCTTGTGTCTAAAGTGGAGGACGACATTTTGAACACCTTCTTTAAATACAAAAAAAGTGCAGTGTGGGTTTTAAAAAGAAAAACAATGTATGTATCAAAATTGTGTTCCCTATTTATAAGTGGATTTTTTTAACACTTTCAATAAACTTTCACACACCAGGTGAAGCGCTGAGACAGTTAGTGGCAAGTCCGTTTTTTTGAATTGTTTGCATTTTACGAGTACATTATCAAATAATGAAATAATACCTAAGAGCCAAAAATAACAGACTCCATCTTTATTTACACTGAGTTCCGTCGTAATTTGCGACTGGCATTGCGGCGTTGTCAGATTTTATTTTAAAGTCGCTTTTCTGTAAAAAAAATCCGTTTTGACCCCCATGTTATATGAAACTTTTTGCTTCTTTTAACCCCGTCTATCACCCATTTAAATAATGTCTATCATAACGTTTACACCCTGTAGGTATTGGGTAGTAATTTAGATTACATTCATTTAAATTTTGTCTAAAAATTGTTATTCACGCGACACAACAATTATAGCATAATTTGCAATTATTTTAATCAATATTATAAGCTGTCTTGTGTGTAGGGTAAACGGCTAGTGGATAACGGCTAATGTCGATCGAAGGGTTCTCGATAGGTGGAATTATGCACCTCATACAAGCAAATCATCTTCGAGAAGGATCTGACAGCGGCGACAGGTTTTCAGAAGATACCGACACACCTTTCGGTTTCTGTGGAACCACTTGCCGTTTTCCCTCTTGCTGTCTTTTGCTGGGCAGATGTTAGTTGCATTACTTACTAAAATATCCGAAACAGCCAACCCAACACAGGAACCATAGACATATCGGTCTTCTGCTTCTCTCTATATTCATCCAAAATGATACACCAGAAAACAACAAAGTACTGAGGGATAAGACACCCATCAGTGCTGCTACACCATGCATTCTCAAACCATCAAGCTCTTGGTACAAATAGCTTGGAAACAACGTGTAGAATATAAAAATTGAATATTTGGTTGTAATCACTGTTAGGAGTGATTTGTAAAACGTTGGTTGTTTTAGCATTTTAAAGCTGACGAACTTTTGAGCTGTTTCGCTAACCGGCATAAAAACTGCAGGTTCTGGAGCCACATCTGGGGGTTCCAGGACCTCATAAGAGTAAGTGTTGTTGTTGTTGACAGGCGAATCTGAAAATAGAGGCATTGGCGTATGACCGTTGCTTATTTTGAAGGTGCCGATCCTATCTTTTCCTTCATTGGTATCTTCATCTGCATCCTCGAATTTTTCCCAATTTTCTTTTGGTTTTACTTGTTCTGTGTCATCGAAAGTTTCCCATTCGCGCTTTGGTATGGCATTTTCATTGGCTACGTCCTCAAATGTCACCCAATTTTTGGTAGATTTGTTGACAGAGTCTGAGTTATTTGTGGTGTCATTAGAAGTTGATGGAATTTCGTGACGTTCAATAGTAACTGTGGATCCGTTGTCTTGACGTTTAATTTGTAGTTCTCTCGAGTTCTTCGAAAATATGTCTTCTTCGTCATCGGGATTCGCCTGGAATCAGGAAGAACAAGTGGTTTCGTTTAAAGAAAACATTGAAAAGCTTAAGAGAATATCAAAAATTCTATAGTGCCTGGGGTTAATTTTGAGGTTGCAACAGTTTCAGTTCGAACTTGCCATCAAATTAAAGATCTGTGTCCTGACATACCGGGTTTTCGTCATGAAAATTGCAGATATGAGGATTTTTGTAACTTTTCTCATATTACACGTCTCATAATGAAGCTATTCTGCTTTGCCCGAACATTTCTGTTCTCGTTCCCCATGACTACAAGCAAACGAAACTCGATACACGTAAGTACGAAAGAATTTTTGAAAATTTTTCCATAATACAGCGCATAATGATGAGTAAACGAAAGAATTTTTGAAAATATTTCCATAATACAGCGCATAATGATGAGTAAACGAAGTTCAATATTTGCGTTGGTAATTTGAGTAGCTGATTTCGACTAAGGTTATCAAAAAATGATGGAGAAGAGACGTACATGTGAAGAATTTAGGCGAAAAACTGACATCAGATTTGTGATCTACGCACCAGATTCTCGCAAGAAAGGGATTTCTCAAAACTTCCCTATGATACGTACAGTGTGTTATTTGAAATCTTCCCACCACGGATTGATCGAATACCACTGATTTAAAGAAAAAACGCCGAGAGAGGGGGACAACTTTTTAACCAAAAACTACTTCACCCCCTTCCTCTTTCTGCCCCCAGGGACAGCCCCTTGAAAATTTCATATGGCAAGGGGTATCTAGTAATAGCTTGTTTGAAAGGTATTTCGAAGTCCTTTATTTTGACGTTTCATTTTTTAAAATTGGTCGATTCGTTTTCAAGAAAATTAGAAAAATCTTTATTTACCTTAATTTGTTCAGATAGAAAACAAAAACACAGGATATTATCAATTTTTATTTCAATAAGTGTTCAAAATGTTGCCCGTTATTGGCCAAACAATGATATAAGGCGATGTTCATATTCCTGGCGGACATTTTCAAAAACGTGTTGTGGGCTTTTGATGATGCATTGACGAAGTTCATCCAAACTTTCAGGTTGAGGAGTAGACAGAATAGATTTCAAATGGTCTCAAATCAGAAGATCTAACAGGCCATCCGTCTCTACGACTAGACTAAGACCTATGCCGCACTGGCGAGGTGCTAATGAGCTCAAAACGCCGCTGTCCGCGGTTGGCCATGGTTACAGGAGGCGGAAAGCAAACGTGTCCATTTTCAGACTCCTATGGTTGCTTTATGAAATGCTCAAAGACAAGCTGGTATAAGCATGGGGCAAACGTTTAACGGACGATTGTTAGAACTATACTGAGCACTATACTGTCTGAGTATGTTACGTTTATTTTTAAAATACCGCTCCATTTAGGAAGCTAGCAAACCTTGCGAATATTATTAGAAACTATTACAAGTGGAGTTCCTGAACCAACAAATTCGTTCAAAACTACTACCTCCAGCTAGAATCTAAGGCTCAAAATCTTCTAACAAAAATGTCCTGTGTATCTAAAAATGTACACGTCTCTAAGGAGCACCGCAAGCATGCAGCAGGTTATGTTGACATTTGCGACGTGTATGTATATACAGGGTGACTTTGAAGTTGAGTCATTAATTTTCAGATAATGATTGTAGAAGGAAGATAAACCAAAATATGTGTGTAAAAATAAAAAAATAAATAAAAAAAAATGTTACCTTGTTTAATAAAGTATCGTCCCGACAAGTATTTCAGTGCGGACCTGTATTTGATCGTGCGGTCTTGGAGCAGCATGCCCTGACCTGTGAGGTCTTAAGTCACCTGATTCACGAGCCCTTTGTACTACATTAACAAAGGCACGAGGGGTTGGTTGCACTCGATTGGGAAACCGATTCGCATAAATCCGTGATGCATCCGGGAGCATTTTGTAAAGACTGCCCCCCCGTAAATAAGAATCATGTCCACAAGTTCAGCATTTTCGTAAACATGTGCCATTTTTGATTTCGTTTGAGCCACGCAACAAACACTTACTATTCACTAACGCGTTATCGACTGACGAAAAACATCGTGATAAACGTTTCAAATTCTTTCGCTTTTTTGTTTCCGATGCGATGAACCGGTCAGGCGGATTATATCCGTTGTCGCCAAACACGAACATATTATTACTGAGACAGGGCAGTACTCAAACTTCCAAAGGGCTATAACTTTGTTACTTTAATTTTACCAGAAAAATGGTAAAGGAAAAAAACATTTCTTTTGATCAGATCTACTCACTGTTAAAATAAATGACTCAACTTCGAAGTCACCCTGTATATAGGGTGTTCATTTGAAAAGTTCCCACCACGGATTTATCGAAAACCACTGATTAAAAGAAAAAACACCGTGATACATCAAAACATTTGTCAAGGAGGACAACTTTTTAACCAAAAACAACTTCACCTCCTTTCAACCTCTGCCCTCCAGGATCATCCCGTTAGGAATTTTAAATCACATGGGGTATCGAGTAATTAGCTTGTTTGAAAGGTATTTCGAAGTCCTTTATGCTTTATTTATCTTAATTCTCCGCCCTGTCAATTTATCTGGAAACTCGTCGTCTAGCCATTGCCGAACCGGAAGAACATAGTGAGGAGGAGCGCCGGCTTGCTGGCAATATATTTCAGCCTCATCAAGTATAGGGTTTCCATCATCTTAGGTTTGGTTTCAGTGATAAGCGGATTGATGGTATTTTCCAACATATCCATTCAAATTTCCATTAATAAACAATGACCCAATCACTTTTTTCCCTAAAATGCCTGCCCATACATTAATGTCTTGGGGTACTGGGTATGTCCTTCTACAAAAGGATGAGGATTTTCATTGTTCCAATACCTGCAGTTATGCTTATTAACAAATCCATTTAGATAAAATGTGCATTCATCACTGAAGCAGATGTTCTTTACATGAATGGTATTATTTGTTTACAAAACTCAACTCGTCTATCGAAATCAGCTTCGTTTGACTATTGCAATATTTTTATTTTGAATGGATGAAATTTATGGAGTTTAGTAACTGTGAGTACAGAGCCTAATGAAATACCAGTCGCAGCAACCATTTTGCGTAATGAAGTATTACGATTTATTATAAAACTTCAACTTGAGCAGCTTCATCCAAAACTCTCCGATGATCACGATTTTTATTTGTAACAGATTGAGTTTAAGTAACATACCTTCTCCAGATGTCTGGCGTTAAACTATACAGCCGTTTGCCAAGCGCATTGATTTTGGGCACCACAAATTAGAATCATTTCCACTCTTTTGACTAGTGTGCAAACCATTTTGGAAGTAAAACCTGAATCAATAAATTAATTTTCACTACAAAGGTAACTGACGGCAAATTAAATTCTTTCTTTCCCTTAACAACAAATAACTAAACAGGTATAACAATAAATACAGTTCGCCCATGATATCTGTGTTGAAAAGAATGCGGAAAAAATTCGGGTTGTTATTTGGTTGTTGCCACGTCTAATCTTCCGAATTGCTGTTTATGTTGGTAGTTTCCTATTTAAATTATGAACGAATTGTGGATTTGGAAAACCCTTACGGACAACATTTTGAACACCTATTGAAATAAAAAGTGATACTTTCGTGAGTTCTTGTTTTCTATTTGAACAAATTAAGATAAATAAAGATCTTTCTAATTTTGTCTTAAACGAATCGATTGATTTTATAAAATCGAACGTCAAAATAAAGGACTTCGAAAGATCTTCCAAACAAACCATTAGTAGATACCCCTTGTCATTTAAAATTTTTCAGGGAATGGCCCTGGGGGGCCGAAAGTGAAACGGAGTGAAGTAGTTTTTGGTTAAAAAGTTGTCCTTGACAAATTTTTTGACGTATCTCGGCGTTTTTTCTTTTAATCAATGGTTTTTGATAAATCCGACGTGGAAAGATTTTCAGTATAATTATAACGAGTAAAGGAAATTCTACAAAAACTTACCGTCACATAGTTGTATCTGTTTGCTCTATACTTCGATTTCAAATAGGCGGGCTTCTTGAAAGTCAAACTGCAAACCAATCCTTGTAAAATAATTGCTTGGTACCACAAAAGCACATTTAATATGCTGGAGTTCAATATGTGATGTCCAATGACGATGGGAGCTGCAATGAATCCTAGCGCAGTAACTGCCTGGGTTATGTAGGCTAATATTGTGTGTTTTGATTTGAAATATTGTGCCAGGAGAATTTCACATTGTGATATCAGGATTGAAGCTCCCCCGCCTAAAAAATCATGAGAAAATCATTAAAAACCCAAACTTCGTAGAAAAATGGTTATGCTGGTTTTTTGTTTTGTTGCAAATTCGGTAGGTTATACCATTGATTACAGGTATTCTCCAAGATGCCAAACAATATGCTGTATTAGAACGTTTACATCATCACACCTACGTTGCTATTAGAAATAATAAAAATAGACTCAATTTCTCTTCCAAAGAGAATTGTTTATTCTTGAACACGACGTCAGTCTCCAAGGAAGGGTGGCGGATTCGAACCTCCGCCTCGGAAGTTAATTCCGAGCCATGGAAGTTGAATTGTGTGTTTATGGACTGATGAGTCGACATTTAAGGTGGACGGTTACATGAATCTACACAACTTGCTCGAGTGACATGTAGAAAATCCAAATTTGATGAGACAAGATAGATTACAGTATCGTTTTATAGTAAAAATGTGGACTGGGATTCTAAATGGGAGAATCATTGTACCCTTTGAGCTAACCAGAGTTCTAAAATGGCGAAATTTATTCAGACTCTCAAAAAAATCATTAATCAATTTTATTAACAGACGACCCACTAAGCATTTACCAAAACATGTATCAGCAAGACGGCTGCCGGTTCAGTTAGAGAATAGCTTGATGCGAAATATCAGAGCAGGCGAACACGATCTGGTACAATTTCGTGGCCAGCCCGTTCACCTGACTTAAATACACTCGATTTTTTTACTGGGAGTGGTGAAAGAAAAAGGTTACTCAAAGCCAATCCTAGTCTGCTACGGGACCGAATAACTGAAGATTCGAGCGTCTGATAAGCCGATCATTTTCAAGAGGTCAAGTTTGTATTGCTGCTGAAGGAAGGGAGTTTGAACATTTATAGTAAGTTTATTAAATATATTCACGAATTGATAAAAGTGACTATACTATCTGTCTTGCTATCACTCCGTCTAAGAAAAAAATTGAAATTTGTAATAATGGGAACTAAGAGATCATCTTCAAATATCAGTGTCCGAAATCTAGGAACCAAACTAGTCGAATGCTTTCATAGCATGATGAATGTGTACAGAAGAGTAAATATAGAAAATTGTATTTGACAACATATCCACGGCCACGCAAAATCCTCGGCTGAAGGAGCCCCAGGACACAACGAAGTCCGGGTCCCCGTCCTGGGGAAAATCGAAGAGAGCGTGAGAAATGATATAAAAGACTTTTTTTGAAATTTCGTTTGAATTTTGGGCATTTGGAGACCCCATCAAACCTTCTTAGGTACTGACCCTGTGTGCTTAAAGCGTAGGATGGAATAGAACACATCCCCAGTCAACAGTTGTATGTACGAGAATAACCTGTCGAATTTTAACATATAATGCGCATTTCGTGGATTATGGGGCGCCGTACATAAAACTACTTACCAGAAAGTAGACCTGCTAATGTGTACAACGAACTCTCTCCGTATTCTGCCATGCCCATCCAAAGGAACAGAAGTCCCGCGCATGTCAAGCATGTTCCTGCCACAGAAACCAAACGTGGCCATCTGCTGGTTGATATCAATATCCTCGATGCAGGATCTGCAAACATTCTGCTCATATGTGTTTTGTGAAGAAAGTTTATGAGGCTGGGTATATGGCATGATCCTCAAAGGTGTGTATTATTGTCGGTTTTTTGATGGTAGCTATATAAGTCGCCAATCTGAGTCGAGAAGGCATTTAGGAAGAGATTTACAATTGGTAATGAAGTATTGTAATTGCGAAAAATTTTGAAAGTGGTGTATGTTTTTTGGATGATACATCACGAAAAACCACATTACTCTTCTCCGGCGGTCCGTCTGTCTACCCACGAATCCTCGACCCCTCTATAACTTGTAAAGTTATCCTGAATAGGTTGAGTAAATGGTGCGTTGTCAACAAACTTAATATAAACATAGCGACATGTAAAATTTTGAGCTTTATTCGCAAGCTTAATCCTATCCTGTTTACTTACTACATTGATAACACCAATCTAGAGAGATGCCAGACATTCAAAGATCTAGGGGTTATATTTGACAGTAAATTGACGTTCTCTGATCATATAAGTGAAATGGTATCTGTAATAATGTTTTTCATTCGTGTTTTAAATGCATCTGGAAAATGAACTTTTCTACACAAGAACATAAAACTTGATGTTATTATTGAATGTTCCGGTGATTGGATGCAAACCTATTAGAACACGGATTATTATTATCAAAGTATAAAAGTTTATCAAGGACGATAAAGCTTTGTAGTTTTTGAAAATCGATATTCACTTCCAACCCTGACAATTCTACACATCTATTATAAATATTTTCAACAGACGCCTCGAACATAAGGAGGTATACCTGTGTTGGAGGCTAACCGCTGGCGTGCAATGTTTAGCAACGTTGCCAAATGATCGCTACTGTTGGTAGTGCAAGGCAGACATTTCTAGATCGCAAAGTTGTGGAGACTAATTGTATACATATTTCGTAGCTAACTTTTGTTTTCAGAGGGGTTACCTTGTACCGAACGTAATCGTTTATGAACTGGTGGCAGCGTTGCGTGGGAAGTGCAGAGTCAACCTCTTTACTGTAATTTTTTAGTCAAAGATTGATGTTGAAATGTGGGCGTCGCACAGTGGCAAGGATTCAAGTTCACTGACTTTGCCGCATAGATTCGGTTGCATTTGATCCATGACCTGGGTTATGTCATATTTGAAAGCATCTGTCGATTGCGGCTTATTAGTAGAGACTTGATGACGACCAGTATCGCCTATTCTTTAAAACGAGGAAGTAGAATCAACAAGAGAAGGTGGGCGGGGTTCTCTTACTTTTCGGGAAACTGAATTCCTGAACACTGGTAAAACAGTCGCTCCCCGGATATTTCGCAGTCCTCCATTAATCTCATCTCGAAAGTCAACATTTTGATAAAGTGTTTTATGATATGAAGAATATAGAAGCATACTATTTTGCCGACCTTATCTGACAAACGTCACCAACTTTGGATTCCTAAGAGAGCATTCTATTCTACTGCGCTCAAGAATTGACGTCCAGTTGACAATGCATCTCACCAAAAGGTGCTAAAACATGTATTTTTATACCTGACTATACCGCGGAAATCAATTTAAGTAAATAATGATAAGTGGTCTTTTATATATCGTTTTATAATTGTTCGTACACTTTACTGAAATAAAAAATTCATTACCGAGATTCTTGTTTCAATTGATCGACCATTACCATATACATATTTGCCTTAAATATACTAATTTGGCAATAAAATGGTTTTAATGTCAAAATAAAAACTAAATAATTTATTGAAAAACATATAAAAGCTTACCGACAAATGTCCATGTTGCTATAAAAAGCAGTGGGGTATAAAGTAGCCTGTCATCCCATAGTTTTGGATTAGAATCTTCTTTGCTTAAGTTTGGTAGCCTTGAAAAAGCAAGAAACATGCCAAAACTGACTGCAAGACTTGGGATCAGTGTCTGCAATGAAGATTTGAGGAATTTTCAAGTTATAAATAAACATCTTGAAAAAATGCCATGTTTTCTTAATAAAATACTAAATCGTTGTATAACGTTTCGACGTTATTGACGTATTCTACCTGAAGATAGCCGAACATATGATATATATACAGGGTGGCGCATCGAAAACGAAACACGCATTTACTGGCAGCTTAGTTTTTTTTTGAAAAACGCTCAGACCCGTCGATTTTGTTTTCGAGGGGGACACAAGTTTGGCAAAAAATCACGTTAACACGTGCAGCCCCCTGGGCGGGGGTGACACCAACCCTAAAATCTTAAATGGAAAGGGGGGTCGACTGATACCTTATTTTAAAGGTATTTCAATTCCCTTTATAACGATATAAAATTAATGTACTTCAGTTCAGTAGTTTTGAATATTTATTGATTTAAAGCTTAAATAAAACTAATACATCATCATTAGTGGAGATCAATACATTTGGCAGCAATGTAATTTAAAAATGAAGAATGAACTGACCCGTTAGGCAAGTAAATGTTGAAAATGTCCACCATGACTCTCCATGCAATAATAAAGATTTTGCTCAAAACGTTGTCGCACATTTTGCAATATTTGAGGAGTAAACTCATTCACACATCTTTGTCGCAGGTCTTCTAATGATGTTGGCTGAGTAGCATAGATTTTGCTTTTCAAATGACCCCACATAAAGAAATCCAAAGGTGATAAATCTGGCGATCTTGGGGGACATTCAATGGCACCTCTTCCACCAATCCATCGATCTGGAAACGTCTGATCTAAATATTGTCGAACACGTAATGCGTAATGTGGTGAGGCACCATCCAGTTGGAACATCAACCTATTCGCAATGTACCGCCGATCATTCTGATTTTCAATTATGGCTGTTAATGCAGGATCTATGGCGTCTTCCAGTAATTCCAAATACATTTCACCGGTCAAATTTCCAGGTAAGAAAAAAGGACCAACTAAATGATCGCCAAAAATACCAGCCCAAACATTTAATTTTTGTGGCTGCTGTGTATGAACCTCATGATAAATTCTGGGATTAGAATCGGACCAATATCGGCAGTTATGACGATTTACTACGCCATTTAAGAAAAAGGAACATTCGTCGGAAAAGCAATTGTTGAATAGAAAATGTTCATCGTTTATAATTCGTTCACCACTATCTCCACAAAATTGTAATCGCCGATCAAAATCGTCTTCATTAAGTTCTTGTACCAGGTGAATTTTATACGGATGAAAACTATGGGCCTTTAGAATCCGTTGGACAGTACGTCGACTAACACCACACACAGTCTCCAATTTGCGGGTACTTGACGTAGGATCTACATAAACTTGCCCTAAAACTCCCACTTCTATTGCTTCGTTCCTAATCGGATTTTCAATGTAAGCGTTTTTTATTGGCGACTGACCCAGTTTCCCGAAATTTAGCTACAAGTTCTAGAACATATTTTCGATGCACGTTACGGTTATCATGTCGCTCATTAAATATTTCTGCTGTTCTATTAGCGCACTGATTATTTCCGAAAAATATTTCGATAATTTCAACTCTTTCTGCTGTGGAATATACCATGGTTAATTTATGTAATAAAGCGTTACAAGTTATTTTAGCAACAAAGTTTGGTCAAATCAATCGCAAACTATGTACTAAATTCCTATTTAAAATAAGTACGAGATATTTCCTTATCTTTCTTCAAAAAATAACTTTTTTGCCACAAAAAAACGCTCCAATAGCTATTTTCAACAACAAAATCATAAACAAACCATGGGCGTAGTGAAGAAAAGCATTTACTTATTAAGTAAATTCTTTCAGTCAAATTTCTTCTGAAAGTAGTACAACCTAATCTGATGTCCCTATTAAAGTCTACTTTAAGCTTCAAATCAATAAATCTTCAAAACTACTGAACTTAAGCGCGTGTATTTTACATCATTATAAAGGGAATTGAAAGACCTTTAAAATAAGGCATCACTAGATCCCCCTTTCCATTTAAGGTTTTAGGGTTAGTGTCACCCTTACCCAGGGGGCTGCACGTGTTAACGTGATTTTTTGCCAAACTTGTGTCCCCCTCGAAAACAAAATCGGTCTGAGAGTTTTTCCAAAAAAAAAACAGCTGCCAGTAAATGCGTCTGTTTCGTTTTCGATGCGCCACCCTGTATATATGAGCAGTAGTCATTGGGATTGCCAACAACCAGTTGGGCAAAAAATACAATTAATTGTTAATCGGGAAATTGGCAAACTTTTTAGGCTTTAGGCCCGTATCGTCAGTCGTCCCTACAATTGTAGGGCGCCTTTATGGCCTCCTTGATTGTCATAGTTTTCCACTTCTCCCTGTCAGCGCTCTATTTTGAGGTTATCTCACAAACATCTATTTGCGTCAAATTGTGTTTGCTTTTGAGTTATATCATGTTTAATCAGCCTGAAATTTCCTACAATTTAAAAAGACATCATATCTTCACAATAGGAGAACGCTGACGCTGACACGGGACAAGTGTAATCTAGAAATTTTTGAAGGAGAGAAAGGAGTATGACAATCAAAGAGGCCCTAAACGCGCCCTACAATTGTAGGGATGACTGACGATACGGGCCTTATTTAACTCTTTTGACGGTAATCTCTAGCTTTCGGCATTTCTCTATGAAGCCTTCATCAGGAGTCTTCGTTGAGGTTGCAGCCAAATGGTGTTTCAAAACGAACGCGGGGATGAGAGCACTTGTTACAAATATAAAACCAACCGAACGGACACATTGGGATTATTGATAACGACGGATACCATCGTTAGGTGTTAACACTATAAATCAATACACCCGAACATATTAAAAATTAACGAGGAGCAATTTTGGGGACAAAACCGGAACGCCGTTTCTAACCTCCTACATCTGCTTCACGTGTAGAAGGTGGGCGGAACGGAAAGATATTTCCGTTCCGTCGTGAAGCGACGCTATATATATCCGAATTCCAGAGCCCAAAAAGGGGTCTGAAAGATCCTAGTGTCATCTGTGAGCTAAAGCAGAACACAAAAATGAATTTAGAAATATTCTTTGAAAGAAGTTAAGAGTGTTTGGTTTTGCTGTCTCAAAGATGGCGCTAGTAACTTCAACCCCTTTTTGGTGCCTATCTCTAATGCCAATTTTGATTGGGTATCTTCAGGTAGAATACAAGGGAACGCGCAAGGCGGCGTCGAGTCCAGAAACAAATATAACGAAGCGGTGTGCGATGCCAAAGCCCAGCACGATATAAAAGATAGGCACAGGTTAATTTCTCAACGCAATGCCAGGACGATTTAAAAATTAGGCACAGGTAAAGACGCAATTCAATGGCTGTCGGTCTTTCTAATCGCTGGCCAAGCAAATTGAAGGAAACTGCTCAAAGAGTAGCCTTCCACCGCATAAGTGACCACAAAACCAGCAGAACTTAGCCTCGACTACCGCTCTCCTCCACGACGCCGCCGCGGAATGCCTGCCAGACAGACCCGCCTGACTTCGATCTCCCATCTTAACCGTGTCGAACTTCGTACATGGTAATGGTAGTTTTGACATGTAACCTCCAATATAAAATTTTACGCTCCAAGGATCGATGGGGAGTTTTGATATATAAATTTCATTAACGTATTGAAAGCCTGAAGCAATTTTCAAGTGGCTACATTTTTTCCAAAAATACGACTTTCCTTTCGTTTATTTTGAGCGCACCTTAATTAAGCAAATAAGGATGTGTCTGAATGGTTCGGATAAATACTATATCACCTTTTTTGAGTTTTTAAGCATTTTGTGTTCGATTGTTCTATATAAGAACCTTTGGTTGTCCATGCTATGCATTTTCAGAAAAAAAAATTTGACACACCCTGTATAAATGGTGTGTGTTTTAGTATAAGTTGCAAGAATCAATGCTTTCCACGCCGTATAATAGCAGAATAGCATTTGAGAGTCTGCAGATAACTAAATCTCAAAAATGGTAACTCAAGGAATAAATTATTCGGACAACTTTTATAAGAGTTGTATTCTCTACAATTTTTGTTTGAGGTATTTTTGTAGTATATCTCGCCCTTATAGAGAAATATGACTAAAGGTGTTTTTTTTTCTGACCCAAATAAAACAAGGTTCTACTCCAAGCACATATGAGGAGTTCTGATATATTATTCATAAAGGTGTATTTAAGGTCAGTACCAATTTTCACCTTAGTGGGATTTTTTGAAAACCTAATTTATCATACAAGGTACCTACAAATATCGTGGTACAGTAGATCCTCAGCCACATAAATCCATAATACAGCGGTCATATCACTAGTTGGCTCCAAAATTTTATGAAATTATACCTAAAGACTTAAAAGATTTACATTTCGGATTCAAGAGAAATTTGAAAAAGTAGTTAGGTACATTAAATTTTTTTGTTTAAGATTTACTTAGCATGCTACAATTACAATCTTCTAAAAAGCTAAACAATTGAAGCGTTATATTCCCAAAGGGTCTAAGTGCGAAAATTTTACTTCAGAGAAAATGAAGAAATAAGATATTCTTGTGATGTAGCGATGTCAAATAAAACAAAAAAATATGAAAGTAAATTTATTCGATTAAAACATCAGGTTATTTAACATTTTACGAAAAAAGGTAGCAAAAATAAACGAAATATATTTTGGAACACAAAATAAAATATTAAATTTTTAGAAGGTCCTATGTCTAATGCATCGTGTCATTGTAAAAGGGTCTATGTGAAAGTAATTCCATTCAAAATGTTTACTCTGGATTGTTTTGCTTGGTTTTTTATGATACCGGTATAAAATGAGATATATGCAAGTGGTATGTAATCTAACATGTCTTCTAAATTTTTGGCCTTTTCCTGAGATATGCGGTTTTTGCAATCTGTGGCAACGGTGTTGTTTTAAGGTCACTCAAAGTTTTGCTTCGTTTTAAAACGTTACAAGAGGTCCATTCTTCCATTTCGTTAAACGTTGTTTTTGTTCTGACTAAAGTTGGATTTTTCTTAGAAACTTCTATCCAAGCTTTGGATATATTCAGTTTGGTCGTGTTTAAAAAGCTATCGGAAATCTCTTGAAGATTTTTAAAATCTTCTCTATTCATACGAATGACATTGAATGGATTTTTATGTTGTGAGCTCCTAATCATTTTTTCAAGATGATCCGGTACGTAGTTTTTTGTGACTCTTTTACGACGCTCAATCTGCGCAAAGTCCCTATCACATGCCAAATAGGAATGCCCGGAAACTAAAAATTTCTGTTCAATTTTTTCAAACTTTCCATTATGGACCAAATATATGAACAAAAAAAGCAACATTTTGTTTTTGTTCTGTCCTATGCGACCAAATCACTAAGTTTTTTTTCATATTCAAAGCTGGCAAGTTAAGGCACTTTAAAAGGGCAGATCCAATTTCATTAGCTCCTGTACCTGTTATGGATTCGTCCCAAAGACACATATGAGCAGTTCCAGTATCAGATATGTGTATTCCTAGATTATAGCACGAAAGCTGTCTGCTATAAAACATCTGCGTATGTGTAAGTGTTGGCAAAAATAAAACTTGCTCTAAATCTATAGACATCATGCTAATGCTGGCCGTCGGGATTTGTGACAAATTACCGTCTTTTTCCATTTCTAGTCTAGCCTTTTCCGCCTTTCTGTGGTGTAGGTCAAGTTTGGCTTTCATCTCATCCTTTTCTGTTTGATTTTGGGCATAACTTATTTTATTTTTGTAAAGATCGCAAACTGAGCAAGTGTCCGTTCTGGGGCGACCGAATCGTAAATGCGGAAAATCCTTTTTAAATACTGTCAAGTAGTACTTATAAGTAACCTCTGTATCGGGAAACTGTCTTTTAAATGCCAAGTATAGGCGATTTATATTCAAATCTGGACTCAGAAATTTCTTTTGTGATTTGCTTCTGCTATAATGATTCTCTTCGCAAGGAAAACTTTGTACGTGTTCTCTAACCTGGTCTCTTATCGCTGTTGTATCCTTTCTTGGTTCATTTGACTTGCCTCTTTTATCTGTATACACTGTTTCTCCCAACTTTTTTTTTCTGTTAAAACTTGCAGTGCCTTGTGTGATAGGGCAAAAATGTTTGAAAATGTTTGACGGCAAACCTGCACATGCTGGCCATTTCCGTTTGGAACCGTGTACCATGCAGTAGCTTGTCGACGACTTTGTTCTGCAGATTCATATTTTCCGTGACGTCTTCTTTTTACACTGCCAATTTGTATGAGTCCCAACAGATAAGATTTTTGCTTCACATGATTAGCTATTTTATAATAATCTTCAAATAAAAATATTTTTTGCTCATAGGGCAATTTTCTGCACTCATATTTACATTTACAAAATACCTGGAATAAAACAAACTTATTTACTTTTGTTGACTAAAACAATAGAAATAAACACAACTAACCTCAAAACTTGGCGCCTTCTTAGCAGCAATATCCTTGTTACTTCGATTGTGATATGCCAGGCCACTATATTTCAGTCGTTTCATTTAATTCTTTTTATTTTCAGACCCTGGGGCACGTCGCTTTGGGTTGTTTACTTGATTTTCACTCATTGTTTATTATTAAATGCACGTAATAATATTACGCCTGTACTCGGCGCTTAGACCCTTCTCAATGAACAAGTCACGACCGAGTACGAGAACGCCATCTATCAAATGGGGAGATTAAATACATTTTCGTCGGATATGTACTTGGACCCTTTTCTAATGCATGCATTAAAGCATGTAGATCCTTTTGGAGGAAAAATATGAAATTCAGAAATATTGGCACTTAGACCCTTTGGGAATACCACGCTTCAATTACATAACATACAGATATTTAGAAAATAACAAAATTTGCATCTCTAGGAATTTTCACTCTCCATGAAATATTCCTTTAATTTTCTTTTAAACGTCTTTAAATTACAAGTAGACTTTATATCATTATTTAGTTTATCAAATTCAAGTAATCCTTTCTGAAATATTGATTTGCTAGTTATATTACTATTGCAGTTTTGTAAATGAAAATTTATATATATATATATATATATATATATATATATATTCTATATCAAGGACTAAAATTCATAAACTGATAAATACGAACATCAAGTAAATTCGTAATCCACTGTGACTAATTCTTGTCCTTTTTTATAATTTGTATTCTATTGGGTCATGCACATACAATGCCTCCTATTGGGCCTGTTTTTATTTTATATTTATTTACTCATGTTTTTTCTTTATAAATACATTGAGTGAAAACATGTTATTATAACACAAAGGCTAGTAACTCTTGCCTAAAGATGACCGTTCGCGAGGTATAAGCGCTTTAATGTCTGAAAAACCCTAAAAATGCGTATATTCAATGCTTAAAAACTTGGTTAAATATCATAATTTTTGAGGTTATCACATAACTATATGTTAAAGTTGGAAGTAGGAAATGATTCGCTTTTAGGACCCTCGGTGTGTGTGCTTCAGGCTTTTGAAATTTTTTTCAGACCAGTACTATGCAGATGCGTAGTAAGGAGGGTAAAGGATCCTAGTTTAACGTATTTTTTCTATTAACGCTAATCAGTGTAAAATGCATACCAGTTTTGAGATCGTTCTGAAGCATAGGTCTGTAAGGAGAATATTTTATCTGCCAATAATTTTTTAAGACATTATTTTCTTATTTAGTCCATGAAGTTTTTTCGCATCTGCCCGAAAAAATATATTGGCTGGATTTTGTATCGCCTTATTCTAAAAGAGGCATCTTTTGAAGAAAAATCCATTCCGGACATAGCTTTTTTTGAGTCATTCTGAACAAAAAAGGTTCTCATGAAATTTTCTCTGAGGTTGATAATTTTCGAAATAAAAGCGATTTAGTATTTCAAAAAGTGCAAAATGTGCCATTATCGACTCCAAAAAACAAAACGAAAAAACAAAGATTTGGATGTTGCCAAAGTTCCTAAATATTCTTAAAACACTCACTAACAAAATCTCAAAGCATTTTATTTAGAGGGCGTCAGTGTAAACCTTTGTTCTTCAATTGTTAATCAAGTGCGCGATCAATGTATAATTCTGAGTGAAGGGCAACATTCAAATTTTTTTCGTAGCAGAAAATGGCATTTTACACTTTTTAAATATTAAATCGCTTATATCTCGAAAACTATCAACTTTCGAGAAAAGTTCATACGTTCCTTTATTGTTCAGACTGAAGATATGCACAAAAAAACGAAACAACACTTTTCGAGTAGATGCAGAGATACTTCCTGAAATAATTGGATATACCTGTAGAATCAGGCGGTACACTTAAGCATATGTAAGTAAACATTTCAGAATTATTTTGCATGTAAAACAATAAATAGCATTATTATAATATTAGCATAAGTCGTAGATGATACATTGTTTCAAACACAATAGAAACTGATTTAATGCAGCGCCATCTATATCACTTATATATCCCTACCACGGTATGACTCATACAAGACTCTAAAGTCACAGATACGTACATCCAAACTTTTTTCACCAGTAAAGTCATTATAAGTGACTCTAATGTTGTGTGAAGTACTACTTACCTGGAAGAATAAAGTAGCCAGAAAAACAATCCACCCATACCCACCGTCAGGTACACTAGGTCCCAATTCTGGCTGTGTGGTCAGAACCCCATCTATGGCTAACCCATCGGACCTCGACGGTCTCGAGTCCCGATTTTCTTCCATTTTCCTTTGAATTCAGAGTCCTATCGCAGGCACCATCACTCACATTCCCGATTTTTCTCCACTCAGGGTGACTCATCGGTCATACACACTCGTCGACATTCAGGCCACAGTTTCACGCTGTTATCTTATCTGTTTTTGATTACAAACGGAGGTGCTCGTTTACTCAGGTACGACGATTTTTTCAAACGAAAATCTTCCGAGTAGTTTGTCGGGCGTATATGCATTCCGTTCAAGGTCAGCGAAAATTTCTCTTGTTAGGCGAATACGGTTATGTGGATATAAGAGTCGGCAGACGCATCGTTTTGTTTTTAATTTGTTTTTACCTGGCGAGGCAGGTGTATTGTTAATAAACGATTGCCGAGCAAGGTGAGCCAGAGGCGGACTGGCCAGAATGGTCAAGGTAGATTGCAATATCTGTCTGTGTAGTAGTCGAAAAATTACCCAATGATATGTATAGTTTTTACGCCAAGCAGGCACAAGATCCCAAAGAAATTTTGTTGATCTGATTTTTGAACTGCCTAAGGTTAGTAGAACTGGTAAAAGCTTCCTCTTGTAGATTGTTCTACAATCTCGACACCCTCGGGACACAAGAGCGGACGTATCGGTCAGTTCTGGATGTACGAAGTTAGACTCGGTTAGGATGGGAGGCTACTGAGGAGCAAAGCCCGTTGGTGTAGTGATAGAAGAGAGCTAGATCGCCGACGACCCGCCGGAGCGAAAGGGTCCAGAGACTGTCTGTTAGAGAAGAGTCATCGATCAGTCGGACAGACCTCTTCTGGACAGCATCGACCATAATGTAGTCGGGGGGCAGCACCCCAGAACTGTGAACAATACAAGAGGTTAGGTCTTATCTGGGCCTCGTATAGAGTGAAGAGGTCATACGGAGAAAAATACTCCCTGAACAAATAGCCTAACTGTTTCCCCCTAGTTGCCGCTATCGACAAGATGTGTTCGTGCCAGATCAAGACGTCGTTGATCGGGACTCCGGGCAGACAAAATGAATGGCTCTTTGGTAGAACTTGGCCGTCTATCAAAACTGGATGATCTTTTTGTTCGTCACGGTATATTTCTGCGTTTTGAAAGCCTTAAAATGTACAAGATTGTTGCGTCACGAAGCAGTGAAAACTTCCAGGTCTCCCGTCAGAGAGGAAGTTGTCGTTAGTCTTCTTTTTTGTCTAGCTCACCGACAGAGATCGGCCTCTCGCTCTGAATTCCTGCATGTAGAGATCGTTGATCTGTAATGCCGGGTCCACACCAAACCAAAAAAACAACTCAATGTTTTTCAACAATTAAGCAACAAATCGGCAACAATTCGTGTTTTGTTTCTGTTTCCAGCAACTTTTGGCGTTCCCGTCGTGAGTCGGTAAAGATCAAAAGATTTCTGTTTCGTTTTCATCTCAGGCAACATTGTGTCGGTGCGATGTGCACTTTGTTGCGAAACAAATATAAAACAGAAACTAGTATCAAATTGGAAAAAAATATAAAGTGGACTGTAGATAACTCGAGTAAATTAATTGAACTGTATAGGTAGTATCCTATATCTTAGTGTTAAGGCCAAATGTTCAACTACTTTAATTGCATTTCTAAAATTGGTATTTTTTATAAATTTCAGGACCGATCAGCTGTACTAACTCTTCAAAGTTTTGGACACAGTTAAAAAGTTCTCGAAACTAGAACACATTTCTCCCTCGCAATCCAATATCATTCTTTACGTAAATCGGACAATAATTTTTCAATACCACGATCATCTCTTTCACGTAAAAATGGTTTCACCCAAAAGCGTTTTTTATTTTTCCGGTCACAACTCTGGAGCAACACTGAACTAGCAGACATTACGATAAAATCTTTGCGCTTCTCCTTTCATCATAAAAGCGCCACATATTTTCACTCTGAAAATGTTTGGTGTGAACTGCATGAAACATTACAACTGAAAAAAATGTTATCTCTTGCCAATGTGGACATAAGTTTTCATTTTGTTTTGTTTCCAAAAAGTCGCTCATTTGTTGCGTTTCTGTTTTGTTCCTTGTTTTTGTTTTATTGCTTTGAAGTGGACTCGACATTAGAGGAACAGTGTCGGAGCTCAGACTGATCCCTGGAGAACACCCGCGTTGACCTTGTAGTATGAACAGGAGAACCCGTCAATTACGATGGATATCTTGCGGCCAGAGAGAAACTCAGCCACCCATCTGCAAATCTTCTCTGGAGGCCAAAGGATGGAAGTTTGCACAAGACATGAGCCTCAAAATAAGACTAGATGAGCTTACTCCACAATTCCGTGACGTAAGCTATGTCCCTAGGTGACTTACTTATAACAGAGAGAGAGAGAGTAAGAGCAGAGCTCTATAGGCCTGTAGTTGTAAGGGTTGGTCTAAAATCCTTTTTTGGGGATGCCTTTGCGCTGTCTAATTTCAACCAATGGATTTGTTCTTATGCAGTTATTTGAAGCCAAACATTCTATGCCCAACAAACCTAAAGAGATATTACTTTTGTTTTGTGTTGATGGAGGGAATTCAAGGGTCCATTTGTGCTAGGTATTCCATTATACTCTGTGTACTTCCTGATTCATTATTTTCTACTTAATTTAAATCGATATAAGTAAATGTCACGCTAATTCCCTTTTACATTATTTAAAAAATAAAAAACAACATCGATCCTCAAATATTTTTGGCTCTCCATGTATACCATCGTGGCGCTTCATTTGAGACACCCTATAGATGTTCATTGTGATATTGTCTTGCAAAATTTTGTGATTATTCCCTCCCAAGAATGCTCTGCAATAATCGTCAAAATATCATTCCAAGCGGTACTTTATTTTTCGTGCAGGCTATTTGATACCTGATAAAGAATAAATATAGGCTATCTCGCTATATTTACCCTATACCACTTGACTTTGATATAAATAATCTGCTTTAGTCTATGAAACTTTACGTCCTGTGCCTGTTGCGTGGCGATTGCCATATAATCAAAATCACGAAAGATGACTATTACGTCATACCCTAAATTGTACTGAAGTAATCGATGGACGTACGTCGATGATAAAATCACGATGTCAGGGACATAATGACAACAAATTTATATTATGATTTTGGGAGGTTCAGTTATTTCACTGATTATTGTTATTTTCATTTTATTTCATGGTTTCGAGTGATACCTTAATAATAATTTTAGTGGGGAGTTTGTGTTGAAAAAAAAAATAGTTATGAGTAGAAAACCTTGAGACAGGAACACGAAAGACCAAGGTATTTTTCGAAAACAACTTAACCTGCTTTAACATATACATAACCTAACTATTCATCTTTCAAATATGATCGATCACGCAACATGAAAACAGCGTCTATCTTTGTCGGATACATGCAAATTAACAATACAGTTTGTTTAGACAATAAAATTCTGTTTGTCTCTGTCTAACATATCTGAAACTTCATTAAAAATATTCACAAATTGCTGTCGTTTGTCTTTACTACAGACTAAAATGATGACGTAATCGTCACCTTTCGTGATTTCATCGCCCCATACCGCACCTTGATCTGCAATAAAATCATCATCCTGAAGCTTAGACCTATTGTTATACACGAAAAGGATACACCGAGGTCATCAGTTATGGTACGAGTGTTACATTTCGTGTACCTGCATTTCATTGAACGATAAGTTGATAATGAATCAAAAAACCTTCTTGGTATCTATTTTCGCCAAAAATACATAATAGTATGTGGTTATATCGCTAACAAAACACTCCCTAATAACTGGCTGCGTGTTTATATCTAGGCTAGTACATACACTGAAAACCAAGTTTTTCCGACGGCTTGAGTTCAATGTGTACGAGAGAGAAGTGTGTTTAGTCACGTCTGTTAGAAAGAGAGATAAGCCGGCTGGACATCGAAGCTTATCACCGCGTTGCTCAGAAACGATCACGCGTCAATCTGTCAGTTCATCAGTTCCTTGAATTAATATGTGTGTTGAAAATATCGCCCAAATGCGTACAAGCAGGCAGTAATAATTTGTATTGCGTAATGGTATTTGTTACATTTTTCGCTGTCCCAAATGTAGCAATACCTCGGGACGAACTGATTTTATCACCATCGGTGGAAGTCAAAGATGATTCTATAATAAATTAAAAGACTAACCGCATCAAAGTTTAAATAAATAATTCTAATCAAGATGAAAATAAAATATTGAATTAAATGTTTGAAGAGACCTCCTTGGGTTTGACAGTAACCTGACCTTTTGGAGCAGCCTGTGGGAATATTTTCTGGTGTAACGCGGCAGATTGCACGACCTTCCGCGTCACCGTTGCTAGGCAATTGATGTTGATGACCTTCGCTCTTCAGTCTGCTTCTATCTCTTTTTCACATGTGTGGAAACACAGTTCTAGCGCTTCTCTCTCGTACACATTGAATTCAAGACATGAGACAAATTTGGTTTTCGCTGTATACCTCTGTGGTATTCCCGGGTATTTACAAATTTGACAATAGCATAATAATTGCATGCAGGTCCAGAAATGAATATTCTTGACAAATGAAGTTTTCTACATAGGCAAAAAAGAGTTATTAATAAAATTTAGGTTCACTACTTCCGATAATATAAACAACATATTCTGAAGTCAAAACAAGCCTAAAAATGATAATTTATTGATTACAATTTATATAAAAAAAATCTTGTCATGAGTATGACGTCGGCTGTGATGGTACCTACAGATGTGGTGGATGTTTGGCAACGGGGCAACACTATCTAGAAACTAAAACGAGATGTTTTCGCCAGATCATCCGGTAGTGACGAACCGGAGCAGGAACAGATGGAATTTTCCCTTCCTCTCGAAGTTTTGACAGTTTCAAGTTACACCGGGAATGGTTAGATGGCGCATGTTGCGCAAAATGTTTGCTTTAAGCTCCTTGATAAACTTAGCTGCCTTCTTTGAATCTGAAATAAAAAGACCGATCGTTTTTGTGCAATGTACATTATATATCAATATAATCAATCATTTGATATGAGAAGTGCGGTTCATATATCTTCGATAACCTTCTCCCTCGTCATTTAAAATCAGGTGGACGTGTTCCACCATTTATGGTTTAATAATTTAACTCAATTTTCGGCACTGCGAAGACAAATTTTCAATTGAGATGCCTGTTTTTTTAAATGACATTGACATAAGACCTGTCACCCGCTAGTACCTCACAGACGTTAGGCGGGTACCCATACCACGTGATTTGTTGACATTCGGATGACGTCACATCCGTCTTCCCCCTAGGAGGCGGCAAAATGCCATCAAAAAGCTATTAGCGGTCGGTTGAAATTTGAGAAGGTATTATAATACACTTTTATTAAAGGTGTCAACCTCTCTCGACGATTTTGTGTTTGACGTGTGCTCGCGATCAATTGCTAGTGACTCTTATTCCAGTGTATTGTGCATATTTGGTGAGTGATTTGTTATTTATATAACATGATTTAAAATTTTTGAAGATAGTAACGGAACCAGTTTCCGACTGTAACCGATCTTGCTTGCTTCACTTCGGCTACGAAGACTAGAGTTTAAACTGGGCAAGGAATACACATATTCGTATGAAGCCAATCCTGTCACCAAGGATCGTTTAGCTCTCGGAAATCTAGTGAGAGCTGAATATGGCGTAGACATCGTCGATATTTTTAAATTCACCTCCACTCCATGAGTTTTACTCTAGGCTTCATGCCTGCGCACTGTACATACGAGAGAGATGCCCTATGCGCAGCACCTCAAATTCGTTTGCTACGCAGTGTATCAAGTCATTTCATCGTCGACATTTTTGGCCTCCCACTCTATGAGTTTAACCTCCTATCTCAGTGTATATGTTTTGTGCTCCTATCGATATTCTTTTTTGTGCTATAAATTCTATGTGCTTTTCCTTACTTGGCGTTCTGCGTTATTTCCCTCATTTTCTGTTCTGGTGTTCTGCAATCTGTTTTTTTGGGAAAGGAAAAGACACGCCGACGCCATTTTAATTAGCATTAGGTGAAGGGCTGTTCAGGTAGGTATTTATGAAATTTTTCAATATATTATAATATGGAAGTCATAAGTTGATTCAACTATTATCAAGGTATTTCTTCAGGGTATTGTATGATGCTTCTATTAGCTGAAACTATTTTGATATCAATATGTGCTTGTCCAAGCAAATTTCTTTGTTTCGCGCCGATCTGCGGTTTCACATATACCATATCTCTTTTGGTCTCTTTCATACATATACTAAAGTAGTTTGGAAATAACAATGTAAACGCTATGAATTCTGGTTGTTTTTGTTATGTGCTGCAAGTACCATGTCGTGTAACAGGCTTTTTTGCATTCGAACACATTGTTTTAATAATTTAATAAATCCAGAAAGAACTCAAAATTTCGTCTGTAAATAGGTAATATTAAAGATGGAAGGTCGTGGCCGTGGTAGAGCTCGCGGCAGAGCCCGTGGTGGGCAACAAGGGGGACCTGGTGCCCCTCAGGCGCCACGCCCAGGCCCCCAACAGAGTCAACCGCCCCAGCAGCAGGCCCCTGGCCCACAACAGCCTTGGAGCAGACCTCCAATGCCTCAGCAGGGACTTTCACAGCAGCAGCAGTGGGTTAGGCCTCCAATGCAGGCTCCTCCCACCTCAGTAAGTATTTAACTGTTATTTTTCCTAGATCACCTTTTATCGATAACATAATATGTGACATTTGATCCTTTGGAATAGTGAATATAGTATTACCACTTTCCAACTCAGTTTTTTAATACCTGACACATGTTTCACTATGTTAGCATCTTCAGGGAAAGATTAAATAAATGTATAACAATAACACATGTCCTGCATTGAAGAACAGGTTTGCAAATGGTAAAACTCTGTGGTAGTTACACCATGCAAGGTTAAATGCATGATTTTGAGGACTTGTATTTCCTGTACAATGACATACAGACTATTTTTTACAGCATCTTATTAACAGTCCAACAATATAATTCCTGATGACAGAAAGATGCACCTAGATGGTTCAAACCACTTATTTGTGCTTTCATTATCCAGGCTTACAAATTTAAAGAAAATAAAATTTATTACTTTTTCATTGCTCGTTATGCTATTTCATATGCTAGTGACAGCTGCTGACGTTTAGCTGTTGTGTTCTGTTTGAAAGGTAGTCCCTTAGTAAATCATAAGCCACTTCCCTAACACCGTTGCTGTGAAGAATGTCGATTAGCTTATTGTGGGGAACCGTGTCGAAAGCCTTAGCAAGGTCCAAAAAAACAGCATTACTCTTGTTGCCATTATTTAGATTATTGACAATTTCAGTAATTAATTTCTGCATAGTGTCCACTGCACTGTAACCCTCAAGAAACCAGAATTATCTGATAATTCATTATTAGTTTTCAAAAAATCGATTGCAATTTTCAATTGAAGTAGTATAACCTGATTTATGTATTAAGATAACTATTGATATTTTAAAGTCTTTTGGGACAATTCAAGTTTCCAAAATTAAATTGTAAATATGTAATAATGGTGTTGAAATTTCAAAATGAGTTTGTCTTATACTTTCAACCTGTATGCCATCATAGCCAGGAAACTGCTTTTCACTACATCTGTTTTCAAAATTGTATTAATAGAATTAATAGAAACAGCATGCAACTGGAGAGGAAGTGTAATCGCTAAGGATTTCAAAAATGTTTTTTGGATGTTACGTAACATGATTATCACAAAAAACCATGTCATGCATTTCCATCAGTCTTTCTCTACTTTGATTTTGATGGAATATCACACGTTTTGAAAAGCTATCCAGTGGCAGTGGATTTGAAGGCAAAAAACTAAATAAATAAAAATTGCTCAAATTTTGTTTTTTGACTCCTGATTATTTTTTAACATTTTTAAGGAGTAAAAAATTGGGGGTGTGAGCAGGGAGTATTGCATTTTGTTTGGGAGTAGTATATTTATATACTTCTAATCCCAGTAATTCTATGTGCCTATTAGGCATATTTCTCTCATATATTACAGTGCTAGAAATGTTCTTTATACATATACAGTATGAAGCTGCTGCCAGGCGAATATCCACGCGATTTTGTTGCCTGAACAGCTTAGAAGAGGTCAGCAACAACACCCTGACATGACACCAGCACAATATTATAATTCAGTGAATATTCATAATCAGATATGGTAACATGAGGCCTGTAGTAAGTGTGAAATAAGAAATAGGCATTTGAATGTGAAGAAATTTAGGGGAATGAGGATTCTGATATATTAATACCTCAATTACAACTAATCATGCCATATCAAAATTATTGTTTCCGAAAGAATAATTAATCTGACAGTCTGTAGCTGACCAATAATAAGCATACCAGAAAGTTACCAATGATTAAATTTATTAATAATAACAATGATGTCTTAATTTTGGGGGAAGTTTAGCTTTCAAATACCTATAATTAGTGTTTCTACTACTAACATAGCATTGTCAAAGCTAAATTGAACATAAAATCTATATTTCTGATTCCTAGCCTCAGATAAACCCTATACTTTAAAATTTAACTATCACTGGACTCAATAAATGACAAAACATCATATTGAGATTCTAATTATGCCATCTTGTACAGGAGAAAAGGTGGTAACATTAATGTGCACTTTATCTTGAAATCCCACCTTAGATGAAGTCAAGAAATAATTAAAACTACAGTGAATATCAGTTATAACGACCTTCAAGCGACCTAGCAAAGGAAGTCGTTATATCCGATTTTTGTTGTAAGCGATAGTTAGTTATTTAGGTATATAAAAGTCAATTCTATGAATTTGATACAAAAGAAAACGGGTAAATTGAATAAGATGTTTAATTTAGAACACCTCAAGACTTTAACACCAAAATAGGTAGGTATATATATATATATATATATGTTAGTACCTATATACAACAGTAACTAAATTAAAACATATGTAAATACATAGTACGTATGTATTATCATACATATGTAAGCTGGCAGCAGCGGTGGCCGCAGTAGTAGACTCTTCTGTCTCCTGATCAGTCGCCGTGCGCTGTGCGGGTTCGAATCCCGTCCCAGGAGGAAATTTTTCTCTTGGCTATGGATGTTGTGATTGTCCGTAGATGGTCTGACTGTCGAACGCGGAGGTACCACCCGGCGGATCTCGTAGGCGGAGCCAGAATGTGTGCATGTTGCATGCACACGTGTTCCCTCGCCAGAGTCCGTGTGGCGTCCCCCCTTTCCCCTGTATCCCCCATAGCCCCACGGTACCCAATGAGTGTTTAGGCCTTCGTGGCAGTTGGAGTATAAAAAAAAAACAGGAAAACATGGAATATATTCTCGCTCGCAAAGAACATGGCGTTTTTTTGAAAACGTCAGTAATTTTCGATTGTTTTTTACATTTATCAGTTTGGTATGCACATTGAAATTCCTTAACCATAGATTTCAAACATTCCTGCTTTGAAGTCCTGCTAAATTTCTCATTAAAAATTAGAAATTTTTGTTGAGTACTGTAATATTCGATTCTCGAACGAAGACAAAAAAATTTTTGTAATATTGAGTTTTAATTGGCAAAAGTGGCGGTATGTCGCTGTAGGCGATACTGTCGTTAAGTGAATTATGATAAAAACGTCGTTTTACGCGACATAGCCGACGTCATTTTATACGGTTTTCTTATATACAGGAATAAATATAGTTTCGCCGATAAATGCAAACTCCGTCGTATAATCCGATAGGTCGTTATATGCGATGTCATACTAAATGATTTCTACTGTATTTTGAATTCATTTTTTTCTCTGGAACCAACTATATTTCTCTTATCAATTTCGAGATCCCAATGGTGAGAGTCGAATTTGGAACACCCAGTATATGAGTATAGACACTTCTTTTTTACACTATTTTGAAGTTAATGGAAAATGTTACATTATTCGGTCCTAATAAATAGTAGCTTAAGAAATGTTTGTTACTGCATCGCTTCTATCCCTGACAAGTGTTGAAATTGCTAATTTGTTTATCATGACAATAATATTGTCTATCCATCAGAAAATTTATCAGAGACTTGTCTAAATGGAATGTAAATAATAAAAATATACTCATGCACCCCCAATGTCTTCAGTTTCCTAAGCAATATGTTGTTATGATCAAGCCTCTCAAAGGCCTTTGTGAAATCAGTATAGATAACATCCACTTGATAGTACCTCTCAAAGGCCTCCAACAGGCACTGCTTCAGCTCGAGATGGTTGGTGCTGGAGGGATATAATAACAATTAAGTCTTGAATCATTTTTATTAACTAAGTATTCAAAGACAGATATCACACAAATTTTTCTAATTGATGTATAATTTAGTATATCATTACGATTTCCATCTTTGAAAATTGGAGTTATATAGCTCCTTTTCCAAACCTCAAGGAAGGTAGCATTATCCAATTAGTAAACTAAAAATAGTTTTACCAGCATTTCAGACACAATTTAATTTGTATTTTTCCAGAAGTCTACTGATATCCCATCAGGACCACACCGTAAGTTACTGTCCAAGGACAATATACAATTAAAAGCATCCAAAACATGAACATCACAGCTGTGTATATTTACATCTCTGGTTGATGAGTGATTAAAGCTTGATTCACAATCATCAGTTATACTACCTACATATATAGATGAAAAATTACTTGTTGACTATATCATCTGTAGATTCAGTAGTTGTTTCATTAAAATACATAGCTTGTGGTATATCAGAATTCAGTTTCAAAACTCACTTTCATTATACCCGTTTTAAATCAACAATTTCTTCACAAATTTATTCAGGTGGGTTTCTTCAAGGTCTTTCTGATTGTCCATCAATGGGCAAATTCATATTTGTCAGGACGCAGTGCTGCCAACCACAAAACAAATTTTTGCTAGAAACATTTTGAGTTTTTATGAATATTGTGGTGTTGATTTTCAGACGAATCTCATAAACAGAAACCATTTTGTTAAATACTACTACTACTAGTTCTATTAAAGTTCTTTACTTGAATTGAAAAGTTGTTCAATATAATGGTAAAGAAAACAAGGTTGACACCATGGAATTTGTCATTCAACTCCTCAAAAATTAGAGCAAGTTGATGTCAAAAAATGTTTTACCCTTTTGAAATTTGGTTACGAAGTCAGTTCATGGAAAAATCCGTGTATTCATTGTTAATGTAAAATGGGTATTAGAAATGTTTTGTTCCAGGTTATTAATATATTCACTATGACAAATATAAGCACATGATAAATTTCTCATTTTTATTTACAGTCAGCTGGAAGAGGAAGTCGTTTGGGCGGTGGGGATGCATCAGATGTTGTCCCACCACAGATGACAGCAGGAGGTAAATTCCACATTTTCCAAGTGATTGATAGTTGAACAACATACTAGTGGTTTCAGAATCTTCATAGCTAGAAGTATATAGGTTTCAATGGCTTCACAAAAATTAGTTATTTGCTTAGTACATTTCCTGTTGTTTACAATATTCTTGCTGAGGCGAATTTAAAATATACAAAACATTGAATATCCCTATTTTTGCACCAGATTAAAGTGTAGTGTTGGACGCCATGTCAACTCTATAATTGTGATTTGAAGCTTCATACTAATCATTGAGGTAATGTCTAGAAAGGTGCTATTAGAATCTCTTAAGGCTAGACATACCTGCATCATCAAACGTGATACATTTGTATCATATTAATACAGGTTTCACAATCTATATACATTAGCAATTAAGAAATCATTACTTTGGTCCTGTGTTTTGTAAAATGTTATGCCTGATGGTGTGGTACTCACAGTGGATCACCTACACCATGGCACAAGGCACCATATTTATTTGCAACACATAGAATAATGATGAAAATGGTGTATAAAAAAAATATTTCTGGAAAAGCCAGGTTAAGTTAAAGTCGTGTAGAACATGCGCATATGTCACTTTAACACATTTGTTAAAAATCTTGGCATGACCCATGATCAAAGACGTTTTGCCATATCCCCGAGAGATTCTATATTGATAATAGTTATTCATATAAGGTCAAGTTCAAATGATGTTTTCTTTTTCAATTTCACAGCTGTTAGTGGACAAGCAGAAGGTGCTGACCCTCAGGCAAGAGGGAATCGAGGTGGAGTTAGAGGAAGAGGAGGTGCTTTCAGATCAGAGATTATTAGGACCAAACCTTCAAATATGCAGAGCAAGCAAGGCAAGTTGAAATTAATGGTTTACTGATATTTTAAGGGTCCTTTCTATACCTTATCTGTTCCTGCATAAAACCATGGATTGGCATATTAACCAAAAAGATGCCCAACTGTACTTGTCATGTATTAACAATCCAATAAAAGCTTTTATTATTATTATTTGGATGTTCACATACAATTTTCATCACAGCCATGCTGCTAAGAAAGATTGCAGTAAATCCTTTAGAAGAAGCAGACTCTGTAAACCTTTTAAAGAAAATATAAATCCTTGAACATGACATCAACTTACCAGCCCATAACCTGCTCAACAGTCCAAGTGACAACATTGTTACCTAAAGACTGTGGGTTACAAATGTTCAGTCTTCAGGAAACAGTAGCAGTATTTCTAGAGCATAAAAGTGGAACAAAAATAAGACGAATTTTTCAGTGACTGATAATAAGAATCTCATAAGCAATCTAGAATACATCAAAATATATTTTTTAAGAATCCAAAAAGTAATTTATGCCAGAATAGATGGTAGATTACAATTTTTTTAGATTTATTCCATCCAAACTCAATCCTATGTCAATTTTTTTTGTTACAGGTACCTCTGGAAGCTCCATTCAGCTAACAGCAAACTATTTTGCATTGCTTCAAGCTGGAAAGTGGGGCCTCAACCAGTATCAGGTGGACTTTAATCCACCTGTAGACCTAACCAGGGATCGCAAGAAGCTTTTGCGTGATGCCTTACAAGATGTAGGGATCAATGGGTACTTGTTTGATGGTACAAACATGTACACCCCCCAGAGGTAAGAAATTCAAGGTTTTACTCTTGATTCATTATAGTGCAATGCAGCTGTGTATGATTTCAATAATGACTAGTGTCAAGTAACATATTTCATATCTTATCAGTGTCAAAATGTTGATTCACATGAGGTATTGTTTTAAGTATAAATGATAAAAGCAACTGAAACCATTTTTCGATGAGGCATTCATGTGTTTCGAGCGGTATTTTGGAGGATTACTTGGGTAATGCTGATTTCTATTGTGATTCCTCAATCCTGCTCTTTTTATATGCACAAAAGGAAATGACAAGCAGTGATCGGTTCCTCGTGTTATACCCTATTTCACGAGAATTCATCACGGTAGAATGACAGCTGATTATCTAGTAATATCTCAAAATTCCTCATGTCGGCACATTCTCACGGATCCGTCAACGTCAGGTAGTCAGAGCTGTATTTGGTTTTGTTTTTTGCACATTACAGATTCATTTTGTACTTGCTAACATCTCTTTTATTTAGAAAAGTTCATTTGCATTCAAAAAACAAAAAGCTACAAACAAATTTTACTAGATTTACACTCGATTCATTATTGACAATGTTGCAGACGAACACAAAAATGTCCTTGCTTATATCAGCTGTTCACCTCAGTAGACGTCAAAAGTGTGATGGATACTCTTGAAATAGGCTATAGTGTTGACGCATAGTAAATGGATTGTCAATTTATCGGTCTGAAAAGGAAAAATTAGGTTCCCAATGAATTCTGGTCGCAGTATTGGTGCTGCATGTAGCGCCCCACAGTCATGTTGCAACCAATTGTTTTCAGAGAACAACTTGACTTGAATTCCAGATGGCGAATTGTGATGGTTATGGTAATTGGGCCATGGTGCGATAACGGTCGAGAAATACCATCCGAAATGCTCGGACGCGTAGTTGAAAATAAAATTCAAGCATTGAATTAAGAGTCAGCTTTTCAAATAAGGCATATTATGGGTGTTTCTTTTGCTTTATAATAAACATAGCCGGTGCAAGTTTCCTTTTAACTACCTACACCACGGGCGAGGAAGTATTGTAACTTCGAAAATGAGATAATTATGTATTTTGGATGTTACACGTCTACATCATGAGAAACCATGTCGCTAATCCTTGGCTAGCCTATATCTTGAAAATTGACGAGGCGGGGGGTGGCGCCAACGACTTTTCAACACATTTCAACATTTAAAAGTGATAAAAGCTCATCATACAACGTCAACGTACAGTACATGAGATTATCGTACAAAAACGGTAATAATCGTACGTCTAGCAATACTGTGTCCATACAGTATTGTCGCACCGCTTATGGATGTTTATGTGTCGGCAAAAAAGGTTACAAACTAAATGGCACGAGGAAAGCTGAAGATCGTCAGATATCGCGAATTTGCTGAATACTGTGCACCATTAAACGTAGCCAATCGCTTACCCGTTTTAGTCGGCACTTGAAGCCGTCAAATCGCCACGCCTGGCAACCCTGGTCTTATCATTCATCAGGCTTACTCGCCATTCCTGTAGCAACGTTATTGTTGCTTTTCAAATGGCTGATAAGAAGATGGGATGGATTTGTATTTGTTATACATGTTCATAATTGACTTTTTTCTGAAAGCAGCTAACTTGTGCTGAACATGAACTAATGATAGCGTTGCATGAGAAGTACAGAATCAATGAACTTGACACCATTTGTTGTTTCTTTAAGAAGAAGTACCTTTAAATAAATCACATATAATGCATTTTTTTAGGTTGCATCCAGATCCTCTGGATAAGTTTGTTGAACACAATGAAGAAAAAATTAGAGTGACAGTTCGACTCGTCGGCGATGTAGCATGGGGAGATCGTCACTATATTCAGCTGTTCAACATAATTATAAGAAAATGCCTGACATTCATGAAATTCCAGCTGGTCGGAAGAGACTACTATGATCCAAACAACAAGGTGAGATTTTGAAAATCTGAATTTGAAATTCTGTTTAAAAATATTCCATTCTGCCATCTATAAGTTATAGGCATCATACTGTTATGTTCCAGATTCCCGTCCACGAGCACAAACTGGAACTTTGGCCAGGTTTCTTCACTTCAATCAGACAACACGAAAACAACATTCTCATGGCCTGTGACGTGACATTCAAAGTCATGAGACAGGACAATTGCTATGATCTTCTATTGGGATGTCAATCTTCTAACCCGCAGAGGGAATTTCAATCGCAGATTATTGGGAGCATTGTTATGGCCTCTTACAGCAACAAGACGTATCGCGTTGATGACGTCGACTTCAAGACGACTCCACAGCATTCATTTAAAATGAAGGATGGGTCAGAGTGTACCTACATGGATTATTATGCGAAACGTTATAGTATTCGCATTCAGGTGAGTAAGGAAAAAACGCCTATACCCCATTCGTAGTTCATGGTTAATATTAATTATTACAGGTTCAATTTGAATATCGATCATATTGTCCAGATCCCACATCTTTGTTTCGATTGTCTCTTAAACATGTCGGATGCAATCTTTCCAATGGTTTGCCATTACTTTGTAGACAGCTTCACAAAACAAATTTTTCTCGTCTGAATGTTCTCTTGTTTGAAACCACATATTTTTTTATATTTGCCCAAATCATTTCAATGGGATTTAATTCGCAGTGTTGATTCGTCAATAACATTAAGATTATATTTATATTTGTGCTGCCTGACTAGATGGACAAGTTCTGCTTTGACCATATTTCCATTGAAACTAATGTCTTATTAATAGGAGCCATTGTTGAATTTCTGCCTTTCTTGTGGACATTGTAGGAATTTTTTCTAGTGTAGTATGCAGCATTATCAAGTACAATGACGGCATTGTCGTCAAGCTTTGGGAGCGTTTCTTCAAACCATCGTTCAAATGAACTCCCATCCATTTCTTCATGGTAGTCGGTCGCCTACGTTGACTCAAATGCCCATAGGGCACTGGGCACCAGGCCATCTTCACTGCCAATGTGACAGATAACAAATCGTTTTCCTTTTCCTGGAAATAATTATTTCATATAAAAGGAAAATCAAACACCTTGGTTCTCGCAGACGTTCAAGGATTCTAAATTAAAAAGAGACTACAATTATAAAAAGTGTATGATTACTGGAAGTGAAAATGATTGGCTAGAATATATAACATCTAGAAACCAATCTGTAGCAGTTCTACAAGATGAAAAGAAAAAATTATTACTATGCCAAAATTGATCAGATTAACCCATTTGCTCCCACTGTACACGCTTGAGTACAACAACAAAAATGGCATAGTGGCGACATCTTTTGTATAGTAGTCAAACTTTAAAGCTTAAATGGGAAGTGTTTTATCAGATTTTCATAAATGAAACAATAGCTATCGCTGTAATCGTAGCGTTTCAGTAAATATTCTAAAATTTACCTGTCAGTTCGTGTTCAACAATTTGGCTGCTCGACTTTTTGCAGTATTTTAGATTATATACGTGTTTTGTTGCCGCTTTTTGTTAGACAGGTAAGTACTAGTTCCATTTATTTACATGGTAGCAGCTCTGTTTGATTATGGTTACCGAGATCTTAGAAAATAGATCTGTACTCATTTGAGTACAGCGGGTTTATATAAAGTCAAAAATGTTTATTTGCTTTTTTTCTATGCTTTTAGGTATAAACCTTTCTAAAAATGGATCCAGACGAATTTCAAGAAGTAAATCCAGTTAGCTTTTATGGAAAGCGTTATAGAAGGCTTGACTTAGCTGCAGATGATGTAGCAAGTTCCAGTTACCAAAATATATCGGTGGTGGTTATTCCTCCAGATGTTGATTACCAAACAGATAATGAAGATATTGATGAGGATGATCTCCAGCCGCAAAATCTTCCCAAGGGGAAATAGAGCTTCATTACACAAGTGATAAATCAGACAGTGATGAAGAAGACAATCTTCCACTAGCTACACTAAGAAAAAAATTACTTAGCGATCAAAATAGAACTAAAGAACCTGCCTGGACAGATATGTTAGATATCAATATGGTGTCTACAACAGGTTACATGGATCGCCTGGATGCCATGAAAGACCAAATCAGAGGTAAAACGCCTATTGAAATTTAAAAAAAAAATTTCGACACTGAAGTTATTGAGTTTATTGTGGAGCAGACAAATCTGTATGCCTCTCAAAATAACAACCATCTATTTCGTGTGACTCCGGAAGAAATGAGGGTATTCCTTGCTATTTTACTTTTGAGTGGATATCATAGACTGCCGCGAGAGCGCAACTATTTGTGTCTAGATGAGGGTTTGAGGATTTTTTTGTTTCCCCAGTAGCTAATTCAATTTCAAGGAATCAAAAAGTACTTGCATCTGGCACATAATTCACAAATCAATAAAAACGATAAAATGTACAAAGTTAGACCGCTAATGAACAAACTAAACAAAAAATTTCAACAGTTTGGAGTATTCCACAAAGACTTGTCAATTGATGAAGCCATGGTGAAGTATTTTGGGCATCACTCTTTGAAACAGTTTATTAGGGGAAAGCCAGTTAGATTCGGGTTCAAAGACTGGATGCTCTGCAGCTCATCTGGTTACTGCTACACTTTTGTTACATATTGCGGGGCAGCAGTAGGTAACCAGAAAGACTCAGCTTTACCGTTAGGCTCAAGGGTTGTTCTGAACATGCTGGATGTCGTTGATGTACCCACAGACCACGAAATATTTTTTGACAACTATTTTACGAGCTATAATTTGATGCAAACCTTGAAAGAAAAAGGCTTTCGGGCCACAGGCACAGCAAGAGAAAACCGTATAAGAAAATGTCCCTTCGCACCCTCCAATGCAATGAAAAAGAAAAATCGCGGATATTATGAATAACGTTTTGAGAAAACATGCTTGATGGTTTTTGTAAAATGGAAAGACAATAACGTTGTCACCGTGGTATCAAATTATGATACTATTGAGCCACTTTCCAAGATAAAACGCTGGTGTGCTGCTGCCAAAGAAAAAATCGATGTACCTCGACCGAGACTTTTCTCCACGTACAATACGTCCATGGGCGGTGTTGATCTTTTTGACCAATTCGTCAACTATAGAGTCAGTATACAAGGAAAGAAATGGTGGTGGCCCTTTTTCACTCACATGCTAAACGCTGCACTCGTCAACTCTTGGAGGCTATACAAGTCATGCGATAATAAAGAACTGGATCTTCTGGGATTTCAACGAGAAATAGTGCGTCATTACCTAAGATGTTTCCCGAAAACTACTTACTCTAAGAAACGCCCTACTGGATCCGCACCAATCAGTCTAATTAGAAATGAAGGCGGCCACTTCCCCCAAAAAATAGACAAACAACTCCGATGCCGAGTATGCCACCAAAGAGTACGTTGGACGTGCATAAAATGTCAGGTCACTCTGTGTTTGGAACGTGATTGTTTTATACAATTCCATAGTTGTTAGTTATAGTAGCATAAGTTTTCATAATTTGTTACTAGCAGTGATAAATAAAACATTTTCATTTTCACGTAGTTTAATCTAATTAGCCCACTGTACTCGCATGAGTACACCTCATTTTTTTTTAAATACGAATTTTGTGTCAAAAAAGTAATTTATATTAGCATTCTAAAACAAAATCAAGCAGGAAATATAAAAAAAACTGTTTTTCTCGAGAAAAAAAAATCGTGGGATCAAATGGGTTAAAAATAATAGCAAACATATGTGGAAAACGTTGTAAAACATTGTTTCTCCTTTTAGAAAAAGTACATTATCTAAAATGAAATTCGACGATGGGGTAATAACAAATGAAGAAATAATAGCAGATCGAATGAATACCTATTTTATAGAAAGTGTAAAATCAATTATTGACGGGGATCCCAACCAATGTCCCATTAGCTCAGATTATAATGAATCATTCAGTGAGTTTAGAACAATGAATATTAACCCTGTTACTGTTTAAAATTTGTCAAATTTTCAACAAAACTGGAGTGTTCTACCATAACTCCTGTTTCTAAAGTTAAGAATTCTGAGTTGTACACCAATATGCTGCCAATAAATGTTCTGCCAGATGTTGAAAAAGTTTTTGAAGAAATTATTTACGAACAGATCATTGAATTTATTGAGGGAAATAACATTTTAACCAAATTTCAAGCTGGATTCAGGAAGAAACGCTCAACTGAAACGTCAACACAAATGGTTTTAGAGGACTGGAGGAGATGTATGGACAATAGGAAACACACAGTAACAGTGTTTTTGGACTTCAAAAGTGCGTTTGAGACTATCGACAAGGATAAATTACTTACAAAATTGCATCAGTACAGATTTAAAGGATCTGTATTCAAAATTCTACGAAACTGTTTAATTGATAGAAGTCCAAAAAGCAAAATTGGATCTACATTATCAAGATCAATAAAGATTTCTGTTGGTATACCACAAGGTAGTAAACTAGGTTCACTACTATTTTATACATTAATGGCATTTGTAATATTTTAGATTATTGTAAACCTCAGATATTTGCAGATAATACATTAATATACATATCAGATGTAGATTCTGACTTGGTGTCTAGAACCATCACTAGTTTTTGAAGGTACAATTAAAAAACTGAGCAAACTGATTTTCAATGAGTTGTGGATCAGTCAATGCTTTGTTATCCTGCGACTTGGATTGTCAACCGATTTGGCATACAGATCCATCTATATGGAACTGTTATCAAAAGATGAATTTTGCATCCATATAAACAAAAGTTGTAATCAAACATAAAACAAATTTTTTGGACTTCGGCTGGCAGCCAAGCAGTAGCTTGAATTCTTGAATTATAGTTCTATCATTGTATTGCTTCACCTATATTATACTGCAAGTTATACATTTACTTTGTTTATAATAATAATGTCGTTATAGTACGATTGTTAATACAGTTCAAAGTGGCTGTCACATTCAGTATTTAGTTTGACAGCAGGAGAAAACGTCAAGACGTAAAATTGAATATTTTGTTTTAATAACAAAAAGATCCAATACATTTCTCGTTAGAAGTCTATGCACAATTGTAATAACATAACTAACAATTCTTATTTCAAAAATGAGTATTTGATTTTGATGTGTGACATTAAACAGTGTTTGAAATTGAAAATGTTTAAGGTGAAATTAATAAAATATCTTATACAGGGTGGCCGATATGTAACTGACTGGTTTGTATCTTGAATATTAGTGAAATGAAATACAATACGTCCATTTTTTTTCATCTTAAATCTTTTTAAAATTAAAAAAATATCAGACAAATGTCCGCATCTAGAAGCCGCGCAAGGCGGCTTCTTGATTACATTTTCCATCACTTTTTGATAGGTTTCTGGAGGAATATTTTCAATGGCTTCCGGGCGTAATATTGTTCTTTAGCTGCTCTACAGTATTTGGCTCGTCGGTAAAGTCGGGAGAAGTTAAATCCGGTGATCTTGGTGGCCAGTTGACATCACCAAATCGAGAAACTAAGCGCCCCGGAAATATTGTTCGCAAAAGATTCATTGTTTCACTAGCGGTGTGACAAGTTACTCCGTCCTGCTGAATGTGGTGGTCGTTGATTCTTGAAAACGATCTCTGCTAGATGTCTCAGGGCGCTCCAGTACACTTTCACGAACTCTCGATATTTTCCGGAGTCTTTAACTTCACCTGTTTGTTCAAATTTCCGCACCAACTGACGAATGGTGTTGACACTGGGCACATTATTTCGACCAAAATTTTGTCGTAGCCTCCGAATCGTTGCAACGATCGACTAATTATTTAAGTAAAACGTTTTAACAATACAAACGCGTTGTGGGATGATGAATTGGACACTTGTGCTTTAAACAACTACTACGACGCCACCTACTGAAATGCGTGTATCAAAAATGGCGTGAAATTTAAACCAGTCAGTTATATATTGGCCACCCTGTCTATAGCGATGTAACTCTAATAGACAAGAAGGGAAAATTACAAAAAATGTAGTGTAAAAGTGTAATAGAATGATCATTCAAAATTGACATAGTAGCATTGGTGTAAAATAACTCTCCAACAAACAAAATTATTAATAAATAATTACTCACTGCTCAAACTAGATGTTTAATTCCCTAAATTCTACTAGGTCAAAAAATCTATATGCAAAAAATTATTTGTTGCAGGTTAAAAATCAACCATTGTTAGTGTCTCGAAGCAAGCCACGCGAGATCAGAGCTGGTATGTCTGAAACCATTTACCTAGTTCCTGAACTTTGCCAATTGACTGGGCTGACGGATCGTCAGCGTGAAAACTTCCATCTCATGAAAGCTCTGGCAGACCACACTAGAATTGGACCTCCTCAGCGGATCCAGAAATTGAAGGAATTCAGTGATAGGTTGAATAGGTACGTAGGATCTATCTTTAAACATCATTGCCATATTCCCTGAGAGAATGCCCAACCTGATGCTGTATTTGAACGATCACATATAATTACCAAGCAGCTATATTGCAAGCCTTGTTCTATTGTTACTACACTAAATCGTATAATAAATATTCTGGGTAGGACCCTAAAAGGATAATTTCTGTTTTCATTAAGAGAGCGAGATTGATCGAATAAGCAATTTGATATTGGAGAAATTTGAATTTCAAACACATTTCTGTTTTGTTACTAAACCATCTTATAATACATATTTCCTCTAAAAATTAATCATTGGGCAAACGTCAACCGACCAGTTAGTAGCCGAGTGATAACAGTGACGGCTTATTACGTGGACGATGCCCCACCGTAGGGCTTGGGCATTCAAAATCTAAATATATGTTTACACATCATCCAGCAGCCTCGTTGTATAATAAATAACTATATATTTATGCGTATAAAAAATGAATCAGTTACAACTTAATCCTACTGCAGCTACATGTGGAAGCCAGGGCAGTAGTACAAGATAAACCTAAATTTCAACATTGCAACTTTGTCAAATGGTCTAATTGTATCAGCCTATTTGGCTGACTTGAACCATTTAATTCCTTTGTTTTACATGTTTGTAGTTAACTTTTTTCTAAGAGTAGGAAACTTGTACATGATCCTATATGGAACTGATGACAGCATTGCATAGGAAGTACAGAGTCAAGCAACTTGATGCCATTTTTTGTTTCATTTTGTATGTTTAGTTGATGTGACAATGAACATTGAGAAAGTAAATTTAATAGACATGTTATAGTCATTTCATCTCTAGTATTTGAAACACTGGCGTTCCCAAAGGATCACCTTGTCAACCTCTCTCCCTTTTTGAAATGAATGAAACGGTCGGCGGCGCCGCGGTAAAAATACCCGTCACGGAGGAACCGCTTTCAATTGAAGCATTTGGTGCAAAAAGGTGTTAACTCAGATTTTATAGTTTGGAGATAATTGACCTCAAAGTTTAAATCCAGACATTTTTAGTATTGAATAGCTGCTTTTATTATTGAAGGTTATTTTAGACAATATAAAAGTATCTCGGATAAACAGTTTTGTTAAAAAAATTGTATTTATTATCAGAAATTTGAAGTTGTCTGCTTTGCAGTTTTAAAAAACTACTTTTTACATTCTAAACGAAAACTGAATTTATTTTGTTATATAATCTTACAAGCTAATAAAATACTAAAACTTCATGTACCTTATCCATTTAAAAAAGTAGTCCAAATGCTGTAAAAATCAGAAAAACAAAACTTCTCACGAAATGAGTTCAAACGTAAATAAATTGAAATTTGAGTGCAAAAAGGTGTTAACAACAAGAAGTTAACACCTTTATACTTATAATGCAAGAGTTAACACCTTTTAAAGTTTACAGATTGAAGTTAACGGTTTTATGAATCTCTGTATCTAAGAACTGAGAGCCAGCCATCTTTGGCCGGATAGATGTAATACCAAAAAAGCACCCTGTTTGTACTACAAATCTTGAAATCTGAAAAAATTGAGTTAACACATTTTAGCACCAAAGTCTTCAATTGAGATATGTATCTTCTGAAGAAATATTTGTGAACGCTTCAAATCATGTGAAATCAATACCGCTCATTAAAGAGTAGAATTTAATTTACACATTTTATAATAGGAGTCCTGAGGCTATCCAAGAGCTCAAGAGGTGGGATCTTAAATTTTCCCAGGATTTGGTGAAGTTTCAGGGCAGAGTTCTGCCTCCTGAAGCCATTATAGGCGGTAAGCGATGTAAAGTATATTCAGATAAGAGATAGACCAGACATAAACAAGACCACGTGATCATCGAACGCTGTAACATTCGGCAGGGACGTATTAAGAGTCACGCAGTACATATTTTAGATAGTAGATGCTGCTTGGGGTAACTTTGTAGTAAATTAGCACAATTCGATGTGTATACGATTGGTGATGGATATAGGATCATGTGGGGGTGGGATAAGAAATATATAATGATGTAAATATACATAAGGGTTTCAAAATTTTCGCTTCGATTTCCAGCTTCGGATGCCGCCTGATGTTTGGTGAAATACAGTCGAATATAATCTCAAAATGGCGTTTAAATTAGCTACTTTACTTGTGTGTCCTGCGTTTACCCACGTTTCATCAAGGTAATAAATCTTCCTGTTTTGATTTCTATATTTCCCATTTTTGTTAAATAATCCCTCCTCCATAGCACAATTTCTTCTCTATCCAGTAGTAAACTATTACGACCTCGTTTTTTCCATTTGAAATTTAAATGCTTCAGTAACGCATGGAAAGTTGATCGTTTGAAATTTGGCAACGTTGTATCTCCATTTACCTCCTGCAGTACTTTATCTATAGTAGGTATTTCATTCCTAAAGAATTCATGCACTTTCCTCCTAATCGCATGCTTATCAGCTTCATCCAATGATTTAACAATACTTTTGCGATGTTTACTGGTCATTGGATCAGAAAAGGTGTGATTTTTTTTGTATTGTCTTAACACATTAAACACTGATGCGCGACACACCCCAACTTTGTGAGAAACCTTCACAACAATTTCTTTGATGGTTGATGCCTCGTTCTCCTCGCGCTCGATCTTATATATATTCAAAATGACCTCTTTCATTTCTGCACTCAGGTGTCTTTTTTTAGAGCGTTTCCTAGGTGGACTACAGGAGTTTACAACTTCATCGGCAGTATCTGTACTACTGGGCATTTTGCGCAAGCAGTTCATAACAATAACAATCAATAACAAGGTATAACAATAACAACGACAAACTCAACAACCTAATAAGATAACAAACGAAAACGTCCAAAGAAATATCAAATTGCAATGATGCACACGACATATGTAACACGTCTGAACCTGAATGTGACTCTGCCTTGATACGACTGCTCTGCCGCTCGGCATAGGCATTTAATTGCGAATTGACCAATGAGGGCTCCTCATTTTACGTCGAGACGGCGGCGTTAGCGTGAAAATCACCCGAACCTTTTGTTTACATCCGGTCTATCTCTTATCTGAATATACTGTAGAGTTCATTTATATTGGAGTTGTCACAACAGAATAGAAGCAATATTTATAGAGCATATAAATAATAGACCCAAAAATAACACAAAGTTCCTATAAACATGGGCCTTAAAATAATAATGATATTAAACCTTCATTGTCCAACAGTTACACCATTTACTAAGTAATCTGTTGTAAAAAAAGAAACAACCATGATGTATTTTGTAAATTAAAAGAAAGGAAACCAAAAATGAGCTCGCAGTTATTTTATTAGCATTCAAACACATCATTTAACAGGGTCTTTCGGCAGTATGTTCGTTTGAGCTTCTTTGGCATAAAAGAGGAACATTATATCTAGATATTAGTCGTGGTACCAGAACCTGTATTTGTGGAAGTATTGTGGGACAATCTGTTAGATTATGCATCAGTTTATACAAAACTAGAATTGCTGATTGTTTATACCGCTGTTATAAGAAATGAAAGCCAAATCTATGAAGGAGGGTGTTTTATTCTGTACCTGTAGTAGGATATATGAAATCAATCTTGAAACAAGAATTTATTTTGCAGTTTATCGACAGTATCAATACATTGCTTGTAACTCCACATCAGAGATTCATATTCGGGTTTAGACCTAACCAAGCTAAAGTATAAAGTCTGTAAATTACAAGCATTGAAATGTTTACAATTCCTGATAACAAAGTCATAGGTTTTGAAAGTACTTGTAATAGTTTGATCTATATAGTTATTGATTGAAATAATGCCTCAATCTTCAACAGTTTTGGTGCACACTGAGCACATATTTATCCACTGGATAATTGTATAAGAAAGTGTTGGTTCTCCTAGAAAAAGTTACTACTCTACATTTACTTATAGTAAGACGACGTTGATTCTTGACGCTCCAGCCTTGTGGTAAATTTATATGACCATGAATAAATATTGTTTTCCAAGCAGGAGACAGATGAATAAAATTTCACGTCATCTGCGAACATCAATTTAGAACAGGTCAAAGATTCACACGGATAATTAACGAATAATGTGAACAACAGTGGGCCTAAATGTGGTACTCCACTAGATCAGAATGCGCATGTGATGTGCCATTATAAAAAACATGCTGTTTTCTTTCAAACAGATATGATGTTAAAAGCAGTATAAGTGTTGTTGAAGCCCAAGTATTAAAGCTTTTGAATCAGAATACTGTGATTAATCCTATCAATGGTCTTGGAGAAATCTGTGTACACCAAAATATACGGGGTGTTGGGGAAATAATATTCGTAACTTTAAGAGGCGATTCCTTGCATTACTCTAAGCAAAAAAGTTCATTATAACGAAAATAAATCGTTTTCGAGGAAAGTGAGTCGTAAATAATTAAATTGTCTCAAACATTTGGCAACGCAACCGTGATAAGAGCGCACGACGACCACAGTTGTGTGAGGGATTTTGTTTGTTTTTCTTCCGAAAATTGTATTTAATAAGCAAGAAAATTATTTTGTTACAGACATTTAATTAATAAATAGATGTATTGATACATTTTACGCTATTAAGCATATGAATTTAAATTATTAGGGTGCAAAATTAATTTATTTCATGACTAAAAAGAAATAAGTCCATCATTTTTTTGCCCCGAAACGGTTTATTTTCGGACATAGGTTATGATGAACTTTTTTGCTTAGAATAATGCAAGGAATCACCTCTTAGAGTTACGAATATTATTTCCTTAACACTCTGTAGATACAGCCATATACGATATTCTCGGTGATACAGTTATAATTGCTTGACTTTGGAATTGGGCAAACTTCAACAATTTCCACTTATCGGGAAAAACAGTTTTTTGAAATTAAGTTAAAGATAACACGTAAATGATGAAATAATTGACTGATACAGTCTTTAACAAAAAGAGGTGTAATTTGATCAGGTCAACTGGAAAGTTTATTTTTGAGCTTTCTACTGGCAATTTTGTAAAATTTATACTATACTACTAAATGGATCACTAATAGAGTCAATACCATATACGATTTTATTGGGAAACCAGAAATACTTAGGGTCATCTATTAAATGACTTTGGTTTGAAGATACACATATGCCTGTTTATTTATTTATGTTTGTGACATTTTAGGATATTATTTCTGAACTAGAAATATGGTTTTTTTAACCATCGTGTATGTATGCTTGCCGAAATACAATTTTCTATAGGCGGAGACCGGAAGTATACGGGTGGTCCCCAAGCTGATTGGACTAAAGATTTAAGAAGTATGCTAATGTTCGAAGCAGCATCATTGAGCAAATTAGCTGTAATCTGCCCTGGAAAGTTCAGACAACCCTGCAACGACTTCATCCAGTGTTTACAGCGTGCGGCAAGGGGTATGCAATGGGATGTCGGACAGCCTAGAATATTTGACATTGGTGTAAGTATTATAGACAATAGACCAGAGACTTACAGTGGAGGATTGTTATCGATGCACTCACAAAAAAACCAAGAAGTATATATATATATATAATATATATATTGATCATGCGAAGTCAATTTTTTTCAATAATATTGGGATGAAATATGAATATGCGTTCGCCGGAACCGGTCCCAGTTCACTCTTCTGGCTATCCTCTTCTACAAGAACTGAACCGCATAACTACTTCCATTGAATTAGTCATGGAAATGATTATTGAAAGGATCAGGGTCGGTGAGGGTTTTTTTTGGAAATAACTCAAATTTTAAGTTTCAGTATTCTAAGCTTGATTATTTGAAAATCATAGGATCGCAATTTAGAAAATTTCTTTCAAAATTGACCCCTTTATGGAATATTTAGCTTACTATTCTGATGTGAATACAAGGTTGCAAAACCCTTCTTACTGCATATCTATAGTGGTATACTGTTCCTCCATATTATATATGTTTCAGAAAGGTGATATAGATTCACTTCAGAGAAAACAAAATCAAGCTCTTAGATGTATATTAAGATGTAATAGATACACCAGAATTAAAGACATGTTACAAGAAACTAATTTATTATCAAACAAAATATATTTTAATATTGGAAGATATACAATTTGTCTGTGATGTTCATAGTTACAATACAAGGAGTGAGTTTGATTTTTTTATGTTCCTGCTGTGGGGTCTGCTTTTGCGCAAAATATTTTATTTCATAAAGGCCTTATAGATTTTCATAATTTACCAGCTGAAATCAAATCTACAAATTTTGTCAAATTCAAAAGACAATTGAGAATTTATGTAGAAAATAGTGTTAGTTTTAGATAATAACATTATAATATTGTATTGTTTAGCTTGAAGCTATTAAATAAAGATACTATACTATAATAATCAAAATATAATTAAAAACGAAAGTTTTGCCCCATTGCACGTTCAATAAAAACAAAAGTTATATCCTCATTATTGATTGAGTATTCATTTCATGTATATTTTTTGTACTTCTTATGCCATTGACGAGGAAATATTGTAAACGCGAAAAATTTAGAAAATATATGTTTTTTAGATGTTATATGACATACACATCACGAAAAACAATGACTCATTTTTGTCGATCCGTCTGTCGGTCTTTCTGTCCGCTAAAGCTTAGCCTGTCCACAACATGAAAAGTACCGCTCGGATTTGAATGAACTTTTCACAAAAAGTTACTACTGTGCCAAGGACAAAAAAGCTGTGCAATTTTCGAAAATCGGTCCAGTGGCAGCGGAGAAAAGGGCCAAAACGCAATAAATACAAATCGCTTAACCTTTTTTTCTTTACGTTTAAGAGGCTCCTGATAATTTTTTGTATGGGTTGAAAATTGGGGGTTATAGACTGCAAGGGGTTGTAGTTCTATTAGACATATTTCACTCATAATAGATGTCCCATACACTTACCCTTAAAATTACATGCAACGTGGTCCGGATGACGCTCGTGCGCTTCTGTGCTGCTGTATTCTGTAAAAGTCAATACCGTCATCCACGCAGGAATTTCTCTCAGGGGGAGGAGGAATACGCTTCTTAGATTTGTCTGACTGCTTTGAACATTTTCTGGTCAATGTATGAGTCTTTCACATTTATGCTTGCCACTGTCAGAATAACAACTTGCTTCCATAGTACTCATTTTTCGTTATAAAATACTACTTTCCAAATTTTTGTTTTGACAGCTTCAGTCTGTGGACACTAGACCCTCATCCTTTTGTTTTACATTTAGTAAACGTATTGTGGAATGATCCGTATTTTCAATTATTACATTTCCTTTTTTTTAGGACGACCGCGCACAAACGTATTTGGAAATGATCGAACAGATTATCGCTAAGGCTAACCCTACGATGATAATGTGCATTGTGCCAAATAACTCTGCAGATAGGTATTCTGCTATCAAGAAGAAGTGCTGCGTCGACCGTGGTATACCATCTCAAGTCATTTTGGCTAGGAATTTGACCTCCAAAGGTATTTTTTGTCCTATGTTTTTAGAATTTGAAACTGAACTTGGACACAGATCGCAAATCGAAAGTGCGTGAGACAAGTGATCAGCAGCGTGACATTGCATTGATTTGCCCTGATTATACTAGAGATCGACCAATACCCAGTAATCAAAATCACTTTCTGTGCATGTTCTAAGAATGCCCTCTAATATCAATATCACTTTCTAAACACGTGCGTTAATAACTTGCCGCACATCAATAGAATGTGCTAAGAATATATACAGTAGCGGACAAAAGTTTGGAAACATTAGTAATTTTTAAAAAGTGCGCTAATTTTTTATTCCTTATTATTGACTATTTTTTTTCTCATATAGTTTGCTTACAGTCTTGAGGATACAAATGACAATTTGTGTTTGGTGTGGTACTGCAGACTAGCATTAAAGTACCTTCGTATTATTTTATGACCGAAAATGAGACCACAAAAGTATGGAAACATTTTTTATTACAAAATACTGTTTAGCTAATATTTGGTAGCATAGCCTTTAGCATTCAACACTGTCTGACATCTGCTGCTCATAGAAGACACCAATTTTTTACATACGTCTGTCGGGATATTTTGCCAAATATTGTTTACATAATCAAATAAACATACTCCCAGAGATGTTCTATAGGGTTTAGGTCCGGGGATTGCGAAGGCCATGTAAGGACATTAACATTTTTTAGTCTTAACCATTCCTTTACGAATTTTGAGTTATGCTTGGGGTCATTATCTTGTCCATTGTAAAGGAATTTCTTCTTCAGCAAAAGGGAGCATGAGCACTAAGAATATCTTTGTAAAGTGTTTGATCCATTTTCCCAACAATTTTAACAATTGGACCCGTTCCAGAACTAGAAAAACAGCCCCAAACCCTGATGTTGTCTCTACCGTGCTTAACTTTTTGTCGAATCTTTTACGTATTGGACGTATCACATATGCCGTACCGTCAGATCCAAACAATTTAAATTTGCTTTCATCGCTCCATAAAACTGTATTCCATTGTTGTTCTGTCCAAGTTAGATGAGTTTTAGCAAATTCAAGCCGAGCAATACGATTTTTTTTGAAATGAGAGGCTTTTGCACTGGACGACCAAAAAGCCCATAATCCACCACGCGTGACTGCACTGGTCTGACAGAAAGATTCTCGTCACCCTCTTCTACGAATCGTTTGAAAACCTGTGCGACTGGCATTCGAGGATCTTCATGGGACAAACGTTTAATGTGCCGATCCAAAACATAGTCGGTGTTTTTCGGTGTTCCGCACCTGGGCCGCGTTGCTGTTGACCCGTATTCTTGATATTTACTAATGATTTTCGAAATCATCCCTTTGTTCATTTTTAATCTTTGAGAAATGTCAACATTCCTGACATCACTTCCAAATAATTCATTTACTTTGTCTCTTCAATCTTTTGAAAATTCTTTCATTTCTGCCATTCTCACTGATGTTAATATTTACGGCACGCATAAATACGGCAAAACTGGAATGTTTCCATACTTTTGTCGTTTCAAAAACTGTGGTATTTAAAAAACGCGGATTTTCATTTTCAGAGAATTTGAATATTGATAAGATGAACCTTGAAAATAGATTTAGGATAGAGATTAGATTTTACTGATACGGTATTCAACATAGGGTAAAGGACAAAAATATTATATCTTACTAACATAACAAACTTATTTTAAATTTTTGGTACATATATTAAATTCAAATTAAGTCTTCAGTCCATGAAACCCGAATCCATGATTATAAATTTTCGATGACATTGGATTGCTTCGATTGCTGCTGAGTGTTGTGGGTTTGCTCGCTTTCATCGGATTTTGGAATGTCTACGTCGTTCTATCGAGCCATTCAACATCATGATGCTCTAAATTTTGAATAATGCACATCAGTTCACTAGCACGACGAGCAGCGACTCTTACAGGTCTAACTTTCCTATCAGTGTGCGTGTTTACTTTTTTATGGATATTTTCGATTTAGTGACTTGACGGAAGCATGATAAAGACTACACGTTTTGCATGTTCGACTTGATATCCTCAATTTTACCGTCGGACAAAAATAATCGTAGGGCATTTGCAGGAAATCTTTGAGTGAAGCACTTAAGCGTAGAGCTAAATTGATTGGAAGATTAAGAAATTGCCCTCCTTCATCCAAAACCAAGTCACCAACTGTTTGTTTTACTTTTACAGGTGGTGGAAGAAACCTATTGTCTAGTAATCCAAATAGGCCACTTCTTGGACGAAAGCATTCTGTATTTCTACATTTTACAATTTGAAGCAAGTATTGGCTCTCACGCACATGTTCTGAATACCATTTAATGTCTGGAAAATCAGGAAGATCTTGTTCACCTGTCCCAACATCTTTTGCATTAACATTATAGCCATCAATTTCTATTGAACTCCATACTTCAGCTAATACATTTCCTGCAAATTCGAAATTAGATCTTTCTAAATGTTCATCAATTGTAACGCCAGGTTCATCCAAATGAGACCAAAATGGTCATGAGGCAATATTAATCCAGCCAGTTCCCGACTAAGAGGAGCCATTCTGCGCTCTACTCTGTTATACGCACTTCTTCCAGGAGCATTGGTAGCTAAAAACAATGCATCGAGTTAATGTCGGTTAAAGTGTTGTATAGCAAACCCTATGACTTTTTGATAACGTGGATTTCCATCTGGCCCTCCCATCAACCGTCTAGATTACCACTGGTTTTACTAGTCCATGGTCAGTTTTAGCTAATGGTCGAAACTTTTCAAGTTCGAGAAGCGTCTCGAAATCCTGAGCATGAGTATTAGCCGTAAATGAACTATGCTTTCCACTTCGAATAGCGATGCATGTTGGTCCAGAATATCCAAAGGCTTGCGGTTATCCTAGCATATTGGAAGTGATTCTGATAAAAGCATAAACAGATGGTATTAATTTATGACGCTCAGCGATTACCCAATCGTGATCACTCAATTTGATTCTATATTCCATGTGCATTAGAAGAGGTGCCTGCTTATTTGCCGCAGTTACGCCAATAGGGACTCGAGCTTTATCATCTTGAGATATGAAAAATACTTGATCTGGTCCAAGTATGGATGCTATGTTCTCTAAATAATGGATTGATGTTTCAGCGAACTTGCTATCTAAGTGGCTCTTGTGGTGATCAGTTTAAGGCCGAATGAGCTTAACAAGGACTGTCGATACGTGTCTTCGTCCCTCTGCAGAATTAGATTTTCTGGTAATCAAACGAAGATATGTCCCACTGCGACTAATGTCAAATCCTACTTTACGTAATTCTTGTGTGAGTTCATCAAGAGTTTTTACGCTGCGAATTGATTCCGTTCGTCTTCTATCATCTGCTGCACTCCCAAATAAAGCTATATCCGCGATTGTTTTCAATAGTGAATGTTGATTGCTTTCAAGGTTAGGACGTCCCACTGAATCCCTCAGAGATAGTCTTTTTTATTTCTGGATTTTCATGACAAATATCTTCTAACTTTCTTTTCATACCATCCCTGTGTTTCTTCTGGGCAACTGTGTTTTGAACTTTCCTGTTTAAAGACTGTTTTGCTGTTTTTATTTCCTCGCGCAACTTAATGATCTGTTTATCAACTTCAGCACGGCTTGGCATAGTATCTCTGGCAGAATACAAAGCATTCAGATTTTTTCTAGTAGAACAATCTTATTTTTCATAGCTTCCTGAGAAGGTTTTGCTCTCTGTTTATCTGTATTTTCATTAATTTCGCATTGCTGTTGTGATTCATTACCGAGTTTTATTTTATCTTCTTCCTCTGTTTTAATATTTGAAGCTGACTGTATAATTTGTGTTTTTTCTGCAGGTTTACAGGTTGCCTAAAAATAAAAACTTTCTATGGCTTCTGCTAAATATCCTCTTATTAAGCTACATAAATACAAAGTATGGCAATATATATGGTAAATACAAAACCCTATGGCTTTAAATCTAATATGTTTAAACGAGCATTTCGTCGGTCACAAAATACAGGGTGTTAGTTTTCTGTATATATGTTATAAAACTAACATCCTGTACTTTGTGACCAATTGACGGAATCAATCATAAGAAATAAATCTATAATATAATGAATATTACCTGTATACTTTGAGATAGGCCATAATATTTTCTAATCAGTAAAGAGAAACTTTTTGGCGATTTCTAATATTCCCAATATGCGCAATAACAGGGTCATCGACTGAGGCCACAGAAAAAACTCGCACTGTATTTAATGACGGATGATTGCAGTTAAATTTTGCCTGCCAATCCTGCTGTAATCTATTGTACTATTATTTATCATTCATAAAAATTAAGTCTTATAAAAAAAAACATGCCTGCAGATTCGAGCGGCCGAATTCTTAGTTGATACACGGTCACTAAATTTAGCATTTAGCAAATAACAAACACCGTTGAATAAACGTGGTATTTAAATCATATTTTTCCAGGAGTGATGTCTATTGCAACGAAAGTTGTTGTCCAGCTTAATTGTAAAGTTGGGGGTTCCCCGTGGACAGTGGGAATCCCTCTTTCTAACATCATGATCGTTGGCTACGACGTTTGCCGCGATACTGTAAATAAGAAGAAAAGCTTCGCTGGGATGGTTGCTTCGTTGAATAAACAAATAACGAGGTATTTCAATTTTACCTCGGAGCATGAGCACGAGGAGGAATTGTCGGACAACTTTGCTAGCTTTTTGGTGATCGCTTGTCACAAATTCAAAGAGATTAATGGCAGGTTAGTATCTTTGTATAACATTTTTACATTCTCTAGAGGTTGTGCAATGGTGGGTTGAAAACTGTAAAATGGCTTCAAGATTGAAATAAAGCAAACCCTGTTTCAAGGGATCGTAACAAATATATATGTATAATGTCCTGGCTAATGTTTTGAAATATCTTATTTTTCCAGACAGTAGTTGCGTTCAAATGGCTTGATTTTGTATGCAAAAACGCGACAAGATGACTCCGAGGGCAATGGGTTATTTTCAATTACTTTTGGCCTAATTTGTTTTCCTTTGTACGTTTTCAGGCTGAAAGACATTTTGTTTTCATGACCCAAGTTTTTAAATTCACAGAACTGCTTTTGGAACACTGATTTTTTTGTTCACAAACCTAAAATAATTTGCAAAAAATAGCGTGTGTAGGATTCTGACCTTAAAGGCCGTCTGTCTCGATACAAAATTTTGTTCATAATTTGGTTCTAAATTTCGTGAAAAAAATCGTTGCTGAATTTATTTCCCAATTTGTTTACGAATTAAAATCCAGTCTGACAATTTTTGTACTAAATTTCATACGAAATCATACGAAGTTTGTAGAAAAAAAAAACTATAACTGTCAACTTCTAACTGCCATTTATCACGTCAAAGTCATTCTAACCACACTCTCCTTTGCAGTTGCTACTTTATTCCTTTATCTTTACAAAAATGTAGAAAACGGAGCGATCCCGTAATCCGCATATATTATATGCGACTGCGGCAGCAGTGATCTGCGTTGTAGCTGCCGACCTCATGAAAAAAAAAACGAAGTAAACGAAAAATAATTTGGTGCCGAAAACGGATCAGGGAGAGCGACCAGGACATGTGTGTGCTTCATATGCTGAATAAAGAACTTCTAGTGCATGATCCACTGGCTTATAAGCCTAATTGGTTTTCAAGTCATTCTGATTTTATCCAACGCAGCTTATTCGGCTTTTCTGTTTTTATAGGCCTTGCTTTTTACAGCATATACACAACATTTATACTCTTTTTGTAGTATATTACACAGCTGTTTTGAACATGACATCTTTTAAGTTTTCAGTCTATAATGTAGAACAGCATACGAAGAGGAGTTTCACGACACTAATGAACACAACTAATAACATCAACTAATGAAAGTTTTTGAGATTATATCAGCCCTTGTACTGCTCCAAATGCACAGAAGTCGTCTGCTTACTTTTAGTATGATATTATTTAGAACAGGTTCTACAAAATTTAGCACTGAATTTGTTCATACAAAATTATGCACCAAATGCTGTCTGACACTATACTTAATTTTGTACGAAATTTAGTACAACATTTCGTATCGTGATAGACGTGCCTTTACAGTGAATTAAAAAATGGATTTTTTTTTCTCGGATGATAGTGCTATAATAGCACCCTCGCCATCTGACACTCGTGGCCGCCTTCATTTCTATTATGTACTAGCTTCCTAGCTATCATGCACATGTAGTGTGTTGCTGCAAGTCAAATATGTGCTGTCACTGTGATGTGTTTGACTTTAATGTAACATAAAAGAGTAAGAGAATAAAATTAGAGAGTGATAAGAGATTACTCCACAAAGCAGTTGATGGCGTCTAAAGACGGCTGATCTCATTTAGTGGAGGGAATTTTCGGATGAATTCATTGACCATCACTTGCAGTGAACGCATTTTTTTTTTAAATCTACTTTTGTTGCGATATTTATTCATGTTCCGCATATTTGTCATCCAATTGCAACCTACGAAATGAATTTCTCATTCCATCAAGTTATAAATCACACTTTTTGCGAGAGAAACAATTGTCAAAACCTATAAATTATCACATAGCTATTTAACTTTTAGAACTACGGGGAATACTATACGACTTAGGGTTGTATCGTCAGTCGTTCCTAGAATTGTAGGATGTCTTTATGGTCTCTTTGATTTTCATAGTTTTCTACTGTTCCGTGTCAGCATTCGTATTTTGATGTTATGTTACAAATATCTATTTGCATCAAATTGTCCAAGCTTTTGAATTACATCATCTTTTATATCAGCCTGAAATTTCGTGCAATTCAAAAATAACACATAGCCTCATAATAGGAGAGCACTGACGAGGACACGGAACAGTAGAAATCTAGAAATACCCCAGCCTTTCTGAAGGAGAGAAGAGACTATGAAAATAAAGGCGTCCTACAGTTGTAGGAACGACTGACGATACGGCCCTTAGTTAAGTAATAAAAGAACTTTGTGAGTTTCAAATTCAAAAGTTCTCTAACCTACAATTGTTTATTTGACCAATCGTCGGTCTATTTGACTTCTTCTTCTATTCGCCATTGTCCGTCAGAGCGGTCCGTGGGACCTTCGCACTTTGTTAAAGTATCGTAGGTCTGTCAAGTCTGGTTGCCCAAATACCAGACGAAGTCGGGGAGAAAGAACGGAAGGAAGGGGGAAGAGCAAAAAGGGTGAAGTGCGCCGGTTAAAGGGATGCCTTGCTATTGTTAACTGTTATTCGGTTATTTTAAATTAATCCAAAAATTAATTTAGGAATTTGTGTGTGCCAAAAATCGTAATTTTGGTTGGACCTAGAATTGCACGATTTGATTTTGATCACAGTGCGAGCCGCGGTCTTATATGCTTGCCAACATGCTCGACTGTGTAGTCTACTGACTCACGCAACAGAGAGTTGCTATGCGATTCCACTTGACCATAACGTAACTGCGCCTGATGTTTGATGTAGTCCCTCGGGTAAGGGATGTCGAGGTCTCTGTGAAGGGTCTCGTTGGAGACATACCACGGTGCGTTAGTGATGGTTCGCAAGGTTCTGTTCTGCAAAACCTGCAGATTACGCATATGCGTTTTGGCAAGAAAACACCATGCTGCACATGCGTTGTGATTGCTGGTCTGATAACCATCTTGTAGAGCCGAACTTTGTTAACCAAACTTAATTTTGAGGTTCTACATAGCAAAGGGTAGAGTTGCCGAAACGTAATTTGGAATTTAGTTTTTAACGCTTCAGAGTGACAACGAGATACTTCGCGGAATTTCCCCATGGTATGTGAGCTCCATTCACTGCAACCTCGGGCGGCGCGGCTATGTTTTTTAGTACAATAGATAGCCTGCGTTTTCGAGTAATTAATTTTGATTAGCCACCGATCTGCTAATTCCAATACCTCGTCCACCGCACTTTGTAACCTGTCGTGAACCAGATTTCCGGTAAGCGACTGGGCCACCAGTGCAAGTGTCATCAGCATATAGATAGAGTTCACAGTCGCAAAGATTGGCCCTAGAACCGAACCTTGAGGGCGCCGGCTCTGATGAGCCGTACTGTCGACAAGAAATTATTAATTTTGATCCGAAATTTCCTACCTTCAAGGAAGGATTTCAACAGTTTTAGGATCCAAAATGGAAAGCCCTTTTGAATTAGTTTATAGAGAAGACCCTTGTGCCACACCTTGTCAAATGCCTTCGAGACGTCCAGAAGCAAGATGCCAGTGCTTTCGTTAAGGGTGAAGCCCCTGGTTACTCGCTCCACAAGCCTAACCGCCTGTAACTCCGTACTATGCTCAGACTGAAATCCAAATTGCACCTCAGGAATCACATGGTGATCTGACGAGAAATTCGAAAGTTGACGTAGAAAAACTTTTTTAGCGAGCTTAGACGGAGCAGACAGGCTGTAGCGAGCTTAGACGGAGCAGACAGGCTGATATGACGATAGTCCTGGGGAAATGTCGAACCCACCTTCTTCGGAATCATTATAACTTCCGCAGTCTTCCACGCCGATGGAAAGTACTGGGTTCTTAGCATGGCATTGATAATAGCCACGCGATAAGTCTTATGACTTCCGTGAAAGCAGCTTCAGCGCCTTATTAGTGATTTGATCCTCGCCAGGCGCTTTACGCACCTTGATGTCTTTAATATGACCTTGAAGCTCTGCTGGCGTGCAATGCGGGATCTCGGGAGAGGGTAGGTATTTAATTTTTTCATTTTACGTTCCATGCCTCACTAGTGAGGAAGGATTATAATCGCGAAAAATTTCGAAAATAAGATGCTATGTTTTGTGAATGTACACAAACAAAACTCATGTCCGTCGGTCTGTTCGCTATTCCTGAACCACCTATAACTTGGAAAGTATTAATCTTTCACACAAGGTTACTCTATGCTAATCACGAAAAAGCGTTGTAATTTTTGAAAATCGGTTCAGTGGAGGCCGAGAAAGCCAAAAACGAAAAAAGTAAAAATCGTTCAAACTTCGTTTTTTGACATTGTGGAGATAGGGATGATATATCTCAATTTTTCAATAATGGGTGGTTATCTGAAATTTGGTTAACTTGGTGTTAGCATGAATTTTCACAATATTAAAAAATATATATCCTATATCTGAAACTACTAGGCGATATTTTATAGTCTATTTAGTTCGGTCACCAATTTTGATAAATATCATAATATTCTTTATTTCAATAAATTGACATTTTTTACTCCAAATATCAGGCCCTAGCCATGTAAGATCTCCCAAATTTAGTATTCACGTCACTGTAATCTTATTGTATTAAATAATAATTTGATGAAACTCTATTTAAATTTGTTTACTATTACATTGCTTACATTGTCATTACAATTTAATGTATAAAATAATTTTGTTTGATCACATTATTTCAAGTCAAAAAGTGTAAGCGATAAAAAATATCAGGCCCTAGTCATTTACGAAATTCAAAAATACGCGGCATCCAAACATATGAATTATTCATAACTCACTCAATACGGTAGCATCGGTGTGTAGTTGGTTGCAAACACGAGCCAAGCCGCGGCAGCCATTTTGCTATTAGTGTGGTAATCGACTTTGCTGCGGAAACACGTGCTGTGCCAGTCAAACTCTCAGGCCCTAGGTAAGTCGTTTTAAACATATATAATTACCCATTGATCTCATTACTTATTGAATGTATGAGCTAGGTCTGCTTTGTTATTTTGACCGCCTATTGATTTTATAGTGATTTAAAATAATGGCTTTCATTTGATTTTGCTTCGTTTCGTCAGTCCCTAGACCGTCAGGCCCTAGTCGTAACAGTGACTAGGGACTGATGATCATACTGTGTGATGCATAGTTTTAATCATAATACCAATGTATTTGTTGTAGAATATGGCGCCTATAAAGAAAAAAACATTGTCTAAAGAGGAAATTGCAAAAAAAAAGTCTGAACAGGCAAAGAGGCGATAGGAAAAAATTAAAAATGATCCTGTTTTGCTGACAGAGTACAAAGAAAAGGAACGACTAAAATATCTAAAGAAAAAGGAAAAAGGACAACGGAAGTGTGTAAAAGACATGACTCCCCGTGAGCACAGAAAGGCAAGAAAAAATTGGGTAGCCTATTAATCTGATTATAGAAAAAAACAAAAGATTCGTGACAATACAGATAAATACGTGGACCAAAATACGCCGCCATCATCGGAAGATGAAATTATTCCTGAGGCTCCTTTATTAAATAATGAAAGAGAAGCTGAAGCTAGAAGGAGGAGTATAGTTCAATGGAGAAAAAGAAATAGTATGTTGAAGATGAAGGACCTAGTCATTGAAAATTTAAAGAAGAAACTTGCCAGCGAACAACAAAGAAACAGAAGACTGAAACATAGAATGATACAAAAGAAGCAAGCACTGACACCAGAAAGTACAATTGTAGAAATGGCCAACGACCCTAATCAAAAAGCAGAATTGATAAAAAAAGCGTTATTTGCCGATATTATTCAAAGGCAAATTTTAGATAAAGAGATTCAGACACCCAAAACAAAAACCTGCTTAAAAACGATTTTGTCAAGTCCACTGACACATAAATATAAAATATGGAGACTTGGAAACACAGCCATTACATATAAAAAGATGGGATTTAATCGTACAAAATATGAAGCTATGCGAAAAAAAAAGAGAGTTGAAGAAATCATACACAAGTTTTGTGAAGATGACAATAATAGTCGTTGTGCGGCAGGAAAAAAAGAGTGCATCACTCGCAAAAAAATTAAAAAACAAAAAAGATATTTGCTGGATTCCTTGAAGAACTTGCATCAAAAATTTCACAATACGAGTTTGATGACAATTGGGTATAATTATTTTTGCAAATTGCGTCCATTTTGGGTTGTTGTGCCTAAGCTTACAGACCGTGATACCTGTGCTTGTGTTATCCATGAAAACATCAATTTGAAGTTAGGTGCCTTAAAAAATGCAAACGTTCTTGACTTTGCCACATATCAAACTGCACTGGAAACAATTTGCTGTGATCGTTACTCGGAAAAATGCTTAGCGAGAACTTGCCAGGACTGCTCATTGAAGATTTTACCATATAAGGAGTTTGATAATAGTACGGACATGGCAGTCAAACAATGGAAGCATAGCAAGGAATTGATTAAGGACATTAAAACTAAACAGGATAGATACGTCACAAAGTATAAGAAAGAGATATGCAATTCAAAACCCCGTGATTTAGTTATGCAATTAGAAGAGAGTGATCTTCCAAAATTATTCCAACATGAACAGAACATCGTTCATCAATATAAAACTATTAAATCTTTGAAAGAGTCACTTACAGAAAAGGATGCAGTAATTCACATGGACTTCTCAGAAAACTACACAACTAAATGCAACCAAGAAATTCAGTCGTATCATTTTGGCGGCTCCAGGACTCAAATTTCTTTGCATACAGTGGTGGTTTACACAAAGGATAAAGTAACATCCCATTGCACTGTGTCTTTAAATTTATCTCACAACGCTGGAGCCATTTGGGCACATTTACAGCCTATCCTCTTAGGATTGCCATCCTCTGTAGAAAACTTGCATTTTTTGAGTGACGGTCCTGTAACCCAATATAGAAATAAAACAATGTTTTATATTTTGGGTTGCAGAATCCAAGATTTCTATCCACTGGCTATAAAATATACGTGGAATTTCCATGAGGCGGGACATGGGAAACGGGCACCTGATGGAATTGGAGCTACATGCAAACGCTCTGCAGACCAACTCATAGCTCAGAGAGGTGACATTACGAACTTGTACGACTTTGTAGCTGTGCTTCGAGAAAGGTCTCCAAATATAAATATCTCTGTTATCGAAGATGTCGACATAGAAAAAGTTAACAAAATGATAAAGGAACATGAGAAAGAGCAGAAACCGTTTAAAGGAACTCTCTTGGTGCATCAAGTCTCCGGTCATATTTATAACCCTAATAAACTTGTCTTGAAGTCACTAAGTTGCTTCTGTGATAATGACGGTTGTGACCATTATAGGTTGGGGACTATTACGTACCAAACCAATACACAGCGGCTTCAAGTTTCAGATATTTTCACAGATTCTGAAGATGATATGCCGTTAGCAAGTATGAGCCACATTGCACAAGAAAATTCAAAAACGAGCGATTATGTTCTAGTTAAGTTAATAATGAGGGGAAAAGAATACCGATACGCCGCAGTTTGCTCAAAATATGATGACGAAGATGGAGAACTGACAGTTACATTTCTTAAAGTTTGCAATAAAGAAGGCACAGAATTTAAAATAAATGATAATGATATCGCCGACGTACCTTACGAAGACGTTATAGAAAAACTGCCAGTTCCTAATATAATCGTCAAGAGAAATACAGTCCTTTACGAATTTAAAAAACCCATTAATGTTTACGAGAAGTAAAACAAATAGTGAAACAAATAAATAAGAGGTACTAGATAGTTTAAGTGCGAAATATTTGTGATCTCATAATAATTAATGAAAGTCTGAATGTTGTGTTCAAATTATAATTTGGTAACTCAAAAGTTTAGAAAGCTGATTATTTAAAATAATTGTTAATTTTTAAAGGACTATTAGTTTGTAAGTATTAAACTCAAAGTATAATTTGATTGTTGAGAAATATTGATAGATTATTTTCAAGTGTATAATTAAAAAAATAAATCCTGTACTGTTATTATAAATCATAGAATTTGTGAACTTAAGAGATTATTTTGTTGTTACGGTTGATTTTGCAATAAAAAATGTGGTTTGACATAATAACCGTGTTTGGTGTCAGTCCCTATCACTTGTCGTCAGTCCCTAGAACACTGATTTTAAAAAATCATAAATTTCTCTGAAAATATCAAGTAAAGTGACTGGCCCTTTTAGAGGCAGCAAAGTAGATGTTATACCTACAGCATAGAATATAAGCTGTTCTGATTTTTAACTAAAAACACCACCTTCAAAATTACATCAGAAGTTAACCAAATTTCAGATAACCACCCTAATATATTTATTTGCTTCCAACCTTGGTAATTCTACACACCTATTAGACATATTTCACATATCATAGATTTCCCCGTACATTTGCCCTTAAAACTTGAAAAAGTACTCTCAACCCATGGATCGCGTACCTATCGGCGCATCTGCTTCTGCTCCCGGCGTCGTGCCGGTCTTGGCTAGTGCTCTGGCATTACTGCTACATCTGACTTAGACCGGGTAACATTCATTTGTTTGTTGTAGATTTATTTAGCAGTGATGCTACAATGTCAATTTCATACAATTATTCGTTTGCATAATATTTTTTGTAGGGATGTAACGGGTACCCGGCTGATTTGAGGAGGTACCCGGTTTTGCCGGGTAATCATTCTACCCGGCCGGGTAGACTGAATAAATGAAAAAAAAAATATTTAAAAAATACAGGAAAAAGAGCGCCTGTAAAAAACAACTTAATACATAATATATTAAATAATATAGGTATTAAAAAAAACTACATTATTTGAAAAAGTTAAATTGTACAAAAAGAAAACAGAAAACGAATTTACACGTTCATAATCTAATATTTAAAATTAAGTAAAGGAAGATTATGATGGAAGTAGGTTAGCATTTCGCCATTTTCTGCAGTTAGCTTACTTCGTTTTTCTTCGAAAATCATTCCAGCTTCTGAAAACAGCTTCTCACTGAATATTGTTGAAGCCGGAGCTGATAGAAACATGTGAACAAGATCTGCTAATTTGGGAAAACTCTTATGATTAATTTGTCACCATGAAGGAGGGCATGAAGTACGATCAATAAGTGGCAATTTCAAATATGTGCAATATTCGAAAATATATACCCAACAGACTCATTAGGTTTCTTGCGTTTTTCGGGTATCTTAAATAAAGTGCTAAGCGGAACATCATCGTCAGAACTTAAATCTACTGACGTAACGCAAGCTTTATTGTTGTCAATAGGTGTCATATCCACAGTTAGACTGAATATATTTTAAAATATCACCAGTTGTTTTATCAGTGAAAAATGCATGCTTGAACCGGGGATCCAAAAAGTAGCTATTAAAAAATTATTGTTATTCTCAATTTCACAAAAACGTTTAGTCAAATCTTCTAGCAAACTTTGCTGTAGATTTTCTAGTCCAGAAATCTTAATTTCCATTAAAAACCTTCTTAATGACAAAACTGTAGGAATCACTTGTGATATTATACATAATTTTCTGCTAAAATGTTTGGTAGTTTGCTCAATTGGTTGTAAAAGCCGTAAAAGCTTTTCCAACGAATCCCACTGACTGTGTCAAAGAGGGAACCGCATCAACTTCCGTGGCAAGCAAGTTAATGGCCCTTCGCTGCTCGATAATTCTTTCTAATAGATAATACGTGGAATTCCAACGTGTTTGACCATCTTGAATCATTTTTTTTTATAGGTAGGTTGACGTCTTACTGAATTTCTTCTAATTTTGTTCGAGATTGAGAGGAATGGTTTATATGATTCACTATTTTTCTTGCAATAGATACAATTTCCATAAGGGATGTTTGCTCTTGAGTATGTATAAAACAGGATTCATTATTGACTGTCATACCTTTTGTAGCCTTCTTAATATTAGCACCGCTATCTCGAAGAACCAAGTGAACTCTGCCCACTTCTATGTTATTATTTCTTAACAATTCTAGTAAAGCATTTTTTATATTTTCACCAGTATGACTGCCACGAATACTTAGCACATAATGTTTTTGTTCAAAATTTCTGGAAATCCAATGTCCAGTTGAACTTATAAAGCTCTTATTGTTCATATCAGAAGTCTACATGTCTGTTGTGAAAGAAATAAATCTTGCATCTGCTAACATTTCACCTACTCTACTTTGACACTTTTCGTATATCTCAGGAATGACAGTTTTGCTGAAATATGGCCGACTGGGTGTATACTATACTTTCGTTAAAGGAGCAAACAAACTGTTGAATCCTAAAAATTTATTCGCGATAAGTTTACAGGGTTTGTCCGGAAAGTAACAGGACTGAGTCGATTTAAAAAAATTTATTGAGCCAATCGTTACAATTCTTTAAAGACTTTCAAAATAGCCTCCTTCTGCGTCGATGCAGCGCTGCCAGCGCGATTTCCAAGCATTGAAGGCGTCACGGAAGGCATTCTCCGGGATAGCCTTGAGAGCCGCTGTGCATGCTGCTTGGATCCCCTCTGTAGTCTCAAAATGCTTGCCTTTCATCGGCCTTTTCAGGCGAGGAAACGAAAAAAGTCCGGGGGCCACATCTGGGCTGTAGGGCGGCTGCGGAAGCGTTGGCATGCCGGCCTTGGTCAGGTAGCTGTTCACAAGAAATGCGGTGTGAGCCGGGGCGTTGTCGTGGTGCAATTTCCAGTCGGCTGCGATGTCTTGTCGGACCCGACTGACCCTTCTTTTGAGTCTCCTGAGCACTTCACGTAAAACTTGGTTTGTCCAGGAGGAACAAATTCATGGACGATGCCTTTTTTGGGCGAGGAGACGCCGTCGTGTGCCACTCGGAAGATTGCCTCTTTATCTCGGGATCATACTCAAAGTTCCACGACTCGTCACCTGTGATTACGTTATTCAAAAATTGGGGGTCACTTTCACACATGTTCAAATTTTCTTGGCACACTTCCACTCACCGCAATTTCTGGTCGTCAGTGAGCACTTTTGGGACTATCTTCGCGCACACCTTGCGCATGTTCAAATGCTGTGTCACAATATCATGACCCACAGATTTTGGTAAATCTAACATCTTGGCAATTAAACGAATAGTTAGTCGACGGTCTGAGTTCAAAACTTTGCGCACACGAGTCACATTATCGGTGTTTGTCGAAGTCGAAGGTCTTCCAGCATGGTCTTCATCAGCGACCTCTTCCCGGCAATCCAAAAAGGCCTGGTGCCACCGAAACACACCACTTCTTGCTAAAACAATACCTGAGTAAGCCTGCTTGATCATATCAAACGTCTCTGTCGCAGATTTACCGAGTTTAACACAGAATTTAATCGCGTACCTCTGCTCTAACGAACGCTGCATTTTCGGCTTGCACCACTCGCAGAAACACGTCGCGCGAAAATGCCTGTTCTGACTCTCCAAGTGCTCGGAGACAACTGACCAGCCGCTCATTCGTTAGCTAGGAACGCCCTCTACCGAATCCAGTCGGTGCGCGCACACTCGAAGTACAGTCAGGGCGGAAGAAAATGAGTCCTATTACTTTCCGGGCAAACCCTGTATATGGCAACTTAAAAAGTACAGCAACTCGTTGTGCAGCTATATACGTTTAAAATAAAATGACACGGAAAACTAACCATATTGCAAAAAAAAAAATTGTCAACGAGAAACCTTTTTTCGTTACTTAAAATTTAAGTGCAAATATCATATAAAAATAATTAATAATATTAATAATAATATGTAGCTACTTTCATTTTACCTTTATTCTCCACAACAGAAAAAGGTTGGTTATCAAGAACGATCATTTCTCCTATAGCCTTGTGTATTCTTTTTGCCCTTGAATCGTTTTGTCCCATTGTCTTTCGAAGCTCTCAGTAATTTTAATTTGTCTCAATTCTCCTGAAGATTCTGAACCTGAACATTGCTTATTTTCGATTTTACTTTGATCCTTTAATGTAAGTGGATGCTTATAATTTAAGTGTTTCCACAAAGATGATGTACTCGCTTTTTTCCAAGACCGTGAAGAATTTTTGTGCCACATAATCCACACACTTCTTTTGATTCATCTTCATTATCAATTATAAAATGTTCCCACACTTTGCTCATTTTTAAATTGGCTAATCTCGCTCGATAACTCTGTCGTAACACTTTTAACTTTTACCTTAAACAATATAATAGTAAGCTCGATAGTAAGTAACTAGAGTGAAAAAGTAATAGTCAATAATACACTCACAGAACAATACACATGTTCTCGGCGCGGGGATTCACGCGACAACGTTGGGTCTTCCCCCAAAACATCCGTGCATTTGTTCTACGGCAAGCTGGTTTTCGCAAAGTTGCCAACGCTTTAACAAAAAAAGATTACATATTCTAATCTTTGGCCGACATTTTCGCAAAAAAGTGTAAAAAATTCGTTTTCAATTTGAATGTTTTGAGTTTGAGTAGTGGGAAATCCGAGATCGTGCAAGCAGGAAACAGGTTCAACCGGGTATCCGATTTAACCGGTTCCCGGAAATTGCTACCCGTTACATCCCTAATTTTTTGAATCAATTTTCTGAAATTTTACATTCTTGTCTATTAAAATTACATCACTATGCATTTTGAGTATTCATAAACTGATTTTTTTTTATTTCACCTTAAACATTTTCAAGCTCGAACACTTCAATATCATTCATTTTATTAAATCAAAATACTTCCATTTGAAATACAGATTTGCTAGTTATGCTGCTATTACAATTTAGCAGATGAAAATCTATACTGCCTCTGGTTTTGTGGTTATGATAATGACTATTTAGTTTTGTTTTGTAAATGTGGTATAATAAATGATAAATTATCTAAACTACTAAATAACATATTTTTTACTTTCAACTGATGACGGCGTTGCGTGGGAAATGCAAGTCAACCTGCTGGATGCCATTTTTTATATGAATGTATCATCCCAAGAATATTTTGCCAAAATTTCAAACCGAGCAGTTCAAAATTGACGAAGTTATTGGTGTTTAAATGTTGTTCCTAGCTGATTTTCTATACCTACTAAGGCAGAATAACACGTGTTTGATTCCATGATCTGTTTTGTGGACGACATGTTTGTGGTTTCCTCTATTATTGTCTTAATTTATTCACCTTGTCTGTCTTATTTGTAGTGGAACTACTCGTTGGTTATAGTATACGGATCAGTATACGCCATACCAAGTAGGTGCATGTGAAAATTTGAGGCATTTTTTTAAACTTGTGATTTTCAAAGTAGGTGTATGCTGCAACTCAAAATCCAATGCACAGATTCATTTTAAATTGTGGAGATTTTTCCTTTCAATTGTGTTTACTTTTACGATACCATATTTGTCGAATTTCTTACCGACGGTCATGTTTTATACTTCAAGGAACTGCAAAAAGTATAAACCATTGATAAACAAATAAAAACTCGACGTGGTTGCCTCGAGAAATCACTCGCCTAATAAACCCTTTCTAATTTTTTTTTATTCTGATAATCCAGTGACGTTGGATAACCTACACCGCAAAACTACTTTTTGTACGCGGTGTGTATGGAGATTTGCTGCCAACGGCTTATTTATATTCACTTAGAAAATAGTTCAAATGTAATTGTATAGTACCTAAATAAATCAGCATTACTTATATCGATAAGCACGATCTTTAAAATATGACAGCTTGACGGATTTTATCAGATTTATCTTGATATCAAAATTAATTCTTCATTCTTTTCAGTTACTGCAGCCGGATTTGTTTGTTTGTATTTAAAAATATACCTTTTTATAAAACCTCTCAGCCTGATATATCTGACACCTTGCTATCTACCGTGTTTTTTGCACATTTCATAACTAAGAGAAGCAACATTGACTAATATAGAGAAGCTACGTCAAAATTGTTCTTTGGACATCATCATGCTTCATAATTATCAGTGCATTTTCAAAAAAGGCATTTTACAAAATACCCACCTTGCAACTTTGATGTGATTTAGTGCCATATATGATTTTTGGAATACTTACAAATTTCTGTTTATTTGCAGGCATCCTGAAAGGATACTGATATATAGAGATGGTGTTGGTGAGGGTCAGCTGCCTTATGTATTTGAACATGAGGTTACCACTATCAAAAACAGGCTAGTAAGCGAAATTTATAAAAAGGCAGAGGATTTGAGGATGGCGTTCGTGGTTGTATCAAAGAGGATAAATACCAGAATCTTTGGTGATAGGGGTAATCCTCCACCTGGTACGGTGGTGGATGATATTGTTACCATGCCAGAAAAGTGAGTTTTTTCAATGTTACCTTCTAGTATTCGTATTATTTAGTCGTTCGATTATATGGGTAAAAAATATTATTTTCTACGATACTTCAGCATTAAGTACCACTTTGTATTATTGTAACACGATTGGTAGTAGTGAATCTGCAAACATATAGTAGGATGTAAGAAGTATTTTCACCAAATATTGATTGACATTTGCTTTAGTTGACTTGAAATGTTATCGTGACCTCAGTTTTCATCGTGAAACTTTGTATTTATGAATATATGATAGTAGAACAGCTTACACTATGTTTGCCTGACCAAAATGCGTTTGTGTTGAGCTCGAAAATAGGTCTTTCGACATAACTGAGAATTTTGATTCCCATTGTAACCATAAAGTGTCTGGTAACAATAACGTGCGTTGTTACCGTGCATATTTTGATTATGAAAACAGATGGATTCAAGCGATCAGTAGTGTTATCACGTAAAAAACTCAAAAAATCGGTAAAATATCAACTTGTGCTCTCCTCAGCCGTGACACTAGCAGAGTACCGTTAGGCCAGGATTTTTAATCGCAATTATACTGTAACTTTGCTCTTAATTGAAGGTAAACGCTCAAAAAGCATTTATCAATGTCATGTTCGCACTAAAACTTTAACCAGAGGACCGACTGTCAGTTTACTAGAAAGTTGTAGTTGAATCACAATGTCTAACCAGTTTTAGCTAGCAGTGACATGAGCTGTTCCGGATGGCAGGAGACAAATGTCGAGCGTCTTAAAATGTACAGAACAGTTGCGGGTTTGTGACTTGTTAGTTATTGTAAGCTATTTAGTTGTAAATTTGAAAGTCAATCAGCAGTTGACAAATTGCACCTCAGGTAATTTGGAGCTTTGATTTCAAGAAATATCAAATATGTTTTGCTTAGTCCTGATAAGTTACGTTTTCACAGTCTCCATTTACCTCTTATCTGGCAGTTAGTCTATGTATCGTACATGGGAGTTAGTCGTCAGATAGCCGAAGATGCAAAACCGAGACAAAAAGCCCATGAGAAAATATCACTTTGACCCCTTTTTTACTTCCCACGCCTACTAGCGAGGAAGTATTGTAATCAAGAAAATGTGATTGATTACGTTTTTTGGATGTAATATGAAATATGCATCATTAAAATTGATGTCACTCATTTCCATCAGTTTGTTTGTCTGTCGGTATGCCTGTCCGCTAATCCTTGTGTCAATGACGAAAAAGCTTAGTTTTTGAAAATTGGTCCAGTGGCGGGGAGGTATGGGGCAAAAAAATGAAAATAAAAATCTCTCAAACTATGTTTTTTGACGTTTCAGAAGTTCCCGATCATTTGCAGAAAAAAATTAATGAGTTAAAAATTATGGTCTGGAAGTGTACATACACGCTCCCAATCTCTGTAATTCTACATACAGTGCTTTTCTTTAATGCCCCCCCCCCCCTTGATTTTTTGAACGGATCAATTCAAAAAATTAAAACTTGAGGTAATGAAATTGATGCGTGGATACCATATTTTAGAGTAAAATTGACAGAGGAAAATGTCAAGATGGAAAAAAAATAATGTGAAAACGGGGATCTTGTTGTGGCACATCATTTTGAAGCTCCTGACGAGTACTTTATAACCCTAGAATATAAAGTCAATACCTTTACCTACTACAAAATGGTGGTACATTTAATAATTGTCATTTAACTTGATAATTCGAATAAATACGTTGAGTTCAGTTTAGAAGATGCTGGAAATGTTTACCTTGAACTTCTTGACACAATAAGAGCCGGTCTGTAATTTCGCGTCGAACGTTTTCAAACATAGTAACATCGATATTTCTACAAATATTTGTTATTCTCAGCCGTATATCCAATATTGAAGCAGGTTCAGTTTCATACACCTTTTGCTTCAAATAGTCCCATAAAAAAAGTCTAAAGGTGTCAAATCTGGCGAGCGAGCTGGCCATTCCACAGGACCTCGACGGCCAATCCAACGACCGGGGAAATTGTTATCTAAATAATTCCTTACTTGTCTGTAGTAGTGTGGTGGAGCACCATCTTGCTGAAATACAATACCAGTATCGAATTCATTAGGATTCGCTTCGACGATTTCGGTGAGGATTTGTGTCACTCCAATAACGACAATTTTGTCTATGCACATTACCGTTAAGAAAAAATGTATAGTACATTCATCACTAAAACAAATATTTTGGATATAGATAGGATGGCGTGCAATGGTTTCCGTCATAGACTCGCAGATTCTGTTCTTCGATCAGGGTCATCTTCAGTTAGCTGATGTACCATTTGAATTTTGTATGGGTGATTACAGTAGAAGGACAAACCTCACATACATTCGCGATGGAGGAAGTAGACTGTTGGGGATTTACTATGATCTCACCAATTATTTGAACTTGCTTGTCTTCCGGAATGGTCGGATGACCTGGGGGCTTTTTGTTGTTTACACTACTAGTAGAAATTTAGATACAAGTTCCCTTAAATATTTTCTACAGATAGGACGATTCGGGAAACGATCATTAAAAATTGTTTCGGTCTCGTGAAAGTTACGCGTCGCACCATAAATAAAAATCACTTCGATTTTTTCTGCGAATGGACGAGAATTGACCATTTTAAAAATAGTTCAAACAGTATCTAGCACTAAAACCGAAAACTAAATAAGAATATTTTAACTGTACAATGATGTTTGTTTTCGTACTGATATTCTTGTCACTGTCAACAAATAACGAAACAAGTTTTTATCGCTGTTGCTATGGAGACGGCAGGGAATTACAATTATTTGTAGAGATATGCATGTTAGTGGGTTTGTGTTCTAGTAATTATTAAATGTACCACCATTTTGTAGTAGGTAAAGGTATTGACTTTATATTTTAGGGTTATAAACTAGTACTCGCCAGGAGGTACAACTAATTAGTAGAGATTCTTTTGCCAGCCAGGTATCGCGAAACTCCATAAGAGCATGCATAGGCCTACTCTGCGTGACGTCACAGGCTTTTCGGAGCCCAGTTGTTTGGCCTTGTACTCTCGGTGGTAACGGGTACACTCGTCCCAAACTCTCAGAAGATCCTCATCGCTAGAAAACCGTTTTCCTTTTAGCTTTATTTTCACATGCGGGAACAGTGCAAAGTCGCAGGGAGCAAGATCTGGACTGTAAGGAGAGTGCTCAATAAGTTTCAGTCCAGTAGTGGTCAAATACCCGGTGCAAGCTCTGGCGCGGTGAGTTGGAGCGTTGTCATGGTGAAGGTACCAAGTGTCCATTCTTGACTGTGGCCGCAGGTTTTTCATAGACTCTATGGCTTTAGGCAGGCACTGTCTTCTACTAGTTAGCTGTGACTGGCTTCTGTGTGTGCAAAACGTCACGCTCCACAATTCCGCTCGATTTGAATAATACAGCCATTTTTTTCTTAAGAGATCGGGATTTTCTGACCGCTACGGGTGCGTTTTCATCATCAAAGACCCAAACTTAGTTTTGAGCCTTGGTCGGCACATCGTAATAATAGAGCAGTCTCGTCACCTGTCACGATGCTGTTTTCATACCAAGATTGCCCACTATCAAACATTTTTAGTATCTGTTGGCACCAAGTCGTACGACGAGTCTCCTGCTCTTCCGACGCTATGCGGTACCCAGAGAGAACAAATTTTCCTTAAGTGTAAATGGTCATGCAGAATTGAATTAATTGTTTGTTCATGAAGGTGTAAGGTCTCCTCTATTTGTTGGTATGTCACTCTCCGATCTTCATCAAGCATTTTCCTCATAGCAGTAATGTTTTCCTCTGTTACTGACGTTCGCGATCTTCCTTCCCTCTCATCGTCCTCAAGACTGAAATTACCCCTTTGGAATTACATGTACCACCTGCATACCGAGTCGTACGATGAGAACAGTCATTCTTTAATGCAAGCGTCATTTCTTCTAGGCACTGGTCTATGCTTAAACCACGCGTAAAGTTATACCGTAAGGCTGCCCTTATATCACTACGTGACAACGATGCACTTAACACTGTCAATACGAATAAACAACTAAATCAGCAGCCTCCTGCGTCCGTTTGTTAAGTTTTTTGTACATGTTTGTAACTGACGTCTCGGAAGGTCTTACTTGTTCTGAACATGATCCTTTATGAACTGGCGACCGTGTTGCGTGGGGAGTGCAGAGTCAACCTACTTGATGACATTTTTTCTTTTATTACAGATACGACTTCTTCTTGGTGAGCCAGTGCGTGCGACAAGGAACAGTAAGTCCGACGAGCTACAATGTACTATCTGACACATTGGGTTTGCCTCCAGACCGTATGCAGATCATTGCATACAAGCTGTGCCATATGTACTACAACTGGAGCGGTACTGTCAGAGTACCAGCTCCCTGTCAGTACGCCCACAAATTGGCATTCCTAACTGCTCAAAGTCTTCACAGACCTGCGAATAGGTCTTTGGAGACTGTTTTATATTACCTCTAAAGAGAAGCAGTGCAGGGTATGTACGATTCCGTAAAGTTTGTACTGCTGAGAAACGATATTGATAAGTTGAAGAATGAAGGCTTTCACGACTAATGTAATTTAGGTTTTTCGGGCTGTTGAGCCGTGGTCGTGTTGGATTTGGTCCAGAGCTTTCGGCTACATCTGCGGTCGCCATCTTCAGTATCGCTGTTGGCTCAACAGCCCGAAAAACCTAAATTACAATATTGATAAGGTTGGTGCAAAAATTATATATTTTTATATGTATGTTCTTAAATTCCGATTGCTTTAAGAACTTTTCCAATAATTTGTGTGGACTATCAAACTCATGAGAACCATTTTAGCTTTTGGAACTGTTTTACCAACCTCCCAAGTGGAGATGACTTGAGTAGATTTGATTTTTAGATCTTTACGGAATTCTGCCCTCAAACGTGTGCTACCTCGATCGAGTTTATAATTTGTTTTTTATATGAGAAGACACCTTTTAGTTTGTAGTTCGGATTCACCATGTTTTTATTTTGTAGTTTTGACCTCAAGATATAAAGACTATCCTTAAGAATCATCGTTTTAAGTTTTTTTGTTCTTAGTGTTAAGGTATATTATGTCAATGCAAGTATGTTACTTCAAACGAATTGAAGTATATTTTGAATCTTTACAATTCAGTGATGGCATATATATCTCCTGCTCCACATTAACTGTTAAATGCATGTTTTATATTTGTATTCCAAATCACCAAGCTTTTGATCATTAAAAAAATGCAAATGATAGAAGTGTATTTCAGATTTGCTACCAGCATAGCATATGAATGTTTCCAGTTATGTTTTTGGAGGTTGTAGTTTCGAATTTGAATCTACTTATTAATCTAAGGAAATATATTTCTTAATAAAAAGACAACTGAATCTGGCGTTGATGTTGGATGTTACAAGTTTTGTAATTTCAAAAGATTTTATGATATTTTTTTAATAAAGTTGTTTTGATAAAAATCCTGTTTGATTTCATAAGCTACATTTAGCTGAAAGTTGTTTTCCAATTATAGAAATGATGTAGACAGTGCTCTAGAGCGCCCTCCCTGTATGTGATCAAACCTTGCCACTTGTTGAATACTGAAGATCATAAAAAACTGCATAGGTAAAGTAGACGACAACGATATTAGATTCGTTTACATTTTTTGTCGATAGTCAGTCAGATGAGAGATGACTGAATCAAGTTGAAGTATCGTTGATTGTTATTGTAATTTATTATCCCGACATTTGTTAAAAATTCATACTATTAACCAAAATATACATATGTATGTATATCTGATGGTAGCAATGTCAAAGATGTAAACTTGTTTACCTAATTTTCTATGTTGAGGAGCCTTCTTCCAGAAACACGCACATCAAGAACATTCACCTAAATACATATTTCATTTCACTTTCACACTTATTTAAAAAATATCCTACAAGTTAATCCTCTTCTTACGAAGACTCATCATTGACGTCAGAAATAAACTTCGCGTTGCCCATTTGGTGAATCTTATGTAAGTCTTTATATTCATTTTCAGTTTCTAGGACTCTGTTGATGGTTTTCTTCCAATATAATTAAGTGATTTGGCCTGCCTCTGATCTGATAGGTCGGCTACGGCTCGCTCACTAGTCGGACTTATGTTCCTTCAGCGTATTCTTGTTTTTAGTTGACCCATATTAACTCTATAGGATTCAATATACAAATATAAGGTGGTAGTCGTAGGATCATATGCCCGCAAGCAGCTGCCATTCCGTCAAACTGTCTTGTATGGAGCACCTCCAAATATTGTATAAGAAAAATAGGGATCGTGCTCTTGAATGTCTTTCTTGCTGGACAAGGAATTAGGGACCTTTGCGATTTGTCTGGAATTATTCATTACAATGACACTTCCGGGTTTCAAATTTGGCAGCAATCTGGTGGAAAACCATTTCTCAAACATCTCGGCATCTATATTCTCATTGTGTAATCCAGCTTGCAATCTGCAATCTTGCAAGATAACAATAGCACATTTTGAACCGACCATCTGCAGAGCCATAATGCAGAATGACCATCCGGGACCCTTTGATGGTACACCTTTCAACTGACATTTTGTGGATGAGTCGGTCCACCCCTTTTTTGCTGTATCATGTGTATCGTACCATGTTTCATCTAGGTGATATATTGGCCTACTTTCTTTCCTATATTCTCTGATCGTCTCTAAGTAACCTGTCGCTTACTTTCCATGACTGCAGATCTCTTGTTGATAACTCCAAATTTCAATCTGACCTTTGGCACCCTCCTCTGAAATGTATGCAGGGAACAACTCTCGCCTCTTTCCATCAATTCTCGATGTACCATCTCTGCTGTGGGAATTTCATTAGATTTATAATGATCATGTTTCTTATTTTGGCAGTTATTGCTGCACTTAAAGGTATAGATGTCCCCTTGTCAATTCTTCTTTTTCTTGATTTGACACCGTTACGAATAATTTTACAAATTGTAGGATATGGCATGTCAGTTAGTTTGGCTGTTTTTTAAGGACACTACTGTTGCCGCTACCACCCATTTCATGTAACAGTCCGTCCATTACAAACATTAATGCAAATCTGTTGAGCATCAACAGGCAGGCACTTTCTTTTAGAAATACGACGGTTATCCTGACTATCATTGCTGCCCTCGTTGCTACTATCAGTATCATGCGCACTGACAGTATCACTGTCCGAAAAGTCTGCTGCATCATTCATAGCGCCTTTGTACATATAATTTTCGATGTCCGTGGGCCGCTGACCTGCCTGAGCACATCGTTCCCAAGGGCGGAAAAAAATTGTACCCTACAAACATAATTATTATTCAAGACGTCGTCCGTCAACCTTGTTAGTCTGCATAGAACTGAAAATATATTCCCGGGTACCGCTCTATTGCATCGCGCTGTATTCACCTGCTCGCGGCGCTCGTGAGGGGGGTTGGGGGGTTCAGGTCTTCATAGCGCAGTCATATTATGCGAACTTGTTGCTATGACAGTATCGAAACCATGCAATTTTTTCGATTCGCTACTTTCATAACAATTGTATCGAACTATTAGAGCTTTTTAGGTTATTGCATATTGCTATAAATGTATAATTTATACAGATGAACCAGATTCCATTAGTATTTATCATGTATCATATAATGACCGTACTATATGGCGGGTCGGTAACAAGGAAGAAAAAAAAGTAAATAGAATATAGTTGTCGCTACCATACCGAGATGAAGAATTTCAGGCTGGGATCATTGGGGTCTTGTGCTGTTCATCTTCTCTCCCAGCGACTCCACAACTTTTTTTAAGCTCAACTGATTGGTGATTCTATACGTAAACTGGCTATGATGACATGTTTGCAGATCAAAAATTTTAATCATGAAATTATATTTATTACAAAAATAGATTCGGTAAGTACAAACACACATTCACTCAAGTTTCCAGTCTAGGATCTTCAAATATTCTGCTTCCGAAAATTCCGACATCTTCAAGCCCTCAACATAAATCTAAAAATGAACAAACATGAAGTAGCTGTACCTACGATACATGTAAGACTTTTGAGACTGTCGAAGAACGCCGACTCATTCTTTCTATTTAGTCTAAAAATCATGAAAAGAGCTGTACCTTCTGCTTTTTCAGATTGTCAATAAGTTGCATTTGTTTTTTATATGCATTTAACAGTTCCAACTTTTGTTTCTCAATAGATTTCATGGAATTTGTCAGTTCATTTATTTGTTTCCTGTATGATTCCTTCAATTCCTAAAATACGAATAATCACTTAAGGATCTTGTAATTTGTTGAACGTGTTGTGAATTGCGAAAAAATCAAATTAAATGATTTCAATGTTATATTAACGCTACGGTACATATTCAGAGAATATGTATTTTAGTGTAATCATATCAGCATATTTCACCGAAATAATTGTCAAGTCTGGTTTTATTGGTGGAAGTGCAAGGGGGTATTTAAAACATGGACGCATAAAATGGGTACAGCAATTTTTGTGGGAAAACTTTTTATTTGACAACAAAGAACGAGAAAACGTTTTTTCTGGGATTCAATCGAAAAAACTTTCCATATAAGATTTTTTGGTATTTATGAGATCACACGTAAAAAGATCCGACTAATAGGGAAAATGTTATGGTCGAAAAACGAGGCAAAATACAGGTTTTGCCACTTGTTGGTAATGCGACGATAATTTCACGCAACTACTTGAAATTCGTCAAATCTGCAGGATTCTTACTTCTAAATAACAGAATTGGATTATATTGGTCAAGTAGTTTTTTGAGAATTTACAATTGTGTATCCCAAAAACACCTGTTTTCCGGCCATCACTACTAGTTTATTGAGCAATATACAGGGTTCGTTCAAAGAGCATTTAATGTCAAAATACACTTGTTTCCCTTGCCTGTATGAATCACAAACCATTTCGAAAGATATATGTCATGTTTATGCGAAAAACAAAGGTTGCGTTTTTTCTTCTAAACAAATTCAAACGTTTCGTATTTGTGAGTAATTGAACAAATGCGCTTCGAAAAACATCGTTACTATACACATTGTAAAACAAACCTGATGTGTCTATCATCTTTTGTTGCGAATTACTGATAAATACGAAATGTTTGAATTTATTTGAAGAAAAAACGTAACCCATACTTTTTGCATAAAAATAACATATCTTCCGGAATGGTTTGCGATTCATATCGGCAAGGTAAACTAGTGTATTTTGCTATAAAATGCCCTGTGAACTAACCCCGTATATTGCTCAATAAACTACTAGTGATAGCAGGAAGACAGGTGTCTCACGCAACAATTAGAAATTCTCAAAAACTACTTGAACAATCTACTCCAATTTTGTTGTGGTTATTAAGAAGTACGAATTTGAAGAATTTCAAATATCTGCGAGAAACCATCGTCGCATAACCAAAAAGTGCCAAAACCTGGCAGTTTGCCTCGGTTTTCGGCCAACACTTTCGATTGAATAAAAAAACGTTTTCTCATTCTTTGTTGTCGAATAAAAACTTTTCCCAAAAAAATTGGTGTACCCATTTTTTGCATCCATGTTTTGAATGCCCCCTTGAACAACTTGCAGCAATAAAACCGGACTTTACAATTATTTCTCAAGCCAGGGGTATTTTCGTCTAATATGATTAGACTATTTCCTCCAGCAAAAACTTTGCTTACGCACAGGAATTTTTTCTATCGGAAAAACGCCTCTACGATATTTTGGTACTTGCCTTCTCTTCATCTTTGGAAGTTTTGAAAGAATTTTTTAGTTTATCATTTTCTTCAACCGCTCTAGTCAACCTAACCTCCAAATTATTTGTTATTAGGGCTAAGTTCTTCACTTCCTTTTTAGCTTGGTCGAGTTCCTTTTTTAATGCGGTGATCTCGCAATCTTTGCCTTGTAGTTGTGAGTTGGCTGATGATATCTTTAACAGTAGAAGTCGTATACAGTTTGTTACCATTAATACTAAACAGCTCAGTCCTCATAGAAAGTATAAATGGCAACACTGCATCGGTCCTGCCAGCCTAGCGCTTGACGGGTTTCATCATGGCGCAGCTATTCAATAAACGCGTTGAACCTCGCCAGTGTTGACATTCACGCAGTGGCGGCAGGTCCATAGGGGCGAAAAGGCTACAGCCCCCCCAAGACAAAATGCGAATTAACAAAAAATTTAAAATATGATTTTGTGATTAAATAATTTCCAGATATATACGAAAATTCAATCAAAACCTGAATTTTAATAGTAGCCAGTTACGCAACACGCAATATATATATATATATATATATATATATTATCCGATCCCAATACCCCGAAGTCGCGAGCTAGATTCCCTATCGATTCGAGGCTAGAATATTTTTTGCCGCGATCGCCGACCTGATTGAGTGGCTCGCTACGTCATACCCCCCACGCGCTTACGAGTTTTATACGGGATTTTAACACGCGAGGTGGCGAAATAATTTTTAGCCAGTCCCGATTTACGTGTGTACGAAATCGCTTCGTCGCGTCCCCGTGCCGTCGTTCGGGCGTTCAAAAAGTTTAAAATGGCAAATGAAGTACAAAATTTGTTAAAAGGTGAATTTTCTCGGCTTCCGCTTGCTGAAAAAATAATAATAATATTTGGAAGGCCGATTCCAAATATCAACCTTACTCAGGCTGATAAATCGACGAAAGCTGGTTGTTTTAAGAGACATTTTAAGAAAGATATCTATAACAAAAACAAATGGATATGCGGTTGTGGCACATTAAACGCCCTGTTTTGTTTTCCGTGCTTACGGTTTTATTCAGATGCAGCGGAAAAGACATGGACAAGAACTGTATTTAAAGATTTAAAGCATATAAACCAGAAAATTAGTAAGCATGAAAATTCGGCTCGTCACATGATTTGTTCGACAGAATTAGCTTTATTGGGAACAGCTAGTATCGCTGCTCAGTTAGATTCCGCTTACAGGCAAAATATTATTAAGCACAACGAGCAAGTGGACAAAAATAGATATCTTTTAAAAAGAATAATAAACTGTATAAAGTTTTGCGGTAAATTGGAATTAGCGTTAAGAGGGCACGACGAAAGTGAAGACTCTGAAAATCGTGGCATTTTTCGAGATTAATTTTACGTCCGAACTGGATACAATATTAAAGGAACATTTAAAAAGTGCGACACTGTTTAAGGGTACTTCTAAAACAGTACAAAATGAAATACTAGATAGTATGTTGGAAGTCTGCCAACAAGAAATTCGACAGCAAATTAATGCAGCAGAGTTTTTAGCTATACAGTGCGACGAAACAACAGATATTTCACATCATTGTCAAATGGTAATGATATTTAGATATGTATCTCCATGAAGGTGAAATACAAGAAAGATTTTGGCGTTTTTTGAGCGTTACGGACAAGACAGCTGAAGGTTTGGCAAAGTGTATCGAAGAAGAACTAGGCCCATTATTAAAAGATTCACCCCACAAATTAATTGCGCAAACTTATGATGGTGCAAACGTAATGAGCGGTAGCAGTGGTGGAGTTCAAACAAAAATCAAACAAAAATATCAGAACGCTCATTTTATACACTGTTACGCTCACCAACTGAACTTAATTATGCAGAGAGCAGCCAGCCAAAATCCAAAAGTAAAAGTGTTTTTTTCAAACCTGTCGGCAATTCCAAGTTTCTTCTCCAACTCCACGCACAGATGCGATTTATTGGAAAAAATAGTTAAAACCAAAATGCCAAAGGTTGCGCCAACACGGTGGAATTATAACATTCGCACAGTCAGTGCCGTTTTTGAGAACCGTGAAAGTCTTATTGATTGTTTCCGGGAGTTAGAGAATAAATGTGATAAAACAATTACTAGTAAGGAGGCATACGGTTTAAGAAGAGCACTCGAAGATTCTGATTTCATCTTTTTTTTGACTTTTTTTCACAAAACCCTACCGCACGTAGCTATTTTGTTTAACCAGTTTCAAAGTAGGAATAAAGACAGTGTACAACTTTTAAAAGATATTGACGTATTTGAGAAGGCCATTGTATTGATTAGGGACACTACAGAGGATATACAGCAAACTGTTGAAAATGAGCATGGAGACAATGGAAATAAACGCAGAAAAGTAGGACCCGAAGAAAGAAATTGTATTATTGCAAAAGAAGTTTGCGATATAATAATTGTACAGACAAAAGAGAGACTTTCTTACAGGGGTCATCTAGAAGCTGCATCTTTATTAGATACACAAAACTTCACAAACTATTCGAGATATTTTCCAGCAAAAATACTGAATTCAGTTGTGACTTATTATCCAATGGTAAATAAAGAAAAACTGAAAACCGAATTAGAAGTAATGTACATGAGGGAAGACTTCAAAAATATTCCAGGTGGTTTGAATTTGCTATCCCTATTGACTAATAACAACCTAGAGGAAACTTTTAGCGAAGTAACTAAGTTGTTGCAAATAATTATAACTACTCCCATGTCAACTTCCGAAGCAGAGCGCTGTTTCTCAACCCTTAAGAGGATAAAATCGTTTTTAAGAAACTCGATGGGCAATGAACGACTGAATGCATTGGCAATGATGTCTGTTAATAAGAATCTGGTACATAATATCAGCAATTTCGACGAAAAAGTGATGGAACATTTTATTTCACAGAAAGACAGAAGATTAGACTTTACATATAAACATTAAAAAATATTTTGTAATAAATAGAAGTGTGAAGTGTGACAGTTGAAACACAATGTTTGCTCTAGCTGTAGGTAGGTATACTTAGTCGTTTATAATACAATAATACATTTAGGTATACCGTATTTCTGTTCTCTTTTCCAGTTATTTATAGTTACATGTGTTGTAAGAAAGTGAAAAACTATACTTTTGAGTACTGTTGTTCTTTTGATAATAGATGCTCTGTTGCTTTCATATTAGATGCTGCTTTCTTTTGCGATAAGTTCTCGTACCTAAAATATGTTTGTTCCTATACAGAGGACTGTACATAAAATATATAGGTATAGGATTGCCAACTGATCCATCCACAAAATCAGGACATAAAAAATGCAAAAAAATTATAGCTCTAAAAATGTATATTTGAATTTGAAGGCTCAAAATGGAAGTTTTTGGGCGTGGTACCGTAAAAATTCTTTGCCTCCGGCGGTGACTGCGGCAGGCCACCCTTCCCTACAATAGCCCCCCATTTCTCACAGCCACCGGCCGCCACTGCATTCACGTTCCCGATTACGCTTTCCCAGTTTTTCACTCGCAGGTTAAGTAAATATAATTTGACTGATAAGCAGAAGTTTACTCTCACAACGCGTTTTCCAATGTACGGCTTGACTTAAAACGGTGAGTAACTTTAACACGAGGACTGTGAGCGGGTTGACTAGAAAGATCTGTTTAACCGCGACGCCTAACATTTTTTGCTTCACAGTGACATGAGTTGTCACCGATGACACGAGACACATACATCCAGAATCACAAAATGCCTAGAAGGCTACAGTTCAGACCTAGAAGCAGCATTACCAGATCAGTTACGAGTTAACCAGAATTTGAAAAACTATTTACGGACAACTAACAGCCAACTTCAAAAGTTATATTTAGCCAACTTGAAAGTGATTGAAAACCGTGTCTTAGTAGGACATGTCATCACAAATGGGCGTGATTCATTGCATTACCTGGGATTCCAATTTTCCTAAGTTATTTTTGATTGTGCTATAAGCCATAAACCATTTGTCCTTTTCTTCTTGAAGTTTTTGTTTTTCCTTTTGAAACTTTTTCAATTCTTCGGACTTGATAACCGGAAACATTGTAAACATGTACTTTTGAAAAGAGTAAAATTATACACACTATAATAAAATCATAATAGCATTTGATTAACGAATATGTTAATCAAAAATAGAAGTAACAAATTCATGTTCTTGCAAAAAGATGCTAATTGAAATAAAATAGCATTGAGATTACATATACAGGATATCCAGTGGGCAACTTCGCTTTCTGATTTAAGAAAAAAAATACAAACTTAATGAAATATAGTCGTAAATTCGGCCGGTTTTATTTCTTAAATATCATTCCGTCCAAATGTTTGCCATCTCTTTGGACACACTCCTCTAATCGCGCGCAAATTCTGAAACACTCTCTTGTAGAGTTCCGGAGTGATGTTTATTTCTTGTCGAATGTGTGTAAGCTCCCCCAGTTTTTGTAGATTATTGTCATATTATACTGTTGACTTTAGATAACGCCACAAAAAATAATCGCATGGCGAGAGGTCGGGTAACCTAGGTGGCCAGTGAATGTCTCCAAACTTCGATATAACTTTTTGAGGAAAAAGTGCTTTCACCGTGTCCGTCGATTCTCTGGAAGTATGGGCAGTGGCCCCATCCTGTTGAAACCATGTGTTTCTGTTAAATCACCTTTGGACTATGTAGCTGTTGTTGATGTTTCTCTTTTGGGTTCGTTGGTGCTCAATATCTGCCATTTTGCTTGTTTACATAACCGTCTAAGTGAAAATGGGCCTCGTCACTGAAAACAACGTTCTCGAGTCTGCGCTGCAAACGAAAAAGATTCATCATCCGTTCAGCACATTGTTTCCGTAATACCTAATCACTTTCCTCTAAAGCATGGACTGATTGGTTTTTATAAGGATGAAAACCCATTTGTTTCGTCATTATGCCATGCAGTGTTGCAGAACGCCGAGGATTTGCAATGACCGACTCACTTACTCGACGCACATTTTCTTCGGTTGATAGAGTAGGTGTGGGGCCAAGAATGGAGACTAGAGTAGAGTAGAGCCTGTTTCACGGAACCTCCTAATCCATTTTTTCAATAGGGTCTCATTTGGGACATCTCTTGGTCGGCGAATGTTGTGTCGTGTACAAAATTTCCGAAGGGCAGCTGCATATGAATCACCACTCTTAACGTAAGCCTCGATAGCAAAAGCACGTTGCGCTCCGGTCCAGCGTTCCATTGTGTCTATTTAACCCGCTCGTCGGACGCGTCGATCACTTCTTCGCGTATACGGTTTGCCGCGTAATTCAAATTTGAAATGTGAACTTTCCCACTGGTAGGGTAGAGTGGGGTTAACTGAACAGGTAGGTTAACTGAACACATCGATGTTCCTGCCATCTAGTAATGATAAATTAAACTTGATTTTGCCTGAAAGCGTCTTTTGTTACGTGTGTTGACACTGTTCGGTGCAGATTTCTTTTAAGTCGGTTCTAATCTCGTAAATCAGCAAACATATTTTTAATGGCCGCCACGTAAAATTTGTGCTCCCAAGTTTTTTTGTGTTACAGTTAGCAAAATACAGTTTTTAAATTGGTTTGACGTATATTTTGTTCCAGTAAGTATTTTAGCATTTATTTCTTGTGTTTACCTAAGCTTAACATTATTTTTTAATCAAATTTTTCTTTTGCTTATGTATTGGTGCACAGTGGGTATAACTGGACATCTCATGTATGTGGTTATATGAACAGGTGTTCAGTTAACCTGCGTTATTTATTTATTATTATTTTGTCTACAAATTTAGTTTATTTTTTAGAATATGCCAAGAAAAAGACTACGTACTACCAATAACAGATCATATAGTGTAGCAGATCTTAGACAAGCATGTGAAGAAGTCCTGACACATGGTCGAACAACTCGAAGTGTTGCACTTCAGTTTAAAATCCCAAGAATTACTTTAAAAAGGTATGTCGATAAATGTCGGGAAAAAAACAACTTGGATATAAATTTTCGCCCCAACAACGAACATCTTTTGGCTTTTAGTCCCGATGAAGAATTACTTCTTAAAAAATACTTAGAGCATGCATCTAACATTCAGTATGGCTTGTCTTCTAAACAAGCTCGTATTCTAGCTTACGAGTTTGCGGTGGCCAATGGCAAAACCATAAAAGAAAGTTGGTCCCGAGAAGCAATGGCAGGCAAAGAGTGGATGTTTAGATTTATGAACAGGCACAACTTTTCGTTGAGGACGCCAGAACAAACAAGCTTAAGTAGGGCAACCAGTTTTAATAAGACAAATGTGGAGGCATTTTTTAAAAATTTTAGAGAGATTAAAGAGAGATATAATTTGCAATCTAATGATATATACAATCTAGATGAATCCGGTGTAACCACAGTCCATAAACCTCCTAAGGTTCTTGCAATTAAAGGAAAAAGAAATGTAGGCCAGATGACGTCGGCTGAAAGAGGGACGCTCGTAACTGTTGTAGGAATTATTGGAGCTACAGGACGATATGTTCCTCCTTTTTTAATATTTCCCCGAGTACACTTTAAAGAAAATATGCTCCATGGAACTCCAGCTGGCTCTAAGGGTGGAGCTTCGCCTTCTGGATGGATGAACAGTCAGTTGTTTCTTCCTGTGTTGCAGCATTTCGTACAAAACGAGAGACCATCTAAAGAACATCCCAAACTAATAATCCTTGATAATCATGAGAGTCACTTAGGTATTGCAGCACTAAATTTTGCTAAGCAAAACGGTATACTCCTTTTGACATTGCCACCCCATTGCAGCCACAAGCTGCAACCATTGGATTTAGCAGTATTTGGGCCATTTAAAAAATATTATGGTGCAAGTTGTGACAGATGGATGGTAAATCATGCCGGAAAACCTATCACTATTTATGACATCGGATGTCTGGTTGGAGAGGCTTTTTTGCAAGCGTTTACTCCAAAAAATATATGCAGTGGATTTCGTGCAGCAGGAATAGAGCCGTTTAATGACCAAATATTTTCGGATGAAGAATTTCTTTCGTCATATGTTACAGATAGACCAGGGAAAACATCAGAGGAAGAGGCACCACAAGCTGGGTCGTCACAAGATAATACATCACTGCCTAAACCAATTCAACATGGCATGACAGATCCTGTTCTGTCACAATTTCAGCTCTCAAAATATCAAGAATCACAAGCCGGACCATCACAAGCTGAATCGTCGAGCACTGCTAAACTACAAACTGAAAAATCACAAACCAAACCGACTTTATCTTCAATTGAGATAAAAAAGCCGACATTACAAATTATAACTCCTGAACAGATCCGTCCTCACCCCAAAGCTGGTGAACGAAAGTCTACAATTCGACGAAAGAAAAAATCTCTGATTTTGACAGACACTCCAGTCAAAGAGAACATAGAGGAAGAAGCAAGACTTCGAGAAGAAAAAGCACAAAAAAAAACCAAAAGAACTAACAAGAAAAAAGAGGCAGTAAAAAGACGTATTCTAGAAGACAGCTCTTCTGATGATGACAGTGTTATCTATGAAGAAAGCTCGGATTCTTTAGAAGAATTTGATGCATATGACGATAGTCCACAAGCTGTGACAAAAGGCGATTTTGTAATCGTGAAAGTGTATGGGCAAAATAAATTAAATTTCAGACATTATGTTGGTGAAATTATTCATGCTGTAAATGATGGTTTTGAGGTTACTTTTTTAAAACGCCACAAAGAAACAAAATATTTTTTTAAAAATAATGAAAATGGCTTTGTTGTAAAAGCTGATATTGTTTGTAAGTTACCCATGCCAGCCAAAAGTAACAGCGCTAGATATGCCAACATGGTGTCATTTCAAGTTGATTTAAATGAATTTGACTTTACAGTTTATTAAAATTACCTACAATATTTTCATACATGTTCAGTATGTTTGACTTTACAGTTTATTAAAAGTATCTATAATATTTTAATGTATCTTCAGTATGTTTCTTATTATAAATAAAAATGATTGTTAAAAAGTGTTGACATATTTTCTATGATATATTTTTAACATTTTTATTATAGCTAGTCGCCTTATTCGCTAGAGGGCTAGACTTGTATTTAGGGTATTAGGTTGGTAATAGTAAATGATGGAAAGCTTGCCAGCCTTCTTATGGTTTAGTGCCCTGAATTTTCCATGCATGGCCATTTTTGCTGTTTAACAATTTATGACAAATTTATTGTATATTTCTGTCAATTAAATAACAAAAATGGCAGCGCATGAAGATTCCAGGGCACTAAATCATAAGAAGCTGACAAAATTTCCATGTAGAAAGTGTTAAGTAAAAGTAAATTTAAAAAACATATCTTGTTTGTACCTCTGTTCAGTCAACCTGCATAAGTGGTCCAGTTAACCTGACAGGCAGGTTAACTGGACAATTTGATAGGTTTTAAAAAAAGTCAATCTGTCATACACATAAATTTAAATTTAACTTTAAACATTACGTTTTCCAATTACTTACATAACTACCAAAGCATGGTCACAAAGGTATGTTTTTAGCAACGATTTACTGGTCAAAAACAGAGTTTAAATTTTGATGGGTCCAGTTAACCCCACTCTACCCTATGTCTGTATTTAACCAGCTTTTGGACCTTCATGAATATGTTGGACGGATGAGACTAAGACGCCACGGACATGATTCTAATGCATTTTTATTACCTTTTTTCTGTTTTCGGACTGGAGTTTGATATTTTCAACTTGCAGGTTTTTTATTTTGGACCTATAGAATTGGATTGATGCCTTTCCCCCCATTTCGTCTACATCATGTAAAAGCTCGGGTTGATTCAACTTGATATCTTAAAATTCCAAAATTGATCTCATGTGTATCGGTCTATAAAGTTTCACTGAAGTTGCGTGAATAAATGAAATTAATATCGTGTGGGCAACCACGTTTTGGAATACATGTTCAAATGAAAAGAACAACATTGTAATGCATTTTTATCCAGAGTGATCTAAAAGTCCAGCAACAGCAAGATATTTGAGAACGTGCAAGGAGTATGGTAAAAGCTGGGTTTCTTGAAGAAATCAAGAAATGTAAGTACAAATATAGTCATATACTTTTGACAGACTTTGAGTGTAAATTGTTTTGACCTCTTAACGTCCTGGTCAAGGTTATCGTAAAATCCTCATTTGAAGAGATTTGAGGAATCTTTCTGATGATAAAAGAAAAATAAGGACCCAGATGCAGCGCGGGCTTAACATGCCCTTTGCTACTCGCTGATAACCTTTGACTCCGGAAGAGCGAAATATTTCACGTTCAGATGACCCTGGGTGAACATTATTTTGCTTTTGAACATCCTGGGCTCAAAAGATCCGGCAACACGCCTGTGGGAAACGTGGTTTTGGTTGATTTCTCTGAATTTTTTATATGTTTAGCGTCTTGGCAACCTAAACAAATATTTCAATGGGCACAGTGCCCCAACCTTAGACAGCAGCGGTGGCCGCAGTAGTAGACCCTTCCGTCTCCTGATCAGTCGCCGTGTGCTGTGCGGGTTCGAATCCCGTCCCAAGAGAAATTTTTCTCTTGGCTATGGATGTTGTGATTGTCCGTAGGTGGTAGACGGTCTCTAACTGTCGAACACAGAGGTACCACCCGGCGGATCTCGTAGGCGGGGCCAGAATGTATGTATGTTGCATGCACACGTGTTCCCTCGGCAGAGTACTTGTGGCGTTTCCCATTTCCCCTGTATCCCCCTATTATAGCCCAACGGTACCCCGTGGGTGTTTAGGCCTTAGGCTTGGAGTATAAAAAAAAACATCAACCGACCCCAAGGAACTTATTCTCGGCGTCCTGAACGAATGCCTCAATGAGCACGGCCCCAAAACCTAACTGGTCCGAAGTTATAGGCCATCCAAGTCAGTATAATGGGGTATCAGCGAATATCTGCTTAAAGTGGAAGAGTGGTTTTGGTTAATTTTGCTAATTTTTTTCACGTTATGCGTCTCGGTAACCTGAACAAATGCCTCAATAGGCTCTAGCATCAAAGCTCAATGTCCCAGGACATCCGCTGTCGTCAGTATAGTGGGGTATCCTCTTTACTCGAATATCTGCTTTAAGTAACAGAGTGGTTTCGGTTAATTTCGCTAAAACACAACGGGTCCCAAGATATTGGACATCTAAGTTAGTATCTTGGAGGATGGGTTCTACTGAGTCATCTGATCTACTTGGAAGAGTGCGTTCGGTGAATACCACTGAATTTGTGGAATGTTATGTACCTTGGTATCCTGAACACATCTTGAAGGGAACATGTCCAAAAACTAGATATAATTATGTCCTACTCAAGATATCTGATCTACGTGAATAAGCGGTTTTGGTTGATTTGACTGAACCTGAGATATGCCTTGTGTCTTGGCCTCCTGAATAAATGCATTGATAGACACAAAGCCCAAACCTCAACGGATGCAAAGAAAGCAAATCAGTATAGGTGGCAATGATTCTATTTAGACCAGTAGTAACGATAATCCTTTCTCTAATCATTGGTTGCATTTTTTTGTTTTTCATTTCATAACTTCAATCTTCATCATCAACTATCAATTCTCCGATTTGAGCACCATTGCCATTGATGTTCCTGTTACTGATATCCTTTATGTATCACAGAAGCATTGTATTGAGGTACTTTATGTGCTGTTGATGCCGAGCCCATCCAAGAAACAACATAATACTAGTGATGTGTGCACAGTAACCCAAAGTTCTTGGCACTGCCTTACAAGTACAGCAGGATTATAATATATCTTATCTGCCTTCTTCGCTTCCATGTTGTACTTGAAACCATATCCATAATTGATAGCGGGTCCCGTTCCTAAATAGAGCGTAAATTTTAATCCTCAAGAGGCCTGAGATGTCACTGTTTATATCGAGTTTTTTTAATCTCTCGAGCCAGGCAACAGTTTTATTCACTATTGGTAAAGGTACTCGATATTCATTTATTAAGCCACCCGCGATTATTAAGCAGAAATCTCACAAATGTAGGACCGGCTTCCTCGGAATAAGCTGGAACCTCAATGGAAAAGGGATGTGATTCCAATTGTTTGTGCCCTTTGAGACATTTGTTCAGGATGCCGAGATACATGACATTTGAAAGATTCAGTCATATTAACCGAACTTCTAGATAGAGTTTTGGGACTTATACTATCAAGGTATTTGTTAAGGACGCCGACACACTTAATTTAGCGAAATTAAGCGAAACCACTCTTCCACTTAAAGCAAATATTCCAGTAGGGCCGATACCCCATTATATCGACCTGGACGGCTTATATCTTTGGCCCCGTTGAGGCTGTGAGCCTGTGCCCACCGAAACATTTGTTCGGAATGCCAAGACGCATAACATATTTAGAAAAACAAACCGAAACCACTTTTCCTATAGGCGTGTTTGCCGGGTTCTTTATCCCAAGCTGTTCACTAGCGACCTAGAGACTGAGATGGCCATAATCCTTTAAGATCAAATCAAGTTCGAGACAATTTTTTGCCTGGTATTCGCCGTGTGCACGATGACAGAGCAGCCCAGTGACCATAGTTACTGGGGATTCGGGACCTATCAATTCTTGGCAACTTATTTTATGATAAAAACTTTCGGCTTGTTTTTCACTGAAATTATTTCATTTGCCATCAAGGTTATAATGAAGGTCACCACTAAGTAACCAGGGAAACATCCTAAACGTCTGCTATATTCCCAAATTGCTTACCATTCACTTTTTGATCAGCCTGTATAAATATTGGCATCAATGCAGGAAAGAAATTCGATAATTCCCGCATAGCCGATTGATTTCATTGGAGGTTATTAATAGTCTAATAATTATAATACAGTTGCATCTTGATAGGTTGAAACTGTCTTTAACTTTGTTGCATATGGTAATATAAGCAAATTACAATTTAATTTTAAGTATGTTTGTATTTAGTAAAACAACTTTTACCTGATAATGGATGTCCAGACATTTTTATGGTTTTGAAATTATGCTGTTTTACTAACACAATCTCACTTTTGGTCTTTATTGATTCCTTTATAAGATTATCTTGGATTTTCTATAAAAATACTTCATGAAAACATCACCAAAAGCTCACGTTCTTCTTACCATAACATCATTGACTTGTAACATGAGTTCCTTGGTTTTCTGTTCCAACTTTTCATTCTCTTTGTAAAATTCATCTTCTTTCTTCAACAAATCTGACTCCATCACAAGTTCTTAATCCGCACAACAGTTTTGAAACATATATTGAAGTATAATCACCATAGCAGCCACACATAGCAACCATACAAACAACTACTTTCTGCCAAAAGCACACATTTAATGGCAGATGCAGCAGTTGAATGCGCCCATGGGATCTATGATCGCGTAGTCGGGTTGCTAGGCAACGAGGTGCTTCTATCTCTTTTAACACACGTATTGCACGCTTCTCTCTGGTACACATTACGACGTCAGTGGTATTTGGTTTTCAGTGTATAAGACGTTTTTTTTCATAGTAAACTATTTGCAATAAATAAAAATCGGACTGAATAAAAATTGATTTATTCAAAAAATTTATATTGATAAAAGTATATAATATTTAGATAAAAAATATGCAATAATGTTAACATTGATGGCTAAATATAAGATGACCCTACGTATGTTGTTAACTTAACATTAAAAACTTAATAATTTGTTGACAGTACAAATGTTATAAATTAATATAAAAAACAAATAATAAAATGCTATTTTGCATAATATATAAAAATATCCTCACTGCCAAGATGGCTACTAAAATAAAAATACATTGTGTAAGTATAGTAATATTTATACCTCATACAATCAACTGACTGTCAGAGATTACCATTTATTTATAATTTTGCACTTTAGCACTAAGAAAATTAAAATACATTTTGTGTGAGGATATAGTTATAACATGTCTTATATAATTTAATCTTGAAATTCAACAATATAATCTATGAAATAATCAGCATTATTTTTTGGTTGTATTGAGGATAAGTTCAAGTTATCAGTGATAATCTGAACAACAATTAACACTTCACTAGAATCAGATGGCGCAACTTCTTTTCTGAATGTTAATTCAGAACATCTACCGATTCTTCTATAATCCAAATTGTAATCCAAGCCTGCAGTTAGACGATGTTTCGCCAAAACAAAAAAACGGCGAACCTGAAAAGTTAGTAACACCTTTTTTCTGATCTAATCTCTACTTTTGATAAGTACAGAATTTTTACTTTTACACCCATCAGTATCCAATATTTCTCAATATTTTAATAACTTCAAACATATCTGAGGCATTAAAAATATTCAATGTAGCTGGATTTAGAGTGACAGTACTGTAATGTTTAATACCAGTGTCCAATTGAATCAAATAGTTGCTGACAGAAAGTGTTACAGAAATGTCATTATATTTATAGTTTGCTTTGTATTCTTTCATACATCATAGATGACTCAAGTCATGTTTACTTAGAAATAAACCATGTGATTGGTAAAGTTTAGCATTCGCTATTCTTACACTTGACTATGAGTGATTTAGAGAGATGAAGCATGATCATATTCTGGAACAATTTGCTACAATCAGCAGAAATTGGACATTGATGTTTGTTTAGTATCAATGACCATTATAAATTGTAGATATATCTATACTAAGTCCTTGAAATAAAAAAAATTCAGATACTCTACTTAACTTTGATATTGTAAACACTTACCCTATAATACTGTATGCCTGGATTTATTACAGTCAGTAACTGCTCGCGAATGAGGACTTGACCATAATCATATACATTTTGGTATCGCTTGATCGAACTTATTTTCAAATGAGTTGATCTTATCGCCCTTTTCACTTCTGCTGAAATATCGTTCAACTCATTTGCCGATAATTCATACTGGCCAACAATCGTTGACTTTGTCCAGCAACTCGGGGCGTGTTTCAAAATTATTTCTTCCATCTCACTAAAAAAGAAACAAATTTGAGCCATATTAACTACATTAAAATCAATATATTAGGTTGAATTACTTACGAGGTACAGCTATATAAGGCAACCTGTATTTATTCAAAAGTAGACAAAGTGATTCAGCTAAATCTACTTTTATTTGGAGTATGCTGAAAAATAATGCTGATTTGCTGATCTTGTAACCTTTCCCAGAAACCCCCGAATATCACAGAGCTGCAAAACATGTATCAATACAAGATCATTTTTCACTTCATCTATCACATGAGGGCGACGTGAGAAAGGGCCACGTGATTCTTTTTAACGCCACGTGATTAATAATTGTTTTGACTATTGGAGAATTCTACTAAAAGAGGCGTTCTCCTCGGTTTTCACAGAACAGAGAGTGTTTGACAGTGACATTATCCAGACACCTATAACGTGTATGTTTTGTGCCTATAACCTAGAATTATTATTTTTACTTTCACTAAGAAAGCATAAAAAAAGCTTTACTATTTAGTTCAGAAAGAAATGATTAAAATAAATGTGAAAACCGAAAGTATTATTACGTAATAGTGTACAGAAAAATGGATTTTGGAGATTTGAGCGAAGACAAGGCTATCCAGGAAAAACTAAACAATTTCCACGAGAACATCGAAAAGATAGAAGAGATAATCAACTTGGCTGTAACATCAGATATCTACGGTAGTCTTACGACCAAGGAAAAAGTCGATTATGATTTGTTTATGGCATATGCTCTGAATACACTTTACTGGTTATATTTGAAGACAAAGAACGTTGACCCTAATAAAAATGAGATAAAAAATCAATTACAAAGAATAAAGGACTATATGATAAAGGCTAAACAAGCACATGAAAGGCAAACCATCAGGCCTAGATTAGACAAACCAGCAGCTGATCGCTTTGTGAAACATGGACTGCAGCATAAACGAGATAGAACAAATGAAAGTGGTGATAAACCCATGAACAAGAAGATTAAATTCAGTGATGATGACTGAATTGTATTTTTCTTTTTTGTACCTTTCAGATGGACAATAAAATCAATTATGAATACCAGCTAATCATTTTTCTATAGAGCAATCTCTTGTGGCTTCATTATTTTTAAGTTGTAATTATTGAATCCAGTACCTAGATTACCTAAACACAGTAGTTTCATTCATTTATAACAATAGGAGATGCAAATAGGAATTTTGCCTTGCTAGGTCCAATAATATTTTAAGGTTTCCTACAAGAAATTTTTTAAAACACCCTGAATATCTGTGATTTGGATGAAAACTTGTTGTCTGGGTAAATCAAGTGCGTATATTCCCACCAACAGGGTTCTCTTTTTTCACAAATTTTTGCATTCTTATATTTAATTCAGCACCTCTCCTCCTAGCAGGGTTTTTTAGGGGAAAACCAGTCTATCCTTATCTTGTACATTTTTCCATCAACTTTATTTTTATTGAAAATTAAATTTTTCTTTAGTTTAATCAACTGTTGTCAAGAACACCTCTCATCTTAATGTCCCCTTTTTTACCAGATTTAGTGATAATTTTGGTTTTGTCGATGCAAGCACATGGACGCATAAAATGGGGGACTTCACATACACTGATTCTACTAATAGCAAAAAAGGTGTTAGCAATGGACGATAGTGTCACGCAGAAACTCCTCACATCCATAGGCTTTATGTTTTCTAACAACCATAACAAAGTTGGTCGATTGGTCAAGTAGTTTCTGAGAATTTCTAATTGCTTATCCCAAAGCAGCTGTTTTCTGGACATACTACTAGTCTATTGAGCAATATACAAGGTTCGTTCAAAGGGAATTTTATAGTAAAATACACGAGTTTACCTGGTTTGTTTGTTTTCGAAATCTCGTACCATTAGAACGACTGCGAGTTCAAAGTGTTGGAAAACAAAATCGAGAAAGCGAAAAAACAATAGACAAATATCAACCAATTATAATGAACTGACCGTCTGAAAAATTAGGCAAACTATTCAGTATTACTCCATAATACATTATTTGAAGTTTCAGCATTGTATCTTGTACAGTTTTCAAGATTATTCTAATTGGTGATAATCGATTTGATGTGCCGTCAATGTTTGCATTTATCAGTATAGTGGTATAAAGATCCAGTAGACCAGGACCAGGCGTTGTGATGTATTGGAAACTAAAAGGGTGGCTGTACCGCAGGATGCAGGATCGAATCCACAAAGATTCCTTTTTTTATCTATTTATTTTTTTAGTGCGGCAAAATAAATGCTTTTACACATCATGTGCATTTTTATTGTGATCAAATAACTCTTCGCACCTCGGAGATGATGTAAGCTTACAAATAGGAAACCGGCGATTTACGTATGATCCTTTATCATTTTTTTACATTACATTGAGGAAATTTCACCACGTGTTTACTCAAAAACTTGCAATTTAAGTGCTTAAAAAAGGAAGCTTTGCAGATTTGAACCTGCTTCCTGCGATTCAGATACCCTTTTCCTTTACGACGCCTGTTCATCGTCTACTGTCTACTCTACTGTCTACTGATTTTTATACCACTATAAGCAGTGTTGCCAGAGCGAAGTTTAAAATATCCGTCACACGTATCGCAAAATTCCGCTACATGCCGCTACGGTCTAAAAATTTAAGGGCTTAAAATAAACAACAAATATATTTTTTACATATTTACTTTTTTTTAAACACTGTCTAAAAACCCTACTAAAAATACAAACAGTAACATTGCAATTGCAATTTTTCGTAAAAACATAAAAAGTATACCTCTAAAAAACAAAACTGTCTTTGGTTTAGAATTAGGAACTAATAAAAAAATAGAAACTATCACCAATATCTTAATCTTAATAGAAAAAAAAACAAAAAATAAGGACAAAGAAGAAGCGGAAACGTGGAAATGCCTACGTTTGCTTATTTTATTCACAGTCAGAATCAGAAATTACTTCTTCTTCAGCTTGTTCTTCCTTATTTACATTATATAAATCCTTTTTATATTTGTTTAAATGATTCTCATTAAAACTATAGGATAAACAGCACTGTTTTTTTGATTCCAAGTCTAATTTAATTGTAAGTAGTGCAGACAAAGTTGATGGTATTATTTTATTTCTTTTTTTTGTTTTGTAATCAAGCATATAAGAAAAAGTTCGCTCAACATCAGCGTTTCCATGAGGCAATGTTAAAATGATTAGAGCCAGTTTACCTATATTGCAAAATAAATATTCCTCATTAAAATTTTTGAGGTCGTTTACAAACGACCAAAATTCAATGACATTACTTTTTGTTTTTAAAATGTCCTCTTTCTCACTATCACTAAAATAAATACATATTTTCTTTAGTTCCAAAATTGCCTTTTCGGTTTCAATATGAAGGGCAAATTTTTTTAAAACGGCGTCATGAAAGGTATCACTTATAATAAGACGATTGTTCATCACATCAACCGGTGAGAGAAACTTTAGCTCTGAAAAGAAGTTGTCTTTGATAGGAAATCTTTTAAGGGACTCTTCTACCGATTTTTGGTAAAATGTGACACATTTTAATTTAAATTGTTCGATTGCCGTGTTATTGCAGTGTTTTATTGCATCCATTGTATGCGGACCAACATTCACTTGTTTAATTGGTAATAAGCAGTGGGGATCATTAGGATTTAGATTATATAATTTCTCATTTTTAAAATATTCTGGTCGCATAAAGTTTGTACATAGATGACGTACAAATCGCTCACTCTCTATTGATATGATATTGAGCATAACTCTCTGATTGAAAGAGATCATTAAATTGGTTAAAAATGGGCAACACGAATTTAAAAAACATTAACAAATGGATTCTGTAACTCATTAAGTATTACATTTGCTACAGGATTTTTGTCTTCAATGGAAGCTAATCTAAATAGGCTAAGCAAGATGTCCCACTGATCCAAAACTCTATCAACACATTTGGATAAAGCAAGCCACCACCTTGTTTTACTAGGGCTAAAAATTTTTAATTTTGACTTTTTGAAATATTCCTGTAATTCTTCAAGTACACACTGCCTTTTTGGGCTTCTTGAGAAGTAAGAATGTAAGTTTTGTAAAAGAGCTTCAACGTTGCTTGGAATCTTTTCAGCTGCCGCCACCGCCACTAAATGAGCAGAGTGGCAAATGCAGCCATTGACAATTATATTAGGATTATCTTTTAAAAGATAAGTTTTGAAAGATTCGTTATTGCCCATCATAACACTAGCGTTGTCGGAACAGTATCCAACAATATTGGTAATTTTTACTTGATTGGATATAACGCATTTTTTAAAAAGAGAAGATAAACCTTTGGCGGTACCGTCATCTGCGTTTATTTTAATTATACTTATGCATTTGGATCTTTTTAATTTAAGTGAGCTAGAGAGATCTGGGTCTTTAAAACATAATTGACTAACTCCTGTTATATGATCAACAGTTCTAAAACTTATATAATGACATACAACTAAAAGGCTATATCTTAAGCAAGCAAATATTTGCCGTTTTTCCAACTCACAAGGTATATTTTTTCAATAACGTAGCACATCAGTTCATTTACTCAGAAATACGAAATGTTTGAATTTGTTTATAAGCAAAAACGTTATCCTAAACAATACGTAAAATAAGACAAACATAAAACACAAAGTGACAATAAAAGATAAAAAAAAAAACATGATAAAACCTAGTTTAAAATTTAGATGAACAATAAAATGAGATGGTTAAAAAATTATGAAATAATAATAATTTTTTCATGTTTGTACTCAAAAGTCCTTACACACGTTTGGAGAACAATAAAATGTAATACAAAAATAACACATACACAAAAACCACAAACGAAAACAAAGTAATGAAACAAATAGTCAACAATTATGGAACAAAGTCGGTAAAATCATTATTTAAAAACTCATCTATGCTGTAAAAAGCTTCCGTCACTAGATATCTTTTCACAGTTGCTTTAAAAATGGTTGAGTTGTGAGCTTTCTTTGTACCTCCAAGTGGTACATTATTTGAGAGTTTTTTTGTGGAAAAGGGTAAGTTTTGCAATAATTAGCTTAATTTCATATAATCACAACTTGATCGAGATACATCAAAAATGCTTTTTTTAAATATCTCAATTATTGTTACTATTATTTTTGTCGTAGTAGGGGGCAAATCAGCTATAACTATTTTGAAATTTCAACAGCGATGTTCCAAAATTTTAACAGTCGAAAATACTATATTTTTGTCCCTTGAATTATAATACAAAATAGTTATGGCTAACTTATTAGGCCCCTTACTACTGCAAAAAAGACACATTTCAACAAAATCAATAAGTGGTCTATTTTTAAAAATCTTATCTTACAAAGTTAGTCAAAGGATCAAGTTGTGCCCATGGACGTTTTTCATCAAAATATCTA